GTACGAGTCTGGTGACCATTTAAAAGACTTAAACTGCTCCTTGAAGCCATCAGTAACTTTTCGCAGTTGCTTCTGGGGAGTTTTCTTATGACTGGTCAACTTAAGCGGATTACAACAGCGGGAAAAAGGCATTATTTTTCCGTTGCAAGCCGAAGTCAAACCAAGTCCCCTTATATTTACTTATTTCTTCTCGATAGCCACATTTGAGCCCGTTGATAATTTTATAATAAATGCCAAGATAGGAAATTCTTGTAATAATATCGTCAAAAGCATCATAGAAAAAACTGATCTATAATATTTTTTTTTAACGAAAAATTCAGTTTAATAATTTAAATGGATATAAAAATTTAAGTTATAAATTAAACATATAAATAATAGTATTAATTATAAATACAATAAAATAATTTTTAAATAATTTTGTAGTAACTTATAAACAACACACACACTCTGTATATAAGTATAAGAGGCATCAGTAGCAGCGCACTGGCCTTATACTATCGATAGGACTTGAAAAGAAATATTTAACTTATTTCGAACACTTTTCCATATATGCGTGGCATACCTTATTTACTACATTAAATTAAATAATAATGCATGCATTACAATAAATAATGTTTCAAAAGTATATGAAAATACAGAGACAAAATTAATACACTTTGTATTCAAGCGCAAGACGCGTTCGTGGCAGCGCCGAGGTAAAGACGACTTGAAATTTTTACCCGGAGTACCCGAGGTAGTTTTGTTTTTCTTATTCTATTTTCTAAAAAACTATAATAGTTACCATCCTACAAATCTAGGTTTTTGTTCTACACACTTGGGGCTACATTTTTTTCTATACCGCGAAAAAAATCTGAGGGGTGCTTCTTTGCGAAAATTGCGTTTAAAAGTGAAATTTAAAATTAAGTGACCTTGACCTTTGACCTACACAAAAATGTTCAATAGCAAAGTTGTCGGGCGTAAAAAGTTACGTCTGGTGGTGAAGAGATTTTACATTTATTCCAATTAGGAGCAAAGATATTCAATATTTTGTGTTTTTGGAAAATTCCAATTTCCCGGAAAAGCACCCAATATTTTTAGTTGAAAATTTAGGAGAAGCCACCTTTTAACCACCCCAACAATATACATGAAATTCAAAATGGTAACTTTTCATCAACAATTGTACCCAAATCTCTGCTGGATCCACCCATATGTGATAAGTTAGAGCTACGTGATGCATCGATCCCTCAGAGGTGCGTTATGCACATGAGGGATAAAATAGTTATATCATGGTACGTCAGAATATTCAGCACGACTAAAATGGAAATTTCTTTAAAGCACGGGAGGAAATATTAAGGTTGTGTGCTTGGCACAAGTTGAATTTAAAATAGTTTCTCGCGTGAAAAAATAATCTTTTTTTTCTTTGCAACTTGATAGCTTGTTTGCGAATAGGTCTTTCTTAAACGTGTTAGCGCTTTTTATGCTGCTGGAAGGAAATCGGTGTTTTTCTGTGCCAGCTGGTCTGAATTTCTGGAATTCATGCTTCTTCCTCCTCTAAACTTGCTTTATTGATGTAACGTAAAAGGGAGAGCTGCAAAAACACTTTGCTGAGCATTTGAATAATTTAGGAGTTTGGGTTGTTTAAATGATGAATCTCTCCAACAGCTTGGTTGTTTATTTTACGAATGAAAAACTCTGCTTCTCTCTCCAAAACCTTAAGGCCTTTGGACCTAACGAAAAACCGTTTTAACTCTTTTGTGTTTACTAAGACAAAGTAAAAAGAGAAGTTTATTAACATTTATAGTTTCTTCTTACTTATACCGATCGATTATATCATCATCGTTGTTTTGCTCAATTTTCTGGATTAGAGATTTTTGCATAATGTTTAAGAAAGGTTAACTCATTCCATGAATTTAATTTTGTCAGATTTTCCAGGCAATTTTTAAATGGAGATGAGGAATTTCTCAGAAACGATGCTCATTATGATAATGTGTCATAAAGTAAAAGGCGCAGGCCTGTGACTGAAGCAATTTAAACTTTGCTCTGGCGCTAAGTGAGGAGGAAAATTTTTGCCAGCACTGCCAGCAGGCCGCTGCTCTTTAACAGAGTATGACATTGAATAATTGTCACGCGCGCCATTTCTGATGATTTCCAGCCACATTTTTTCGCCAAGTAGTTTAAAAACCCCCAAGCAATTTCTATAGAAAGTGATTTATTTTGCTAATGTATCTGACGAGTGACCTTTGATGTTATTCTCCTTTTGAAGTTTTTTTTTATTCTGCTCCTAGAAAGGCATTCAATGAGATTGCTTTGTTTGCCTTCAAAAGTTTACACTCTCAAGCGTTTTAATTTAAGCAGTATTCTTGTAATTGCAATTCTTAAACGCTTTTCAGCAAGAGCCTTCTGACTTATAACTTGATAGAGTTATACGCGCTCCATCAATTTTGTAAAAAATATTACGCAAGAAGCAGGTCAGAAGAGCGTTTTGTGGTTTTGCGCGAAATTCTCAGAAGGTATTTCAAACTCGTCCTTTATACCCTTCCACTCATCTGTGACCCAATTAGTAAACTATTTCAAAAACAATTCCACACAAGCTTTATATGAAACTATAAATAATTAAATAATAAAACTATATTTTTTGCTAGTGGTGATGCCTTAATGTCCAACAATCTCTCTTTCTAAATAATTGTTTTCAAAAATTGAATGTAAACAATGTATGTGTAACAATGTGGACAGAAAACAACAATAATAATAACCTTTTTTAAATAAGAGCTTCCTCTTTTATTTTTATTGCGCAAATTGATTAATAAAATATCAATGGGGCTGTGCATTATGTCATTGATAAACGAGAAAGAGAGAGTATCAAGTAGCGTCTATGTCACGAAAAGAAAAGCCATTCGATAAATGGAGATCGTGTGCTTTGATGAGCACCTGCGATCTCCTGCACGTGTCTCCTGGGATTGAAAAGACGAGCCGCGCAGAAGTGCTTCATTTCATGCTGTGCATTATGCGAATCGCAACGAGAACTCCTTTTGAAACTTTAAGCCGCGGCGAGGATTGAGGCTGAAGCATAAATTATGCGAGGGTATTATAGTTTTGCACCAAGTACACAAAAGCCAGTTCTCGCTTAAACGTGGAATGTTTTGACAGAGGGTTCTTGTGCAAGAAAACGGAATGCGAAATTTCACAGCGGGGGGCGTTCAAGGCAATTAACCCTCATCCTACAGCAGAGGCGCATCTAAAAGCATCTCGCTCGCCTAGAAACGACATGTTTGCGGAAATTAACTCTCCCAGGGAAGCAAAACGAACATGACATGAGGGATATAATATATCTTTTGCTCAAATTTTTATTGCAGCGAAAAGTTTCAACCGCAAAGAAGTGCGCGGTGTGCAGTTTGGGTATTTGTGGACGGCTGATCTCAACCATCTGTCACTTCCAGCGAGCGTCTGCGGAGTGCGAAAAAGCGATTTGGCCAATTCACTCCAATGCTCTTTTCAAACGCTCGCATTATCTGTGGAGTTATTGAGTTTGGAGAGGGAATATAAAAAGTTTTTGCGGATGAAATTCATAAAAAATTCTTTTTGCCACGTCGAATTTTGTATTTTTTGCTCACGCAGAAGAGTTTTCATGATATCGCGTCTTCAACTCATAGGTTTTCAATCACCGTCTGATTTAGTATAATGTACTAACTGGAAAAAATTGCTCCATATTATGGAGCAATAATTAGTTGGTTTCGGCTACTTGTAAATCGACGTTTAAGTAGTTAAAACAGAAATAATGAATACCCATAAAAGACGAAACTATTTTAAAAATTTCTGATGGATTCTAATTTATTCTATTGAGAATTGGACTTTTGAAATCATACCATAAGATTCTTGGGTCTTTTTTTAAGCGCTGCGTTGTGGTGATGGTTAAAAAAAACATTATACCTTTTACACGAGGGTGCGGTATTAAACCGGCTCAATTTCACGCCACTAATTATAAGCTGAAAGCATGGCATGCTAAAAGGCAAGTTAGACAATGCGATCAGTCTTCGCCAGGTTTAACTACAGCACCTGACGGAAGCTTTTTGTGACGTAGGACAGCTTAATTAATTAGGCGTCATGTAGAGTGACGCAGAGGTATATTTTAGAAGCACCCACCTTACTCTAAAAAAATGCCTTTGCAAGTAACGCTCTTACAAAAGTTAAACTTGTAACAGCAAAATTTTGTTGCCATCTTCATGTTTCAGAGGTTTCCTTATCATGTTTGGCGTGTTTCATGATTTGCAACAGAAGAAACAAAATAATGATTATAATTATATCTTGATTGAAATAAAAATACAAAGACAACTTTTTGTTTCTCGTTAAAAGAGCTTCAAAGCTGTGTTTATGGAACAAAGGTAAAAATCTGAAAACATGCGTAAACTAAGCAAAGTTGCGTTTCCTTTTTCCAGCTAAATAAGCACTCTTATTTCAAACGCTTTGAAATCGACTAAGGACGCTGCTTTAATGAAAACCGTGTTAGATTTTTCTCAGATTCCTGCTATTGCCCTGATGAAAGCAATCAATTTTATGAAGAAATTTTAATTAGCAGAAACCTAATAAAAATACAAGAGGGAAATTTTAATTCAAGGAAAGGGTGGCGGTGCCATGAACCTAATAAACGAGTAAAGCTGTGCGCGACACTGCTAATTTCATCACCAGGCGCTTTCTTAGCTACTTCTTGCCCCAGGGAAAAAAGAAATGAACTACTTTTTTCACTCCTGCCATTTGCATTCACAAGAAGGAAATTAATGGCTGATATTTACGCACGAGCAAGAAAAAAGATATGGAATTCAACACTCGAGGTGGATTTCATGATAAAGAAAAACCGGGCTTAACCTCGTTAAAAACCTAGAATTTCTTGTGTCCACGCTAAATATTACTAATTAAAAAAAAAAAATAGAAATCAATTTATAAACAAAAATGGCAAAGAAGGTTTTTGTGATGGAAATTTTGTGGGTAAGTGTTGTGCTAAAAGCGGGCGTATCTTTCTTTTCCAGAGCGTCGTGTTTCACGTCTCGCAGCACCCTGTCTACAAAGACTTCTGGCAGTGCGTGACTTTTGGCTTCTTCCCTTCGCAAACACAAGAGACCGCCTACAACCTATTCTGCGTGCTGGTCATGTACTTCATACCCTTGATAGTGATTTGCTTCGCGTACTCTCGCATCCTGTGGGAGATTTGCAAGAAATCCAGAGAGAACAAAGGTACGCTCAGATTTGTCTTAAGGATTTATTGAATAGCCCTGAGCAATTCAAGTGGAATGAATCCAGTCCTCTCTCCACGTCAGTGAAGTTGGCGATATCGCCAACAGTTTTTGGCATTTTTTTAAAAGTGGGGAAGTTGGCGATATCGCCAACTTTTTTTATCTTAAAAAAGGGTTATAAAAGAATGCTGATTGCGTTCTAGGGGATGCATTTGGCTATTATAAATAGCCCGTTATGCATTAGACCTCTAGAAGTACATAAAATGTGGATTTTCGCGATTTACACCCTCAAGGCCGGGTTCAGCCGCTTTCTAACCCACCCCAACTTACACCCTTGACACCCTTACATAAAAAAACAACCCTTACATCGCGGCTGAACCCGGCCTTCTAATTTAATTATTCACCCGAAGGTATTTTTATGGTGCCAACTTCAGTGAAAAATCGGTTTTTGACGATTTACACCCCCACGGCCGGGTTCAGCCGCTTTCTAACCCACCCCGTTCGACACCCTTGACACCCTTACATAAGAAAACCACCCTTACATCGCGGCTGAACCCGGCCTTCTAATTTAATTATTCACCCGAAGGTATTTTTATGGTGCCGACTACAGTGAAAAATCAGTTTTTCACGATTTACATCCCCACGGCCGGGTTCAGCCGCTCTCTAACCCACCCCGTTCGACACCCTTAACACCCTTACATAAGAAAACCACCCTTACATCGCGGCTGAACCCGGCCTTCTAATTTAATTATTCACCCGAAGGTATTTTTATGGTGCCGACTACAGTGAAAAATCAGTTTTTCGCGATTTACACCCTCACAGCCGGGTTCAGCCGCTTTCTAACCCACCCCGTTCGACACCCTTGACACCCTTACATAAGAAAACAACCCTTACATCGCGGCTGAACCCGGCCTTCTAATTTAATTATTCACCCGAAGGTATTTTTATGGTGCCGATGACACCTGAATATCGGTTTTTTTTATCAATTTTTAAAAAAATTAGAGAACTAAATATTTAATTAACAATTAAATATTAGTATTAAAAAAATTTCCACAAATCGCTGGCCGCTGTAAATTGATTATCCAACTTTGAATTTTGAATGACTTGAAAATTTCCAATCTTAATAAAAATAATTTAAAATCGAAAATTTTGACAAAGACTGTGTCTTATAAAATTTGATAAAGTAACAAGAAATTAATTTTTAACTTTACGGGGTTGACTATGTGCATTATCTTTCCGGACTGTAATTTTCATATCTGGATTTTTTTTCTTAAAAATAATTCAATTGAAATGTAGATTTCAAGAAAATTTCTAATAATTAAAAATATGCATTACATTTTTCTTTACATTATTCACTTCTGTAGCAATAGTTCCGAGCGACAACGGTAGTACTACGACGAAAATGATTCCTGTGTGTGTTTGCTATGCGGTCAGAAAGGCACCCAGTACCACCTGGCCGAGTGCAAAAATCGCGTCCTTGTATTAATGACTATTCGAAAATGAAGTTAAAGACTTTAACTTTATTTTGTCGCGCACCACATTGAAAATTGCCTCGTAAACTTCTCTAAGTTAAGTTGAAGTTGTACTCAAATGAGTTTCAAAATAAAAGCATATAATTTATTCAATTTAATTATTAATTCTTAATCGACGTATTAATACAGGTTAGCATCACCCAGAGCAACCCATACCTTTTTGCTAATAATTTTTTTTCATAAACTTCTAAGTCAAATTTTCAATTTGTAGCAGTCTGGTTTGAATTTTCTATTTTCCAATTTTTTAAATTTTTTTTTTTTTAGGAGATTGAGATTTTCTTGATGGTTTCATCTGAAATATTTTGATAAGCATGGTACTGAATGAGGATTTTTTTTTTACTCTACCCAATTTTACAAATGTATATATGTGTTTCCTGCCCCGGACTTGTTTTAAATTTTTTCATAATAAATTTCATAAATTTTATTTTTTGATTAAAATACTAAATTTACTAATTTCTAAATTTATATCAAGAAAATGAAATTCTCAAAGATGATTGAAGTGGAATATGTAAAAGTAATCAATTTTAAGAAACAACAATAAAAATTAAATGAATTGAAAAAAAGTGCTAAGATAATAAATCAAAATTCTGGAAAATGTGTGACGTAAAAATTTCATTGGGTGTAATTTTTTTTCGTTATCCAGGAAATCAAAACAAGAAAATAATTTTGATTTCAAACAGCTGATATGCTAGATGAGAAAAACACAGTAGAACAAGGCCGTGGGGGTGTAATTCGCGAAAAACTGATTTTTCACTGTAGTCGGCACCATAAAAATACCTTCGGGTGAATAATTAAATTAGAAGGCCGGGTTCAGCCGCGATGTAAGGGTTGTTTTTTAATGTAAGGGTGTCAAGGGTGTCGAACGGGGTGGGTTAGAAAGCGGCTGAACCCGGCCGTGGGGGTGTAAATCGTCAAAAACCGATTTTTCACTGTAGTCGGCACCATAAATATACCTTCGGGTGAATAATTAAATTAGAAGGCCGGGTTCAGCCGCGATGTAAGGGTGGTTTTCTTATGTAAGGGTGTCAAGGGTGTCGAACGGGGTGGGTTAGAAAGCGGCTGAACCCGGCCGTGGGGGTGTAAATCGTCAAAAACCGATTTTTCACTGAAGTTGGCACCATAAAAATACCTTCGGGTGAATAATTAAATTAGAAGGCCGGGTTCAGCCGCGATGTAAGGGTTGTTTTTTTATGTAAGGGTGTCAAGGGTGTAAGTTGGGGTGGGTTAGAAAGCGGCTGAACCCGGCCTTGAGGGTGTAAATCGCGAAAATCCACATTTTATGTACTTCTAGAGGTCTAATGCATAACGGGCTATTTATAATAGCCAAATGCATCCCCTAGAACGCAATCAGCATTCTTTTATAACCCTTTTTTAAGATAAAAAAAGTTGGCGATATCGCCAACTTCCCCACTTTTAAAAAAATGCCAAAAACTGTTGGCGATATCGCCAACTTCACTAACGTCCTCTCTCCAACATTTCCGCTCTCCAGTTTTCAGTAATTTGTCACGTGTTGGTTTTGCAATTGTGTCAAGGACAAAGAGCCTGTCCAACGTCCGTCCTTTTTTTATTTTGCTCCGGGGCTCCTAACACAAATGTTTAAAAACCGCATTGGATGATGTGGAAGAGCTTTTTTATGACGAAAAAGTGAAATGATCATCCCACACATTACGGTTCTCTATCCACCACGATCGATTCTGCCTGGTGAATAAGCTGGGACAAAATTAAATTAAGCCTTTTTATGCCACTCTCGTTTCCTATTAGAATGCAGATCATCCCTATTTTATTCTTTTTTTCCACTATACTTTTCCACGTCAATCAATATTACCTATTCCACGCGCAAACTCCTGTGACAAAATAGAGGGAGATTGATTGTTCTTGGCACACACTCATTTATCACGCTGCATTGTTGGTGCAAAATCTGATCTGGCTTCTATTGTTCTTCAAACACAATTGCCCAAGGTTGTCGTGGCCCATTCAGACGGCTTCGCTCATCTGCCTGATTCGCTCGATTCATAGTCAATTATAAAACATGATAAGTAATTTTTAAATTAGTTTAATAAATTTAAATAGTTTTTTCTTTACCAAATTATATTTTGACCACCTTCATCGATTTTTAAATCAAATTGTGGACATTTTTGTTCAGATTTCATTGGATAAAATCCTTTTGACCTTTTTTTATCTATATTCGCGATTTTCTACTAATATTGGCCAAAAATCGACTTTTTGAATTTAATAACTTTAAGAGTGTTCTTCAAATATTAATTTATATCAAGTAATAAGAATTAATTATATTATAATTGGAACCTTTGCATATGAAAAGAAAAGGCAATTTCAACCAATTATAATTTTTAATACTACGTCAAGTTAATGACGGTTCACTTGAAGTTTTCATTCATTATTGGCACATTAGTTCATCAGGCATATGCAATTAGCCAATTAGGATACATTTTTCCTTGTTTGTAATACAATTTGAAATTAAGTAACGCGTCCTCAAAAAACGTTTTCCTTTATTTTTTTTTCCGTTATTGCTTTCCTGTCTTTTGATGTTGAAATAATTAAGCTACCTTAATGGAGATGATGTGAGAAAATAATCATTTTGTTAAATTATATTTATACAAGCTTTAGAGGAAAACGAGGACACGTTTCTAATTTAGAATGAATTTTCCTTTCTTGCGTGCTCTGCTCAGCAAGCGCAGTGAAATGGTTATTGATGCGGGCACGTGCCAATACAATTCAAGCGTTCATTCTTTATTGACTGCTGGGAATGCGATTGAATCTGGGCCAGTTGCACACCCACTGCATCCTGTTTCTATTCAAACACGCAAACGGTTTGTTTCTCGGGGATCGTGAATGGAAACTGAGTTATATTTGTGCGACAATATTTTGCTCTCTGCCAATTAAACTTGTACACCAGAGAGCAGTGAGTTTCATTGAAGAGCGTCTCTTTTGTAGCAAAGTTAAAGTTATGAAAAATGCTGGAAAAAACCCTGTAAAAACCGTGCTTTGAAAGCTTTGAAATTTAATAATTCTGTCGCACACGCACTTTTCAAAGCACGGTTTTCCCAGCATTTTTTCACAACTTTAAAAATAAAATATTCGCATGTTGGATATCATTATCATTTTCAACAGAAGTTTTTGAATAAAAATTACCATAGAGGAATTGCAAATTGAAAATTTTTTAATGCTCAGACATGCATATTGAGAATTTTATGCCAGGGAATTGAAATGAGGGGAAGAGCAATATAAACTGCACAAAGTAGACCCAAAGAATAATTCGATCTGCATCCTTTCTGTTTCTCCAGTAGAGGCTTCCTTTGAAGTTCTTTCTCACGTGCCTTCTCAGATAACAATAAACCGACGCCAGGTGCGGCGTTGCTCGCATCAAAGGAAAGCCCTTAAATTGATTTTCATGCATTGAGGAAAAAAATGTAAAGGAAACGCAAAGCGTGGCAAAGCCGCCTTTTAGCGTTTCATGGAAACACTGAAATACGAAACTTTGGATATTACCTGAAGCTCAAAAGACATTAGGATATGTAGCCTAATTAAATTAGGTAATTTGGACAATTGAGCCGTTTGTTTTTGAATAAAAACAATTTTTTGCAACGAGGAAAAGCCCGAGTCTTCATTTCCATGATCATCTCCTCGAGTGTCAACTTCAAACAAATTGGACAATTATTGTTTTTCTATGAATTAAATCATTTTATAATATTAATACAAAGCTAAAAACCTTACACCTAATTTAAACCTCGAATTAATAGAGAAATGAAAAAAAGTTCAACTAATATTACTTCAAATTCAATCTCAGCCAAAGAAAATTTAACTGATTGAAGAAACTCCATCGGGGCTTAAATAATAATCTGGTTTTCATATAAAAAATCCCCCCAGCGTTTGTTAACTCCATTTTCCTTCCTTTCAATTTCCTTTCCCAACAAAAGCAGCCTTTCCTTTTTTCCAAAATTGGTTTGTGAAAGCGATTGATTATCATTTCTCCGTGTTTCAGAGGACAACACACGCGGAGGGCGGTACCAGGGCCGCATGACTCTTCGGCGCAGCGACATGAGCAACATCGAGCGGGCTCGCTCGCGCACCCTGCGCATGACTCTGATCATCGTGCTGGTGTTCATCTGGTGCTGGACCCCTTACGTCGTCATGACACTCTGGTGAGCCGTTCGTCCCTTTTGAAAGGGGTCTCGTGGCGCGGCCGCGACCTCGCTTTGCCACAAACTGATCTCTAATTAACACTGCACCATTCACTATGTGATTCGCAACTTCGTCCCGCAAAACCTCGGTGGGATTTCTGGTGCTTGTTTGGTTAACGCTTAATTATATAGCGGAACAAATTTTGGCTGCCAGTTTGAAGGCAAACAAGCTGACCGCAGACTACAGCAATTGAAATTCTGAGTAAACGTATATTTATTTGTTGATTAAATTTTTCAATTCTTTCCAAGTCATTTACGCGAATGATGTTCAAAGATTAAATTCGACGTTTTTCATGCATCTATTGAGTTGGAATAAGTTTTAATATTTCATATAAATTTTTGTACCATTTTATAATTTTTGTTTCCTGTTTTATTTAAACGTTTGTTGCACTTGTTTTGGCTAACATTACGCTGTGGAATTTGAAATGATTCAAATTTACTGCCAACCCAAAGAGCATGGTAATATTAGATTTTGTGCATAGTGTGTAGCCTAGGGAAGGGTTTTTAAACAAAATTTCTCGTTTAGAAGTAGAATTACATTTGATAAGTCAGTTTAACTTTTCCAATTTGAAACAATATTTAAAAAAAATTACCTGGTCAGCCTATTTTCAAAAATATTTCTTATGAAGCCTCAGACGAGAAGCTTTTATTCGGAGAAAATTTGTAATGAAAACTAAAATAATTTTAGCTTTTATATTTTTCTGGAGTTGGACCAAAAACTGCAATTGTAAACCAATTGAGCTGAAAGCTTTGTTTAATTGAGAATAACAAGATTAAAGGTCAAAATTATTTGCTTTCCACACTGCGGCACTGTACCACGACAATTCGCGGGATGCAACCCGCGCACCACAAATGTCGTTCCGGTTGCATAACTTTAACATTCAGAGAGGGTTCGCGGTTCACGCTTGTTGATTTATAATTTTTATGAGTTTAATTCATTCAGTCTTTTACAGCGAGTCCAAATTAGTCATTGGAAATTAAATAAATGCATTAATTAGCAGCCATATAGGTCTAAAGTAAAAACTTACAATAACTAAAAATTTTTGTATTGACCGAGAAGAATAAATAATAATAAAATAGAGCAAACCTATGCAGTAGTGTGCTTTTAACTTTAACTTTGCTCTACTTGCCAAGATGGAGTCGGGAAAAAGGCTGTTAAAAATTAATGAATTGCAATTGCAAGCTGAGAAACAGAACAGCATCTCAGCAAATATGGCATTCCACTTTTATTTGCGATTCGGAAAGATCAATTTGCACCACTTTTTGGACATAAGTCAGTTCTTACTATTTTGCAATACTTGGACGATGGTTTTTCAAGCCATCAGACCCGTGTCAGTTTACTAGAAAACTGGAGCTCCCGACTGATGTTTACACACCGGGTTTGATCTAATTAAATTATCATTTTGCTACACTACGATTCGATGAAACTTGTCTGCTCTGTGAATCATTTGGGCGTTCACGAATTGATCGATGAAAAGGGCACTTTGTTGACGGCAGCCGTCTGCTCATTAGCAAGCAGCACGCAAATGGCGGTTACTGATACGTGTTCCGCGAATCGGGGTTGCTGTGATATATCACTTTGGAAAAAGCCACCCGCACCCGTATGGTCGCACGGCAATAAATTTCATCTCTTTCCAACTCGTAAACCCGTCGCTTTATTTTCGCCGCCGCCGGAAAATAAAACGCCTTTTGACGTACCGATTGTCGTCAGAAAGGCTGCTTTTTTCCATTTTGAAATATTTCGTGTGTTATTTATTTGTGCATCCTTTCAAAATGGTACGACTGATTGAAAAACGAGGCCGAAGGTGCGGATCGATTGCGTGCTCCAATTTTGATACATTTGTATGTATTTATTCGTCCCATTTCTCACTTGCAAAATGAGCAACAAAAAATATAATGTCACGGCCGGCAGCTCGCTTTTTCCCCGAGGCTATTTTTGCTGCAAATGAAGCCATCAAAAATTAAAATGATTGTAATTTTTCCACATAATTGTATTTGTTATCGAGATATTTTCTGAGAATTCCTATTTCCCATTTTATATTTCCTCATAACAAATAAATTGAAAAATGATGTTTATATTTTTAAGAATTTCTCTGGATCTTACAACAAGAAAAATGTAATAAGAGTTCAAATTTTCCGCATCTTTTCCTCAATTGCAATTTCCACTTTGATTGAATTTAGCTAAACACCAATTTTTTAATCGCCAGTACCATTCATCATGCATTTCAAATGAATTTTCAATTATGAAATTATAATTTGCAAATACACATATCAAAAAAAATTAATGATTTTTTCAGGTACATGTTTGACCGCGAAAGTGCGACACACGTGGCAGGCTGGATCCAAGACTCGCTTTTTATGATGGCCGTGTCGAATTCTTGCATGAACCCTTTCGTGTACGGCGCCTACGCGATGAACTTTCAACAAGAATTTGTGCGGTGCATCAGCTGCGTCTGCTGCCGTAGGTCGAAAAAAGACCGCAACATTGTAGGTAAGGAGATCAACTCTTTTGCTTCCAAAATTTTCTGTCTCGATTGCATGTGTTTGTTGAAAAGAAAACTTTCAAAAAGGAAAAAAAAACTCTTAGAGGCTTTTAATAGTCCCGCATAGAATTCTGCTGAGATTGTCGATTTCCAGCTGAATGTGCACGCGGAATTGTACCCCTTGAAGCTGTTCACAACTTTTCCCACCTTTATCTACTTAAATCGCTTAAAGTCCTGCCTGGACATAAATATTTTCATGGGAACATATTATTTTCGCTTTGAAAATCAAACTCAAAAATATCTGGCGGCAGATATGGAAATGAGATTTTTCAATTTATTTAAATCATGGAAATTTGCCAAAGGGTTTTGGCAGGTTGGACGAGCTCATCAGAATTCATAGTCTGGAATTGATTCAATTATGAAATAAACCTGAGGGGATGGAAATATAAATAAATATGAATATAATCAAATATAAATTTGCAAATTTTGAGCGTAATGTTTAATTTAATTGAATTAATTTGACACTCCTTTGTTTTGATTTGTTTTGTTTATCATCAAATTTACATTTAAAAAAAAAAACAGATGACCATAATATTAAATTTCTCCATTAAAACTTTTGTAAAATTCAAGCGAAATATTTGTTTTTGGCACTTTATTTGGATAATTTGGATAAACTTTCACGTATTTGCTTATGTGTTTGAATTGATGTCTGCGTGTGCTAGTTCCATTAAGCCCTAGTGATCCTAGTTGCCTGTATATGAAAGCGTGCAATGACTATTTACTTAATAATATGGACGGTTCGTCTGTTTGGCCCTTGCAATTTTGAAAATGATCATTGCAGGTGTTCCCAAAGTTAGTGAGCAAACCAAGCAGAGACCTGACACCATCATAATTCAAGTCCATAAATGTCTCCTATCGATTTTTAAAGGTACAGTATACCAAACTAAACCCAGCACTTATAATTTTTTTTTAACTTCATTCAAATAAAAAACGGCCATTGACAGAAATAAAAATTGAAAACGATTTTAACCTAAATCGTTTGAAGTTTAAAAAACATTGAGCAATCCGTGCAATTAAAAAGTTAATTATAAGTCATGTAATTTTATGAAAGAAGAGAACCGCAACCAATTTGTGAATGTGGTGTTGAATAAAAGAAGTGTTGGAAAAGTTATTAAATATGCAGCACATGTGGCTGCTGTGGTCAAAAGGATTTTAATTTGCAGTAGTGGCAGCGAAAACTCTAATATTAGTTTCCACAGCGTCCTTTCATGTGAACCGTGTTATTGCAACGCTCTGAATAAAATGCAAACATTTGTGAAAGTAAGAAGCCAACTAACAAGAACAAAAAGTATAGAGTGGGAACAAATTCAAAAATTAAGGCCACTTGGAAAATGAATAACCAGCATCAAGTTTACCATAAAACCTTGTCCTCTTTTTGTGCCGACTAATGGCGTCTCCTCATTTTGCACCAAAAATATCGTATCGAAATTTGAACCCTATCATTTTGAGGCCGTTTTACAACAAAGTTAATCAAATTAACGAGGCACGTTTCCCTTGACCTAAATTTACAATTTAAACAGAATACTGACAAAAAAATTACGGAGACTTAAGTTTCAGATATCAATTTTAAGGTATGTAAATTTTTTAGAACTTGCATTACATTTTTACAATTCACCCTCTGGTCATAGTTTTGCGCTTGCAACACTTTTCAATGTCCACCAAATTTGTGTGCATTTTGATCCATTTATTGTAGTTTATGTTACACCGTTAACGTTTTGATAGTTTTTTTTCGGGCGCCTGTAAAGAAGAAGCTTCAGGTTCTTCTCCATTGAAATTATTTTATCTCCTGCTGGATTTGGATCATCCGCGATAAAAATTATTTTAATTAACATAATTTGCGCGTAATTGGTGTAGAATTGTGTATCTGAAACTTTGCTTTAACTCCAACATCTTCGCGTCAATTGTTTAATTTAATAGCTGCATGGACTCTTCATTGGTGTCATTGTAAATTTTTTACTTCAGCCAATTCAAATACAGCAGCCACGAGAAGCACTGGAGTGCCGCCCGGCGCGCTCAAACCCGGACCCTCGCCAGTGTACCGGCCGGGCCTCGCAGGCACGTCCGCCCTCCGCAAAGGCGCCAAGATGCTCAGCGTGCCCGAAGAGACGCCAGAGTTCCTCTCATACCAGGTAATTTTTCTTCCCCATTCATCCAAAATTGCTCCCTTGGGTTTCCTCCAACATATCTCACAATCAGAAGCTTTATAATTCAATTCAATTCAATTCAATTTTATTGTTGTTCTGTTAGACAAGAATATTAACAGTAGTCTTTAGAACATGTCAGGTCTAAAATTAAAATTTAGAGAAAAAAACCCGTTGCTTAGGGCAAAGGGAAAAAACTATAAGATTAGCGCGAGAAATTTCACTTGTCAAAACTGCACAGTAAGTATTCGTGTATGTCATAGAAGTTGTGTTCACTTAGCACTTGTTTCAGTTTCAGGGTGAATGTCTTTAGATCTTCAATTTGTTTTAACTCGGCCGGCAAGTGGTTGTAAATTCGAGCGATCATGACCGCCGGATTTTGCGCTGTCAAGTTTAGTGTCACTGGGGGTATGTGAAGGTCTTCATCGTTCACTGGCTTGTTTCTCGTATTGTAGACGTGAACTTCCTCTGCCTCATTGTTTCTGGCAAATTTATCAGGGTATTTCTTTACAAACTTCGCGCACTCCAATATGTACAAGGAAAACGCTGGGAGGATGTCAAAGTCTTTGAATAGTTGTCTGCATGACTCAAGTGGATCGGGTCCTTTCCAGTACCGTTTGCCAGCCATAGCCCGCAGCACCCGTTTTTGCGCGATAGCGACAAGATTAAAGTATGGGGAGGCACCGTAGATAATAATCGAGTACAAGATATGGCTTTGCACGTATGCAAAGTATACCTGTCTGAGACTACTCTTAGGCACTCTCTTGCCCATTTTCACAAACAAGTATGTTGCACTTCTTAGTTTCCCACTCGCATATTCGCACTGTGCACGCCAGTTCATTGTGTCAGTGAATATTACACCCAGAACCTTGCTCTCATTCGCCACTTCGACTTCCGTGTTGTTAAGTTGAACAGAAGGTTTTTCCAACTTCTTTGTCTGAGCGGTGTGAATTTGCATGACCTTCGTCTTTGAGGCATTTAGTCTCAGACGGTTGTTTTCGGCGAAGGTCTCCACACTTTTGTTTACTTGCGAGGTTTTCTCGTTAGCTTCGGTGTATGTATTACCCCTTGCGAGGCTCGTCAAATCGTCGGCAAAGACATAGAGGGTGGCAGCTACGCTTTCCAACGAAAAGTCGTTTTCATAGGCCGTGTAACTAAATGGTCCTAGCGACGTTCCTTGCGGTACTCCAATGGAGGAGTCCAACGTTGCAGATGTTACGTTCGTTATGGTCTGGTTTTCGTCAAGGTGCCTAAGTTGAACCACTTGTTTCCGACCCGTGAGGAATGATTTCATCCAAGAGAGTGATTTTTCATCGAGTCCATAGCATCTCAGTTTTCCGATCAGGATTTCGGGCACAACGCAGCCAAACGCATTTGAGAAATCGTATAGGATCATGTTCACTTTCTCTCGTTTCTCGATAGACGAGTGCAAGTCCGTGACTAGGTCATAGAGTGCTGTTACCGTGCTTTTGCCTTTTCTGAAGCCGTGCTGGAAGCCTTGAATTAGTTGATTGTCTGAAAAGTAGGCGTCAATTCTATTTAGGTAGCATTTCTCAAATATTTTTGCAACCGTTGACGTGAGAGCGATTGGTCTGTAGTTTGCTGCGTCGTTTTCCTCGCCCTTCTTCTTGTAGATAGGTACAATGGTCGCCAGTTTTAAATTTTCAGGAAATTTCCCCTCCACGAAGGAACAGTTTATTAAATCCGAAAGTGGCGTGGCAATGTAAGCGGAAATTTGTTTGATGACGCTCATGGATATTCCGTCCCAGCCAGCTGATTTTTTTGCAGGAAAGGCGCCAATGACTCTCCGAATCTCGTCTGGTGTTGTCAATTGATTAAGTGAAAATATCGTCTCCACTAGTGGGACGTCTTCAATGGCGAGTTGTATTTCTTGTTCACTCATTTCGGGAAGTGGCTCGATAAATTTAGTGTTCAGGAAGTCAGCAATTTTCTGCAAATCTTTTTCTTCTTGCCCGTCTATGCAGATTTCTGAAATAGTGGTGGATGTAATTTCATTGCCAACGTTCTCCTTGATGATTTTCCAAGCCGCTGAGACTTTGTTATTTGAACTCCTGAGCTTTGCTTCATTGTTTTTCCTGATCTCATCGTTAATTAGGAAGCCGACGTAGCTTTTGAGGCTCGCCACCTGCTGCTCCAGGTCCTTGATCTTGTCTGCTTCTGATTGATTGGTGATTGTATTTGCTCTTGCTTTCTTTCGTAGTTCTTGTAGCTGTTCACTCATTTCTCGCAGCCTGATTTTGTTGTTTATTGTAAAGTCAGAGAGATGAATTTTCCCGGCTTGGTTTGCTTTGCGGATATTTTTTCTCAAAGGGAAGCTCGCATCAAAATATTTTTTCAGTTTTTCCATGAACAAATGGCTCTTTGTGTCAGCTGAAGTAGCGGCGAAGATGTCCTGCCAGCGCTCGTAACTTAATTTTTCCTTGAAATTTAGCCAATTTTCATCATTATAGCTTCTTGAGAAGACGAACCAGTCCTTCATTTCTTCTACTCGAACCTCAAACTCGATGTGCACTGCGTTGTGGTCGGAGAAATTGACTTCTTTGACTTCAAATCTAGCATCACACTGAAGGGAGGTGAATGCGTGGTCAATGAGTGTGCTGCTGTGAGCAGTCTCTCGTGTTGGGGCATTTTTATTGATGAGGTGCATCTCGTAGCCTTTCATTATGCTATTTAGTTTCCGGCTTTCGGCGGAGTCCTGGAGCAGGTTAATATTTAGATCCCCCAGAACAATCATCTCCTTCTCTGGTGCCAGATTTTGCTCCACTAGACTCTCCAGGTTGTCGAAGAAAGACTCCATAGTGCCGTGATTGGGTGGTCGGTAGACAGTAAACACCGTCAACGTTGTTTTTTTAATTTTAATTTCACACCCTGCCGTCTCAAATTCATTTTCGATAGAAGAAGTTGGAATCTTCTTGTAGCTAAAATTAGCATTTGTTGAGACGAGAAGAACAGCACCTCCTCCGTATGATTTTTTATCTTTTTTCTCTTTCCTGCCAAAAAATGAAATTGTTTTGTAGCCTTTTATACTGAAGTAATCGCCCCGACACCACCAGTGCTCGTTGAGAGCGATGATGTGTGGTTTTTTGTTGAGGCTGTGGACATGTTCTTCGAAAGATGCAAATTTTTCGGCTTTGAGCAAACCCTGTACGTTTAATAGCATTATTCTCAAATTTTTGTGGGTTTTGGTGGAATTAGTAATTGTCACTTCTTCTTGGTCATCTTTCTGGTCATCTCGTTTTTTGATTTGATAGCCACCGCACTTGCTTTACGCAGTTTCTGTGACGTTGGAGAGCTTGGGCACGACGATGATGATGATGCCGAGTAGCTTCTTGTCACCCTTGTGCTCTCTGGATTTTTTTTCTTAACGTCGGGTTTCTTAAAGAGCGACTTGACTATTGCTTTGAGCGGAGAGTGACGAGTCTTCGGCGTTACATCTTGCTCATTGTCGCTCTCAGAGCTTTGGTATTGGCACTCATATTCCTGAGTTTGGCCGCGACTTGTGTCTTGCGCCGCGCTTTGGGAATTTGTTGGAGGCGCTGCTGTCGAAGCCATTGCAGGACCAGTTTCTGACTGCGGTTTATTATGCACCGTGTCAGTTTCTTTAGGTGCTTCCGCGTCTGTCTTTCGTGGTAGTGGTTGTGGTGGCCGTGTCACTTCTTCTGATTTGCGTCGTGGTGGTAGTGGAGGTGCCTTGCCTTTGCTGCACGTGGCTGCGGGCTTCGGCCCAGGCTTTTCTGGTGTCATTTGGCTACTCTGTAATTTATCATCAACTCTCCCCTGTATGTCTCTGTCATTTTTATCTTGCGCCGTGCTTTGAGCAGAGCTTGGAGGCGCTATTGCTGGGCTGGTTTTAGATTTCGCGCCAGTCGCGTTGTCTGAAACATTTATTGGTTTTAGGGAGTGGAAGACAAGAGTAACATCAGTGTCATGAAATATTTCTTTAATTTTAGTCACTGTGTATTTCCAATGCAGTCTGTACACCTCGGGTCGAATCAGAGCAATTCTTTTGATTTTCCTTTCTACCATCTTGTCCCTGATTGATACCAGGGAAATCTGCAGGTTCTGCAGGTAAGAATGAATTCCAAAGTGCGGAATATCTTTGCTCCTTTTTCTGCATACGGCGTGCCAAATCTCTCTGCTGCCGCCCTCTATCGACTGCACAAGAATGCTGCCAATTTGTGGCGGGCTCTCATTGCTTGCCTCGGGTGCTCCATATTTCTTTGCGAGGGCACGTTGTGCTGGCTCCACGCGCATCAAGTTAGCTCCCGTCATGACGAGGATGACGTCCTCATTTGTGTCTGCAATGTTATTTGTGATAAATTCAAATTTGACTTTTCCGTCGTATTTATTATTGGTGGGCGTTTCAATTATTTTTTCATACTCGTCCACGGCTGCTTTGTCTTTCGTGCCTCTCTTACTGCGATTATGCACTCGCTCGCTGCTGCCTGTTTGTGCAGAATCAGCACCACTGCGCTCCGCTTGCGGTGGCCTACTCCCGGCTGCCGCGGTCTCTGCTGCGTTGTCTTTTAATTTCTGCTTTGGTGCTTGTGCATTTGAATTGCCTATGACTTTTGCATAAGTGTTTTTAGAAGTGGCAATGTCGCCTACCTTGTTTTGCATACGCGGCTGCTGTTTTTTACCAAAAGATGCATTTTTTGGTGGCTGTGTGTGGCTCGGTCCAGAGGCCTGTTGGTCCCTGATGGCCTTCAGCAGTGCAATGACTTCTGGGTAGAAATCTGGTGGCGGTAGGTGGTTTTTTAGCGCATCCAGGCGAATTCCCAAGCGCTCGACGTCTGCTTGCAGCTCCGTTATGGTGTTTTCGAGGCTCATTCTTCCCGTCAAGATTGTGCGTTTACAGGTAGGCAAGGGGACGAACCGCCCAGGGTAGTTTAAGGGGGCAGCTCATCTGAGTCCCTTGGCAAACCTGTTCTCCGAAAAACTCGGAGTTACGGGAGAAAAGAGTAAATATCTGAGGAACAGATTTTACTTCGTGTTTCGCCTTACCTGCTGACTCAGCATAAAAGTTTGTTTCATCTATTTTTATCACATCCCTGAACGAGCGAAATTTTCAAGAGAAATTGTTATTTCTTATTATACTTTTGGCAATCGTCCTCGATATTTGTAACAGTTGAAGTATGTTTATCAATTTATCACTTAAATTTTCCCCTTCCTAAATCAAATGGGTAGAATAATTATCTTGCGTGTTAAATTAGCTACATTCAGATTTTCCTCGAAACTTGTTGTTGAATTTAGAATGGAGCATCTTAAATTTTGCAGACTAATCAGGAAGTTATAATAATAATAGAGCTTCATAAAGTTTCTACGATAATTTGACGCCCTCTCATTATTGTAAACCACATTGCGATATGAAAGCGTGGGTTGCGTTTGAGAAGCTTCAAGTCAAATTAGATGATTGAGTTTGAGAGTTGTGCAGAAGTTGGGGAACAAATTTTGAACACAATATTTGCATATATTTGTCTGCCAAGTAGTCACTCAAAGACGAATTTAATAATATGCCAAGTCTAGACGCTATTGTATTGCTCACTCGTTTGCTGAGCTAAGATATAATAGTATCGCATATTAAAATTTTGTGTATATGTATATCTGCTCATAAATGATCGATGGGAGGTTCACAATGATGAATGCAAAACTCCATTCGCCTCTCATTAACTGTGGGTGTAATAGGCCCGCGGCAGCAATGGTTTTAATAGGTAAACACCTGCCGCTTTCCTTTCCCTCCCCACGTTTTTTAAGTAAAATTTTGAAGTTTTAGTTTTTTGTAGAGAATACGATTCTTTTAGAGGTACAAAAAATTTGGGTGTCTATCTGTGATATTTTTTAATTCTGCTCATTTTACCACTGATTGTCATTTTTTTGTTAATGAATTAGAGTGATAAAAAGCAATGAACTAATTATGTGCAATTCTAATTTAGCTTAAAAATCAGAAACAACTAGTGCGAAATTTTTTTTGGAAAAAAATCGCTACAGAGTGCTCAGAAAAGTTAAAATGCGGCCATTATTAATGTCATAAATTTAAATTTTAAAAGAATTAATTTATACGGCCACCGCTTTTAACAAGAATAACAAAAAAAACTTGCGCACTAATGGCTTCTTGGCAGCTTGCACACTGCTAATCCTTGCCTTTTATCACCAAGCAAGACCTTCCCGTGCATAATTTAACACTTTTATAATGACTACGGGTCATCTCGTACATAGTTTCGAAAGTGCAAGTTCGTGTAAAAGCCTGTCTCGAGCTAGAGTGAAAATCCTTTTTGATCAAGGCAATAATTCAGCCATGTATATCACTTCGTGCGCTGATCCTATTCGGAACGTCTTATCTGGTATTAAATCCAGGCTGCATGTCACATTTCATTAGGTTGCTTTCAAAGCCCTGTGGCTGAAAATTTTCCGCTTGTTGAAAGTTTTCATACTGCAATGAAACGAGCTCAGCAGAAAACTTGCTGATATTGATTAATTCATTTAACCGCGTATTTCCTTTCTGCGTTAATGAGAGCGGAAGTTATTAAAAAACTGATCTGAATGAGTTTGCATCAATCAAGTTGCTCTTAGAAAAAAATGTACAAATAATTCTCTTTTTAGTTATGTCAAGAGAATGAAAATTGTAAAAAAAGTAGGTCTGCTAATTATTTTTATTCCTATTTAATAATTATACGATCTTAAAGGAAATATGCCAAATGAAATGAAGTGACTTTGAGTGAAAAGAACTCGATAAATGGGTCCTAAAGACACCTTGCTTTCCCGGAAAATCTTGTGTGTAAGCGAGTAATAAATTGGAGAAATAATAAAAGTGCAGATGTGACGTCGAAAAGGACGCTTCGAGCCGACGTGAAAAGTATTTGCATCACCATTACTTCACCTATATATCCGGCCGACCGATGCACCGTCTCTTCCAATAATTCTTTTGTTCCTTACTAATGACTTGTCACCAGCAAACGCACACACTCATGCCTGCATTCCTCGCGTTCCCCAATTTCAAAAAGTACTTTCCCGTGGGAATTTTGAAATAATTTTGACATATTTGAAATCTACATAAAAAGATGAGATTGGCGCAGTTTGAATCGTAATTCTACGACAGTTAGAAGTGAAAGTAGTTCTGGTACAAATAATTTTTATTAAAAGTTTTTATGTCATTTCGATCTGTTCTGATCATGATTATAAAATTTTGAATAATTTTTATCATCAATATTCAATTTGTTTCATAGTATATTATAATTGATTATTTTATATTGATAGAATTCTCATTTTCTCATACTCGGCCAAATTGACACGCGCCGCTGTTTCGTCGCGCGCGCACAGACTTTAGCGCGGATGCAAATGTTTTTTAGAACGCGTTAATCTAAAGAATTCAAAATTTCGCCGTTGGTAGGTAATGATGTAAAGTATGTTTTGATGTGCTAATTTTTAATAAGTCTTAATTGTGAGCGGAGTAATTAACGTTTCCGCGAGAAATTTGTTCTGGCTATTTAAAAAATGGAGAAAATTTTTAAAAAATATTAAAATAAAGAGAAAAATGTTGCCAATTAAATTTCCTACAAATTCCCTCATAGATCTGATGACGTCAGAATTTTTATTGCTTATGTACAGAAGACTTAAAGTCAAAAAATAATTTTTTTACTTATAACAAAATTTTTTTAATTTTTTTCAAGATTGCCAATCGATTGGAAATTTAATTGTCAGCCTAGAACTCGAATTTCATCAAAAAATATTCAGCCGTTTTGAAATAAGAAAAAATTATTTAACGACTCCTCAATCTGCTGAAGAAGAGGAGTAGTGGCATTGGCGCGCTCTTTGGAAAGAGAGATGCAAATTATTTGTACCAGAACTACTTTCACTTCTAACTGTCGTAGAATTACGATTCAAACTGCGCCAATCTCATCTTTTTATGTAGATTTCAAATATGTCAAAATTATTTCAAAATTCCCACGGGAAAGTACTTTTTGAAATTGGGGAACGCGAGGAATGCAGGCATGAGTGTGTGCGTTTGCTGGTGACAAGTCATTAGTAAGGAACAAAAGAATTATTGGAAGAGACGGTGCATCGGTCGGCCGGATATATAGGTGAAGTAATGGTGATGCAAATACTTTTCACGCCGGCTCGAAGCGTCCTTTTCGACGTCACATCTCCACTTTTATTATTTCTCCAATTTATTACTCGCTTACACACAAGATTTTCCGGGAAAGCAAGGTGTCTTTAGGACCCATTTATCGAGTTCTTTTCACTCAAAGTCACTTCATTTCATTTGGCATATTTCCTTTAAGGAATAAGCACAGCGCACAGCCTTTTTATCAAATAATTTTTCCTTTTCTAACAAAATATTCAGAACAACTATTTAATCAAATATCCAAGTTGGCATTGTTCACGGCATACCAATACTCGCATTTTTGTGCGTTCAATTGTGCTCATGTCAGACAGGAATTCGCAAATGGATTTGGGCTGGGTTTTTTTTACCCTTCAACGCTCATGAGCAACAATACATAGCAGAGAGCTCATATATGTCAAATTGCTGCTCTTCTCAGCTTTCAGGCAATTCCAAAGCGAGCGTGGACAGCATTGCAGAGTACTCGTACAACTCTGTGGCTTTCTACAGCGAGCCTCTTCAGGTGCACGACCGCGACGAAGAGGAGCGCTGGCGGCACCAGCAACGTGGCGGCACCGCGGCCAGCACTCGCGTCAAAGCGTCGCCCAGCATCGACCGACTAGAGGGACTGCGCAGGTATTAATCATCCCTTTTTCTACTCTTTCATTCAATATAAGAGCTCTCCCCATTAACCCTGCATGATGGTTAAAATAAAAAGTAAAAACTCAAAAGCCCCGGGGATTATAACTGAGTATGGGGATAAAAGCTGCACTTCGAGTGCTTCCCGACTAATTTTTTCTTTACATGAATATTAATGAAATATGGTTTTTCCAATGTGTTTCTGTCAGGTGGCAGGGAACGAGCGAAGTGCACCGCGAGCCGCGTCCCTGAGATTTTGTTTCCTCGCCGAACCCGTCAGGTCAGCTGGGCTGCGCACCGTGCAGTTCCAGCTCTTGTGTTGGTGGCGAGGAGGAATTGCTGCAAATTTCGACGTCGGGAAAACGCGGCGAACCGGTCTGGTTACACTTGCCGCAACTCAGTCCCAACGGAATCGCGCAGACCCAGTGTTAAATAATCTGCGGCGGTGACTTTGACTGCCAACGCGCACAACTTCCGTTTTTATTTCAATTGGACAATAAAATTGCGTGTTTACGAATCTTGAAGAGACAAATAGTAAAAAGCTTCAAGACAATAACTTTATAAATAGAGAGCTTTACATGACATGCAAAAAAATATGCCAACAAAAAGGCAATAAAATGAATAATATATTTTACTAATTATTGCTGACAGTGTTTCATGTCTGGACAGATTTTCTGTTAATTTCAAAACTTTTTCTCCAGATTTTCACTCAATCAATTGCCAAATGTTTCCAGTGTGAAATTCTTGCGGTGTTATTTGACGTGATGTTTCAATATTATATATGTGTAAAAATTTTAAAATTCATGTTTTTTTCCTTTGGTAAGTTACTTTTGAAAAAATCAAACATCTAAAGAATATCTCTAATTTCGAAAATGCTCACGCTAATTTAGCTGTAATTTAAAAGCTCAATGATTAGGCTACCGCGACAATGCCATTTTGGCAGTATTTTATTCAAAAATTCTCAAATGGTTAAATGTTGATCGCTGTTTTATGCAAACCATTCTGCTGTCTCAAAGTGTAACATGAGGGTGGATCTATTTTATAATAAAAAGCAAAAAAGACTGTTGGTGAGAAAATGTGGAGCCTGCTTATTTCACATTAAACTATACTTCCTCACTTTTTTCGGTGCCTTGTTGATTATTAGTCTACACTATTCAAAATTTAGGCATATTAATAGTGCATATACCGTTATTTTTCAAAATCAAGGACCTATGATGATAACAGTGGTATCTGTAGAGCAAATTATTTAAAGGAAACACACGGACAATCATATAGAAGTCCTTTATTTTGAAAATATTTTTTTTAGTCAAAAATTTTTCTGAATAATAAAACACCTGGGAACACACCTGGCGCTGTGCAAGTCTTGATAGTGCTCGTGGCCGACTACAAGAGTTTAATGTGAGGCTGTGAACTCCAAAGAGAACACAGGCCCTTTGCGCATTTTAACCAAGGCACTCGAATGTTAAATTAAACATGGGTGTTACTAATCAGGAATTTCGCTCTTCTCATTTGTCAATTTTTTATTATTGAATAATATAATAAAAAATAGCAGAATTTGAAGGAGAGGGTGTAAACATGTAGAATAGGCAAGAGCCTATTCTATCATAACTTATAAAGCGACGTCGCATATTACCAAAAGCTTTGTGATCGCCCCTGAAAGCCGGCAGCATTCGGTTTGGAAATTTGGAACCCTACGCTTTCCTTGGTGCCTCCGACGAGAGTCGTAATACGTTTTGGATGGAGCTACAAACTCTACGCAAACAACGCGATCCGGTCTTTCTGCTCCAGATACTTGATTAAAAAAGCAAATGAAAGGGAATCGGTGCAGGAGGAATATATCCACCGGCTCCCAGATTAAACCGTGCTATTTTTCTTGCAGAGGTGAAAAGTCGCAATAAATCTACTCTGAGGAAGGAACTGGGTCGGCGATTCACAAAGATCTTACCTGAGGTTGTGACGTGTTTGCCGCCAAGATGCGAGGGTACGTCGCAGACCAGGGGCCGTCTGGGCAGCCGCCGGAGTGGTCCGACATGATCCGAATGTCTCGATCTGTAGATGAAAAATTTTGTTTCAATCATTACATAGATGCAAAAACGTCAGAGTATAATAAAACAGAATGGGAGTGCAAAAATCCTGCATGAAAATTTTTTTATTCACATACATGTATAATATTTTCATTGTAAACATATGTGTGAAATGATAAATTAAAAATAAAACATTTTGACACAGCAAAACGTGTTTTGAAATTAAATGGGGTAGGAGGATGATTTTCTACATAAAGAGACAAAGCATAAAATTGAGAGAAGCCGAGAGGGCATAATCGTGTACATAAAAGTTGCTCTGGAAAAATCTTAATGTGTGTGCTCATTGATCAGAAAATATTTTAAATTAAATTTTGATAAAATGCACACACTGGCAAGGCGTATTCAGAAAATAAACAAAAACAGCATTTAATTTCAGTGACTGTGCGAAAATAAATAAATGGAAACATAAATTTAAAAAAAAAAACTATTTTTATGTAGAGGGACTTATATGAGAGCGGGATTTTATGTAGAACAGACGGGAAATTACGCGAGGAGCGGTTAATAAAAGGTAGATGAACTGGTTGAGAACAAAACGAGGCATAAAAGCATGGTAAAAACGTGCATAAAAAGGGACGAGAAATTAAAAATATAGAATATATCAGCCGCCGGTGAAAATACCTCGGGTCGCGGGAACGGACGGTGTATGGACGGTCTTTTGCGAGCTTGGAGAAGACGGACGACACTAATAAGCTTTGGATGACCACTGGAGTGATCCTGCGACCTTTCCAGGCAGGGTCACCTGCCCTGAAGGACGAAAATGTCAAGGGAAAACGACCCGCAGCTCGGTGTTTACATTGAAAGCACAGACAGCGACGAGCCAGCTCTCCTCTTGCTGCCTCTTGCCGCGCTCCGTTTCCCCTCCCCTTGCCCGAGCTCAGAATGGCGGCCCAATTTTGAATGCCAAAAACCGTTTGCCCTGCAGCCGGGCCGATTTTCACGCGACGAGTGTGGGCCGGGGACGCGTGGGATGTCATTTTTGACCCTCGATTCGAACTCTGGAGGTCTCATTTACCCTGAAAATGACCTTTTTAGCCCTCAGAATTTTATTTTGAAAACTCTATACAAGAAAAATGATAGCACGGATTTGGGCTTTGAAATGAATTTAATGAATTCCACCAGAGAGGCGCTGCGGTCGCGTCCTATCTTTCTTGAAATTCTTCCTTCCCAGCCAATTCAAAAGGGGGCGTAGAATTCGTCTCCCCCATTCTCATACAAATTTCTGCTGCAGAAAATCGGCTCTTGCACGACTTTAGATAATTTTTTTAGATTAAAATCCATTCTATCGTTTGCTGAAAACCCCGGCAAACAAAATTATCATGGAAAATCGCCGAATTTTTGCAAAGGAGCAGACAAAACGTGCTGTCGATGCGCTGCCGCGGCCCTTCAAAGTCCGTTTTCTTTGGCAAGAATCTTCTATTGCAGTAAGTCCCTTTATACAGTTAACGTTTTTGGGCTTTTTGAACCCTTTCCTGCATTCACCTGCACTGTCTGGAGCTGATAATTACCGCTAGTTACTCTCCAATCATCCTTTTCCTCCACATTCGCGAATGTCCCAAGACCCGCCTCAAAATTGTTATGGAAAATCGCCGAATTTTTGCAAAGGAGCAGACAAACCGTGCTGTCGATGCGCTGCCGCGGCCCTTCAAAGTCCGTTTTCTTTGGCAAGAATCTTCTAATGCAGTAAGTCCCTTTATACAGTTAACGTTTTTGGGCTTTTTGAATCTATTCCTGCATTCGCCTGCACTGTTTGGAGCTGATAATTACCGCTAGTTACTCTCCAATCATCCTTTTCCTCCACATTCGCGAATGTCCCAAGACCCGACATTCATTCACAACTCGGTGTTGGTTTTGGTTTGCTTGTTAAGTTTTGCAATTTGAGAATATTTTATATTTTAAACGTATTATTTGATCAGTGGCCAGCGTGGGTAGTTTGAATTACCTGCGCTTTGGTCTCTTGATATAAAATTAAATCCTATTATGTAGTTTTAATAAAGGAGGTTTTGAGAAAAAACAAAACCAGCATACCGGCAAGCAGTTCTAAAATATTTTTTTATGCAAGCATTGATTTCGTTGCAATGCGGTCTCTTCATCATTCGTAATTTTTAAACTATGAAACTTATGCTCAGTTTGTTTTTCAGTCGAGGCCTTGCGAGTGTGGCTATCAAGTACTCGAGTGGATTGTTCCGATGAGCGGTTCCAAGTAAAGCTTTGAACTTCGTAACTTCGAAGGCTCAAGTTAAAACTGCTCCTCTTGGCCATCAAGTTACTGACTGGTATGCAATTTATGCAATTTTTCTCTTTAGAGTGGCATTTTTTATCGTTGGCGCCGCAAATTTTCTCTCCAATTCACAGTCTGGGGTCAGTCGACAGCTGAAGAGAGCAGGAAGATTCCACCCTATGGGGCCTTCACACTCAAGACGCTGATTTTAGGTCTAGAGGGGATTGAACTGACAAAAAAGGAGCACCACAAGGCATTTTGAGTAAGCCCTAAATTTTTCATTTTCTGTGTTAATTAACGCCAAATAGTATAACTTTGTGCGAAACTTTTTTTAAAAAATCGTAAATATATGTTAAGCTAATGACCAGCCGGGGACGTAAACAAAAATCACTGTTGCCGTATTGTATTGCCATCATTGGAAACATTTTCTTCAACGCCTGCTCTGCTCTCTAAATTTCAATAATTTTTATCACTCATTATGAGCATTCATGCTTCATCCTTTTCATTTTTCATTTGATTGCTCTTTTGCTCTCGTAAAATTAAATAAAATCAATTCTTTAATGTGGTCAATGAATTTTATCTAAAAAATATATGTATAGTAAAAAATAATTGAAAACTCAGAATGGAAAATTTAAACGGGGAGCTGAATATTTTGATATTTATGTCGCGGGCGAAATATCTTTCATATTTATATAATACGTTTTAGAAAAGTAATGAAACTAAAATTTTAATTTAAGGTTGAATAACAAATATTTTTTTTTATAATCTTTATCGTAAAATTTAAAAAGTAAATCAAAATTGCCATTTGTTTTGCATAGCTTTTGCATTGTTTATTTTTGATCTGCAAATGTAATAAAAATTTTAGTAAAATGAGACAAAAAAATTGTGGAAAATGCGTAGAGCAAATGCAAAAATATTTTATGACAAATAATTTGGGACAAATACTTTTCAAAAAAATTAGGATAAAATGAAATTAAGAGCATCACGGGTCAAATCAAAATTTTTTTTTTTTTTTTTTAAATTAAAATTAGCATTCATTTGCAATCAAAGTTCTCGTAAAACAGACAGGCAGTGCAACAAAATAAACCTAAAAAGTTGGGCTTACGTAAAATACAAGAAAAATCTCAAATACCACGCCCTTTTTTTATTTTGGACTTCTAAACAAAAGAGAAAAAACTCAAAATGCCACGCCGCCTTTTGATTTTGTGCTGAACACAAAAACCAACTTTGAGACCACCGACCGCCCCTGTTTTTTTGAAACCAAATGGCAGCTAGAAGAAAATGCAGCGCACCAAGCGCTGCTTGGGTGCTGGCGGCTGAGTCACGAATTTTTTTAGCAACAACTATGATGCACAGTGAAATATGAGCCGAAACGGTTCACAGGGGAACTGGTTCAGATTGTCTATATTACTACTAAGAATTTTAAATATAAGCTAATTCAACATTGTAAAATCCTTGAATAATAAATTTAACGCGCGCGTGATTGCATTTTTAACCCTCAGGGGAAGACGCGTGCTTTATTTATTTGGAATTGTCCAAACTTAGTTGATGTGTAGTTATAGGAAAATCCTTTTTAATATTTAATTAATGCGCGTGCAATTGTTTAATCATCAGGAAACATACGCGCTGCATTTTCATCAAAAATTGTCAGAAATTGCAACAACGATGAATTAACGCGTGTGTTTATGTTGACCCCTAGGAAACACACGCGTGCGCCTTATGTTATGGAAATAAAACATTTCCAAATTTATCATTTGAACGACATACGGTGGGAACTCGCGAGAGACGTGCGCGTGCATTTTTCATTAAATAATTCCAAATCACTTTAATTTAGCATCGGAACAGCCTATAATGGCATTGGAACGCGCGGGCGCGCCATATTGAATAAAAATAAACAAAATTCATCATTAGAACAGCAATTGGTGGTCAGAAATCGCGCGTGCAATTGTATAACACGCGGGGATGAATTTTGTGTATTTTTATGCAAGTATTCCGAATCACTCGAAATTAGCATTGGAAACTCTATAACGGAGAATTAGCCCGGGTGCATCGATTGAAACGCGTGTATTGAGACGAGCGTATTGATTAAAACGACAAAGATAATTCCAAAATGAAAATCTTCATACACCTGCGTTTTATGCATTTTCAAACCGCCGTCGCCCGAATTTGGCCGCGGCAGTCGAATGTCGGCCCTGAGCCCAGTCGGGGCGCGCCTTGGGTCCGCGTCGAGTAATACGACTCGCCCAAGCGAAAATTGTTTAAATTGCATAACCCAAATTTCATGTCGTAAATTCTGCCAATCGGCCGTGACGGGCCTAGGCGACCGCTGTAAAAATCGGCCCGAAAATTAGCTTCATTTTGTTTTATAGAAGTTGAAAATCGGGCGAGCGGCGGCCGCCGGCGTGTGCTTTTCTTTCTCCCCATAAAAAATACACAGCGCGTGAGAAAGCAAAACGACGGACGAAACTCGGAGGCGCCGTGTTTTAATAAAAACACTCGGAAACCCGCGATTTATGCTAATTCCAACCGCGGTCGGCCGAATTCGGCCATGGGTGACGTAATTCGGATCCGGGGGCCCGCGGCGATCGATTCGTCTCGTTCCGAGAGGAAACGCGTGTTAATTCCCATAAGCCGAATTTTCTGGCAATTTCGGCCGCGGAGGGACTGGGCGACCCCAGGAAAAATCTGCCCAAAAATTAGCTTCATTTTGGTTATTAAAAAACGAAAATCCGACGCGAGTTAGGCCGCCGGCGCGAGCTTGCACATTCTCCCATAAGAATAACATCGCAAGGGTCGTTTCACTCGATTTTTAAAACCCTGAGGTTTTTTGATATGGGAATGCGACCCAGGGTCCATAGTGATTTGGACTCGTCTTGCGAAGGCGCACAACGCCTGTTTTGTACTTTATTTTTATTTTTTACTTTTCATCACAATGTATTTTCTAAAAAAAAAAAACATTTTTTACCCTTCCGAGGGCTGCGCTGGAAAACCGTGTTGCGCGGTTCTTAAAAATCGAGTCACCCTGGGAGGATGTAGTGCATCAGTGGGGCCAACTTCCACGGAGAAGCCCCGGTGAGCCTTGATTTTTTTAAATCTGTCGTTTGCACGCATTTTCCGCCAAAAAAAAAAAATGAATTTTTCACGTTTTTCGGCAAAAACCCTGAATTTAAGGTACGAAGGAAGGGTCTGAGCGAAAAAGTGAGCGACATGTTTAAAAAGCAAATTAAATTCCACATCGAACGGTGGCAACGCCATCCTTCTCGCTCGGGCAGGAGCCGCGGAATTAAACTCGCGAGTATAAAACACGTCGAGGGCCAGCGCGGGGCTCCACCCTTGTCAAACAGGAGGCCATTGAGGCCACGACCGAGTCCACTTCGAGACCATGGTCTCTATGGACTCGAGCGTGGCCTCAGTGGCCTCGAGTTGAGGTCACTTTGAGCACTGACTCCGTGGCCTCTATGGACTCGGTGTGGTCTCCGTGGACTTGGAGTGACCTCGGCGGTCTCCATGGACTCGGAGTGATCTCGGTGGTCTCCGTGGACTCGGAGTGGTCTCCGTGGACTCGGAGTGACCTCGGTGGTCTCCGAGTGATCTCGGTGGACTCGGAGTGATCTCGGTGGACTCGGAGTGATCTCAGTGGTCTCCGTGGACTCGGAGTGACCTCGGTGGTCTCCGTGGACTCGGAGTGATCTCGATGGTCTCCGTGGACTCGGAGTGATCTCTGTGGACTCAGAGTGACCTCGGTGGTCTCCGTGGACTCGGAGTGATCTCAGTGGACTCGGAGTGATCTCGGCGGTCTCCAGGCACTCAAGAGTGAGCACACTTGGCCTCAAGTTGTGATTTTTCACTTTATTAGTGATGTTATATTATTAAAGTAAAATTATGAGCCAAATAAATAAATGAATTTGACACTGATCAGATCCTTCTTGCTCGGAAACAAAATTGTTGACGCATAAAAAAATATATATTTTAACCAATAGCAAAATATTGCTTATGTCTATTTCAGGAATGGAACAATTCACAAATAAAAAATAAAAAAAATGTATATAATATGCAGAAGTCATTAACATTTTTATATACCTTTAAGCAATGACTTAATATAACATTCTGTATTGAACTCACTCAACTCTGGGTTTAACATCGTGACAAAAAAGAAGGGTGCAAAGCATATAAAAAAATTATTTTTGAGAAATAAAATTTAATCACAAATCAAGAGCATTTTGGCGCCCGATTTAATAAATACTCAGCAGGAACACTCTGGCTTGTTTGCCTTGGAATACCGGCCTCCGAAAATGTGAATCCCGGAGCACTGCGCAGAACAATTTTTTTTATTATTAATTTTTAACTTGTGCGTGTTTAATTAACGTACCTGGTGAGCGCTGCGTAAGGTGGAATGAGGTTCACACATTTTCGGAGAGCAGCTGCAGATTTTGAATTGCACTAGGAACGAACTGATTACTCAGGTGAGCAGAGAGTCCTTCCTATTTTCATCTCGGCGGCCACTTGAGCCTCTCGTGTTTTGGGAAACTGGCCTGCGTTAAGGTGAACTGAGCACTGAGCAGAACAATTTTTTTTAATAACTTTTAACTTGTGCATTATTTTATTAAACGTACCTGGTGAGCGCTGCGTAGGGTGGTAAAAGGTTCAGATTTTGTCAGAGAGCAGCTGCGGATTTTGAATTGCACTGGGAACAAACTGATTACTCAGGTGAGCAGAGAGTCCTTCCTATTTTCATCTAAGCGGCCACTTGAGCCTCTCGTGTTTTGGGAAACTGGCCTGCGTTAAGGTGAACTGAGCACTGAGCAGAACAATTTTTTTTAATAACTTTTAACTTGTGCATATTTTTATTAAACGTACCTGGTGAGCGCTGCGTAGGGTGGTAAAAGGTTCAGATTTTGTCAGAGAGCAGCTGCGGATTTTGAATTGCACTGGGAACAAACTGATTAATCAGGTGAGCAGAGAGTCCTTCCTATTTTCATCTCGGCGGCCACTTGAGCCTCTCTTCTTTTGGGAAACTGGCCTGCGTTAAGGTGAACTGAGCACTGAGCAGAACAATTTTTTTTAATAACTTTTAACTTGTGCATATTTTTATTAAACGTACCTGGTGAGCGCTGCGTAGGGTGGTAAAAGGTTCAGATTTTGCAGCGAGCAGCTGCGGATTTTGAATTGCACTGGGAACAAACTGATTACTCAGGTGAGCAGAGAGTCCTTCCTATTTTCATCTAAGCGGCCACTTGAGCCTCTCGTGTTTTGGGAAACTGGCCTGCGTTAAGGTGAACTGAGCACTGAGCAGAACAATTTTTTTTAATAACTTTTAACTTGTGCATATTTTTATTAAACGTACCTGGTGAGCGCTGCGTAGGGTGGTAAAAGGTTCAGATTTTGTCAGAGAGCAGCTGCGGATTTTGAATTGCACTGGGAACAAACTGATTACTCAGGTGAGCAGAGAGTCCTTCCTATTTTCATCTAAGCGGCCACTTGAGCCTCTCGTGTTTTGGGAAACTGGTCTGCGTTAAGGTGAACTGAGCACTGAGCAGAACAATTTTTTTTAATAACTTTTAACTTGTGCATATTTTTATTAAACGTACCTGGTGAGCGCTGCGTAGGGTGGTAAAAGGTTCAGATTTTGTCAGAGAGCAGCTGCGGATTTTGAATTGCACTGGGAACAAACTGATTACTCAGGTGAGCAGAGAGTCCTTCCTATTTTCATCTAAGCGGCCACTTGAGCCTCTCGTGTTTTGGGAAACTGGCCTGCGTTAAGGTGAACTGAGCACTGAGCAGAACAATTTTTTTTAATAACTTTTAACTTGTGCATATTTTTATTAAACGTACCTGGTGAGCGCTGCGTAGGGTGGTAAAAGGTTCAGATTTTGTCAGAGAGCAGCTGCGGATTTTGAATTGCACTGGGAACAAACTGATTACTCAGGTGAGCAGAGAGTCCTTCCTATTTTCATCTAAGCGGCCACTTGAGCCTCTCGTGTTTTGGGAAACTGGCCTGCGTTAAGGTGAACTGAGCACTGAGCAGAACAATTTTTTTTAATAACTTTTAACTTGTGCATATTTTTATTAAACGTACCTGGTGAGCGCTGCGTAGGGTGGTAAAAGGTTCAGATTTTGTCAGAGAGCAGCTGCGGATTTTGAATTGCACTGGGAACAAACTGATTACTCAGGTGAGCAGAGAGTCCTTCCTATTTTCATCTAAGCGGCCACTTGAGCCTCTCGTGTTTTGGGAAACTGGCCTGCGTTAAGGTGAACTGAGCACTGAGCAGAACAATTTTTTTTAATAACTTTTAACTTGTGCATATTTTTATTAAACGTACCTGGTGAGCGCTGCGTAGGGTGGTAAAAGGTTCAGATTTTGTCAGAGAGCAGCTGCGGATTTTGAATTGCACTGGGAACAAACTGATTACTCAGGTGAGCAGAGAGTCCTTCCTATTTTCATCTAAGCGGCCACTTGAGCCTCTCTTCTTTTGGGAAACTGGCCTGCGTTAAAGTGAACATCTGGAGCACTGCACAGGAAGTTGTCTGAAAGTGGATTTCCTTATTTTCGTACCTTTTTGTAATGATTCATGATTTCATTTACCTAATCTCTCTCAATGGAGTTAACTAATTGTTGCGCAAAAAGTCTGACGTCAACGTTTACCAGATAAGCTTTTTTTCCCAAGGCTATTGGCGCAACAAATATAATATCGTCAGTTAGTTGGACCTCTGTAATAAAGTCTGTTGAGGCGATTTTCAGTTCCTCGTCTTTTGCCAAGATGGTGTCCAGGACTTTGTATTTTCTGCAGTTTGCATATACTCTGCTGGTTTCGTCTGATAGCTTGAGGAGGACAAAGTTTTTGACACAGACTAATTCATTGTTGGTTGTATAAACGGAATGGTTTGCTCTCTTTTTTAATCGTTTATGGTCAAGTGCGCTGATTAACATTTTGTTGAAAACTCCTCTATGATATAATTTGGTTACAGTAAATGGTTGATCTTGCTTTTGAGCTAGGGCTGTCATTTCATCTTGTGTTAATGGCTTTCGCACACCATGGCCCAATAAAGTTGTTATTCCGACTTTTATTGCCTTTTTACTCTCTCGTGTTCCAGCCTGCTTCAGGGCAGTTAGGCATTCCTTAACAATTTCTGATGAACACTTATTTATTTCCAACCCTGAATATTTGATAAATTGACTAATTTTGTGTTTTCTAAGCTTCTGTTCCCCTTGATACAGTGTTCCAGAACTTAATTTTGCCACTTTTCCATTTTGCCCCTCAAACATGAATGTGCTAGCGTCCCATAGGGAACCCCATTTAGAGCAAATGCCTGGGATGTGCTGGAGGATGTGTAGATTATAAATCTGCATGTTTTCCTTAAATTTTTCTGGGAATTGCTTAAGAAATTTTTCCACACTCTTCCTCGCCAGACTTTGTTGCTCTTGTGTGGGAATTCTTTCTTGCAGATATATGCGTAGAGCCCAGATTAGGAGAAAAATGTGGTTCAAAATTTCTTCCGATATGAAGTTATGGCACACTGGCAAGAGAGCATACAAGAAAAAATTTTTTGCAGGAGCTGCTTTGAAAGTGCTGAATTTTGAAAGTTTTTCTGGCAGCCTGGTAATTTCACTCGGAGGTTTGACGTTCAAATACAAAATTTCCATTTCGTTGAGATTCTTTCGAAAAGAAAACGTTTCTTTGGTGAATTTTGCACCAAATACAGCGTCGGCCCAACTTTTCATGACACCAATATCAATGGAGTGTAGATAGTCATTTACGAACCCATCAACAATGTCAAATGGCTTGATGGTGGCAAGAGTGCTGACTCCCTTAACTCCGTTTACATGTAAATCACTGAGTGATTGCAATTTTTGTTTTTTCCTTTTAGGGGCAGATTTTTCAGCACCTTCAGCAAAAATTCTTTTCAAATTTAAGCATTCTCTGGCGTTGCTAAGGAAGTTTCTTTTGTTTCTTAGCAATTTCTCCTCTTCATAAGGGAAAATCCTAGTTTTTCCTTTTCCCTTGACTATACTTTTTGCTAGACGGAAGCACCAGTTACACGAGAAAAATCCTCCGGGATTTTGGAGTTTGCAAAGTTCTGCTCTAGCCGGTGCATCGACCGCTGCTACAATTAAGTGAATTTTTGGACAGCCCTTGACCGTCTTTAAGCCATTTTTATGCAAATCCTGCAATTCTTCCTTTAAAGGAGCTAAGAATGCATCAAAGTTAGGCTTTAGCTTAGAAACCCACATTGCGCACATAACGTAGTGCTCACTTCTTAATGAGAGGGGAAGCTCATTAAGAGTGAGATATACTGGCCAAAAACTCAAACCACCGTGCTCTGCGGCTTGAACACCATCAGTGTTAAACTGCAGAGTGAAATCATTTTTTCCAATTTCATTTCTATCTTTCAGTTTCTTGTATTGGTAGCTGTTTGTTACTGAATACACGGTCTTATCTTCTTGGTAATCTTTCATTCCTTGGAGTACTTTTGGGTCATTTAAAATCAGACCCAGCCACGCATGAGCAGGAGACGTGGTGGGGGAGAGCGAGTTTTGCTGGCGCTGCTGTTGCTTTCCCAGTGACGTAACTGGGGAAGGAAAACCCATGCCGCTCCCAGCTGCTCCCATCTAAATGCATTGTTTTGCACTCTTTGCCGCGTTTTCCGGTCAAATATTGTCGATTCAAGGCGGTTTTGAACATAATCTGCAGGTGTCAGACTAGTTCGGAACCTAGGGAAGCTTTGGCAACGAAGAAAAAGCATCTCAAATCAGCTGGAAGCACGAAAAGCCACGAAAATTCGGCCAATATCTCCGTGACGGCGAAGTTGCGGCTCAAAAAAGCAGCGGAAAACTCGGATTTTTTACGTTTTGTGAGTCGATATGTGCTTCAGTGCCGGGATGTCAACAAATTAAGTCGTTTCTGATCATATTTGTGCATGTCCGATTGTTTTTTGTGAGAGAAAAGCGGAAACGAGTTTAGCAACCGGACAAGTTGTCCCACGGAATTAACCAATATCTCGCTCTGATTCAATGTTTTAGAATTTTGGCGATTGAAAAGTTTATATTTTTAGAATAATTAAAGCATGAGGAAAATCGCTGTGTTATTTATTTTTTAATCCGAGCAGCCGTTGTCTCGCTATGAGCATAATTACGCGGCGGCCACTGCTTTGTTGCTTCGCTCGGCTCTCTCTCGCTCGAGTCGCCCGACTGCTGCACTCGCGGGTGGAGAGCGGCGCGCTCGATTAATTAGACGTTTGCGCGAATTTTTTATTTTATTAGTAAGCGTTGAGATAAATCGTTCAAATTTTCAGCATTGGTAGCAAACTAACTGAATTAATTTTTTATTTTTTATTCTTAAAAAAATATTTATCTGGAGCAAAGTTATTAATGTTTCCGCGAGAATTTTGTTATATTAATTTTTAAATTAGACAAAAAATTTTAAAAGTACAAACCCTAACAGAAAATTGTAGCTAATTAAATTCTCTACAATTTACTTTGCATTCGTTTTGTTGTCAAAATTTTTTTAATTTACCAACGGGATGACCAAAGTCAAAACATTACTTTTTCTCATTGAAATAAATTTTTTAGATTTTTTCTGAGATAGCCAATCGATTGGAAATTTAATTTTGATTTAAGAATTAAAATTTCATCACAATACGTTGAGCCGTTTAGAAATAAGAGCGTCTGAACTAAAACCTGCTAATCAGCCTCGACGGCAGTTTTAGGGAGCATCAGTTAGTACTTTGTGATTTCTAAACGGCTCAACATATTGTGATGAAATTTTATCTAAAAATATAAACTTTTCAATCGCCAAAATTCTAAAACATTGAATCAGAGCGAGATATTGGTTAATTCCGTGGGACAACTTGTCCGGTTGCTAAACTCGTTTCCGCTTTTCTCTCACAAAAAACAATCGGACATGCACAAATATGATCAGAAACGACTTAATTTGTTGACATCCCGGCACTGAAGCACATATCGACTCACAAAACGTAAAAAATCCGAGTTTTCCGCTGCTTTTTTGAGCCGCAACTTCGCCGTCACGGAGATATTGGCCGAATTTTCGTGGCTTTTCGTGCTTCCAGCTGATTTGAGATGCTTTTTCTTCGTTGCCAAAGCTTCCCTAGGTTCCGAACTAGTCTGACACCTGCAGATTATGTTCAAAACCGCCTTGAATCGACAATATTTGACCGGAAAACGCGGCAAAGAGTGCAAAACAATGCATTTAGATGGGAGCAGCTGGGAGCGGCATGGGTTTTCCTTCCCCAGTTACGTCACTCGTGAAGCTTCGCGGCAGTGCCGCGCAAAGTCGCTCTGCGCGCCTACCACGAGGCCTTTGTGGCTGGGGCTGTTTAAAATTTGATTTAACTGTGGTGCAACTTTGGTGTATAAAAAATAGCTCCGCATACCAATCAATTTCGTCTTCTTGTACGTCGCTAAGCACCTTGTGCACATTGTTTCTGCTTGATCATCTTGAGATTGGGTTGTGCAGATATTGCATTTTGGACACAAGAAATATCTCTCATTCTTTGAGATTTCAAAGTTCTGTAGAAACTCATGGGTAGATGTGAACAAATTGGCCGGCAGAAAGCAATTGGCAAAATTCAAAATATGCCTGATTTTGTTGTCCGGAATTTTAAGTGTAAGGATTAACTCCAGAGTTAAATACATTGCTTCAATGTTTGTGATCCTTGCACCAGTGTATAATGCCCTCAAATCCATCTAAGAGGCAAATATTATTGTTTCTATTAAAAAATTTTCAGTTCACTTTCAATACCCCATTGTTTTCAACAGCAGACACTTTGGATTTGTCCTTGGGTAGGTTTATCAAAGAGTTACTTGTTGAATCACCACTCTGCAATTGATAGTAAAAATAACATTGTGCTCTTTTATATCACAAATAAATTTCCTGAATGACATATCAACACCAACTGTACTCAATTAAGTGAAAATAAAATAAAACAACTCATAACAAAAAATATGAATAATAGCGAGCAATTATCTTTGTCAGGGTCGCTCTCTTCCTCCGTAAAATCATTGTCACTCTCTGATGCTATTATTGAATCTATGTATGAACAAAAATCACCAGTTCTGTCTGTCTCGTCGCTACTGGTAGAAGTATCCGATAATTTAGATTGCTGCAAGAGATCTAATTTCAGTTACAGTGGACAGAACTTTTAATTTATGTTAATAAAAAAAATTATTACGCAGTCATATTGTTAAATCTAATTTACATACATCATCGACGGTGCAGACACTGGAGACTTCAATCTCTTCCGGAGCATCATCCATTTTCATATTAATTATTCAAACAATTTTATGATGTATCTATGAATAATCCACTTTTACATTTTTTAAAAAAATCAGATAAAGTAAGAGGACGCACTACTGAATAAATTTGTCCACATTGAACCAAAGATTTCCATCACCGCAGTTAAATAAACGTACAATTAAAATTTGCATACCATCGTGACCGTCCTTGTGATGATTGAATTTGAATGATGATTGCACTTTGTTTTGATTGCACTCCGCGATCACTCTGGGAACCGCCCACCATCATCGATCATCAGAATCCTCAATCCAGTCTCCAGTCCATCCTCCGATGCGAAAGCTCTCGCACGCACTTGCCCTAAAAGTGCACATTTATGATTTACATTACCAAAATTTTGGAGATTATCTTTAAATATGAACGATTCAGATGTTGCACGAGCCAGCGCTGATATGCAGCAATATATGATCTGCCAATTCAAGTCTCCGCCTTGGGCTGACTATGATTCAGAGGAGAATATTTTTGTTGCCCCTTCGAGGTGGCTCGTGTCTAATGATGCATCTGTGGGAGACGATGAATCGCAAAAGACTTCAGACGAAACTCGCATCCTCAAATGGCCGAGAGTGCCTATTGGAAAGAATTATGTTAAGGAATATAAGAACAGAGATGCAGACCTGGAAGTGACTTTCTGCAATTACGAAGTGGAAGTGTTGTTCTCATCCGATGGTTGGTTCACTTATTTTTTCTTAATGGCTGACAACTTTATGCCTGTTGTAATTAATGTGATCGTATTGAAGAAATTTTGGGCGCATCATTAAATATTTGAACATTACTTCAGATCCAATTGAAATTGATGCCAAACTCCGAAACCTTAAGTCATTCCAGTCCATCTCAACTCCTCATCCCAGAAGCCGCCAAGAACGAGCGAAAAGAGTTTTGGATGGCATTGCTTGCCCCCTTGGTAAACAAATTAAGATGATTCCTAATAGTGTTTCTCAGGTAATTACAAATTAAAATTACACTACGTGCGATTAGTGTATATTTCTGATAGGACGAAACTGAAAATCCCGGAATAGGTCACCTTAATTTGGAGGAACTGCCACAGTCTAGCTCTGTTATTAAAGATTCTGGTTTAGTCAAGTCATCCAAGGTACTTTTTTTGTATACATGAGTATTTTAATAACATTTTTACCTTAGGTTGTGGAAGATATTGAGAAGGAAATGGAAATGTTGAACGAGTTGGGTGATTTGAGCTTCGATGATGACACAGTTGTGCGCAAAAATCTGCAGGTTTAAAATTGATTTAAATTTTGCACCAGAGATATTTCAACTCTAAATTCATATTTAGGAAGCCTTAGCCAAAAATAACCTGGATACAACCCCAATAGATAACATACCAGACTCTCAAATGTTTGATGATTGCCAAAAGGAAAGTCCAGAAGAAAAAGTAGAGGATAAAAGTTTGCAGCAGGTAATATATTCATTGAAAATATTTATCAGTAATCTATTACTTTTAATATTAATAAATATCATTAAATTTTCTACTCATTGAATTTGTTATAGTAAAGTTATGAAGCTGATGATTTGACTCCAAGAAAAGCTCTCCTCACTGCTGAATTGAAATTAGAAAGGAAGGAAAAGGAATTAGCATTGCAAAGAGAGCAAAACGCGATTCTTAAGCTACAACTGTCAGAGAAAGGCAAGACTTATAATTAAATATATATCAAAGTTAATTTCTATGTTTTTAAATTTTTCTTCAGAGATATCACAGATTAGAAAAAGGAGGAGATCTTTGAGAGACAAGCAGGATAAGACTGATGATGATTCTCAGCAAGTGAACAACACAGCTCCACCAACTAACACGAAAAACTTAAAAAGGCTGCGTAAAATTCCCATCACTGAGAAAAGATCAGACCCAGAGGATTTGGTGCAGGTACATAATTGTTGAAATGAATTATTTGTGATGTTACATGATTCTGTTTGCAGGTTGATGACTTTGTCATCATCAGCCCCGAACTAAAAATTTCCAAATCAGACCTCCATGAATGTTTAGCCACTAACAATGCAGGAATCTTTCTTGGAAAGTTGATAAGAAAGTTGTTTTCTACTGAAGAACTAAATGAATATTCGTGGAGTGGCTCACAGTGTGCTCCCAATACAAAAAGAGGAATAGGACAAAAGAAGGAGTTTCCTCCAAACCACAAGATCAAACTCTTGGGTGAGAAAAAACTTAGTATTAGTTGTAGGCACGTTACCAAAGTTGAATTTATTTAATAGATTTTACTCGAAAGTTGTTCGTTGTCGACGATGTGAGATTCAGAAAAATTATTGGCAAAATTTTGACCAATTCCAATAGGGAATAAACAGAATGCAGCTCTGATAACATAACTTCTATGTTAACTTTATCCTGAATAAACTAGATTTCATGGGAAAATAAACTATAATGAAATGAATATTGTGTCTTTTACACTCTTTTGAATATGAAACGCATTTCATACAATACACATGCATTATCAAATTAATTAAGAATCTTTTGAAACAAGGCTATTGAATTTTTAAAATCCTCCAATGAGCCAGGTAATAAGAGTATTGTAAATTAATTTATAATAAGTAATTAATAATCAACACTTATAGTTTCTAGTTTAAATTCTCTGCTCAACACATCAATCAGTCAATCAGTTTGTTCCTAGTGCAATTCAAAATCCGCAGCTGCTCTCTGACAAAATCTGAACCTTTTACCACCCTACGCAGCGCTCACCAGGTACGTTTAATAAAAATATGCACAAGTTAAAAGTTATTAAAAGAAATTGTTCTGCTCAGTGCTCAGTTCACCTTAACGCAGGCCAGTTTCCCAAAAGAAGAGAGGCTCAAGTGGCCGCCGAGATGAAAATAGGAAGGACTCTCTGCTCACCTGAGTAATCAGTTTGTTCCCAGTGCAATTCAAAATCCGCAGCTGCTCTCTGACAAAATCTGAACCTTTTACCACCCTACGCAGCGCTCACCAGGTACGTTTAATAAAAATATGCACAAGTTAAAAGTTATTAAAAAAAATTGTTCTGCTCAGTGCTCAGTTCACCTTAACGCAGGCCAGTTTCCCAAAACACGAGAGGCTCAAGTGGCCGCTTAGATGAAAATAGGAAGGACTCTCTGCTCACCTGAGTAATCAGTTCGTTCCTAGTGCAATTCAAAATCTGCAGCTGCTCTCCGAAAATGTGTGAACCTCATTCCACCTTACGCAGCGCTCACCAGGTACGTTAATTAAACACGCACAAGTTAAAAATTAATAATAAAAAAAATTGTTCTGCGCAGTGCTCCGGGATTCACATTTTCGGAGGCCGGTATTCCAAGGCAAACAAGCCAGAGTGTTCCTGCTGAGTATTTATTAAATCGGGCGCCAAAATGCTCTTGATTTGTGATTAAATTTTATTTCTCAAAAATAATTTTTTTATATGCTTTGCACCCTTCTTTTTTGTCACGATGTGAAACCCAGAGTTGAGTGAGTTCAATACAGAATGTTATATTAAGTCATTGCTTAAAGGTATATAAAAATGTTAATGACTTCTGCATATTATATACATTTTTTTTATTTTTTATTTGTGAATTGTTCCATTCCTGAAATAGACATAAGCAATATTTTGCTATTGGTTAAAATATATATTTTTTTATGCGTCAACAATTTTGTTTCCGAGCAAGAAGGATCTGATCAGTGGCAAATTCATTTATTTATTTGGCTCATAATTTTACTTTAATAATATAACATCAGTAATAAAGTGAAAAATCACAACTTGAGGCCAGTGTGCTCACTCTTGAGTGCCTGGAGACCGCCGAGATCACTCCGAGTCCACTGAGATCACTCCGAGTCCACGGAGACCACCGAGGTCACTCCGAGTCCACAGAGATCACTCCGAGTCCACGGAGACCACTGAGATCACTCCGAGTCCACCGAGATCACTCAGAGACCACCGAGGTCACTCCGAGTGCACGGAGACCACTGAGATCACTCCGAGTCCACCGAGAACACTCCGAGTCCACCGAGATCACTCGGAGTCCACGGAGACCACTCCGAGTCCACGGAGACCACCGAGATCACTCCGAGTCCATGGAGACCGCCGAGGTCACTCCGAGTCCATGGAGACCACACCGAGTCCATCGAGGCCACGGAGTCAGTGCTCAAAGTGACCTCAACTCGAGGCCACTGAGGCCACGCTCGAGTCCATAGAGACCATGGTCTCGAAGTGGACTCGGTCGTGGCCTCAATGGCCTCCTGTTTGACAAGGGCAGTGGCCCGAATCAAAAATCCGGCGAATATGGGTCGTTGAGATGGGCTTCCCCACCGGGCGGTGTGGGGCTGTGCTGCAAAACAGTAAAAAAATTTAGCTTACTGCATAGAATCATCTTGTTGTCTACAGTGGCCAAGTGGAGTATATGCGCATGCCTTCCATCCTGGAGATTGTGGGTTCGGTTCCGACTCCAGACGGATTTTTCTTGAGGGAACCAGAGTGATTTATGATGCTGGGATTGCGAGTGAAGGGTTGATCTTTGCTGAAGTCGGCCGCGGTTCGCAGGATTTCGTGTTGGGAAGGGTTCACCCCCGGCCCCAGTTGTACGGAAATTCAAGATTCAAGATTCAAGATTTCTTTATTTTGTTAAGCATTATATACCACATAACATACATAGTAAATAACAGCTTTTTAAAATAAGTCAGTGTACATGGCATTATTTAAACGATAAAATTCGTTCAAGTCATAGAATTTGTGCTCTAACACAAAAGCTTTCACCATTTTTACAAGAACCTCGTCATTTTCGAGGACTTTTAAAGATATCGGTAATGCATAAAATATTCTGGGGATCATGATTTCTGGGTTTTCTACAGATTTCTTGAGCTTAACTTCTTTCACAACCAAATCATTACAGCAAAGATTAGTCTGATTATGTCTAGTCACTCTCCTCGTATCTACAGTATCACTATATTTCTGAAATAGTTTTCGGTTTTGCACTAATGCGTTTAATTACAAAATCCTCTTCAACAAAACAGTATTATCGTGTGGGAATGACTTAAATAATATTATTCAGATAAAATTAAATTCCAATGTGGCATGAACTGGAACTTATATTTTATAATTTAAAACATAAATAAATTAGTGTTTCTTTTCACTTGAATTTATCTTCTCACCTTTAACATAAAATTTTTATAAAAAAAGGTTTATTCCTTTTTTTCGTGGCTTAACATGAAAATTGTCACCCATAATCAAGTATGCGCATAATTCGATGCGTGGCCTTAAAAGACTTGTAGTTGTAGTTTATTTTCTTAATATGTCATAAATTCAACAAAAATTATAGTGCTGCAAAAAGTCAAGATTACTTTTAAAGTTTTAAATTTCAAACCTTCAGTATTGTATTTATCAAGATAATAATGAATTTAAATTTATTTTCGAGAATTTAGTATAAGATTTAGTAAAAAAAAATGCATTGTTGAATCGCATTGTTTACGTTTCCACCGTTACCACGGCAAAAGAAAACAATTTGCATGAACTTAATAAATATTTTAAATTGTTGATTGTTGCTACTCAAATTTGATAACCGATTCACCCAAATCTGAAAATGGTTCATTGGATTTTGGTCGTGATTGCAGGGTACGCCGTATCCTTCCTCGCTCTTGTGGGGGCCTACCTGAGCAAGGACCTCGCAAAGACTGTTGCGCTATGGACGAGCAGAAAAATTGGCAAAGCAGGCAGCTGGGTCTGTTCAAAACTTGGATTTGACAGTCAAGATGAACCTCAAGAACAACAAGAGGGCTGGAGAATCTTGGGTCACTGTCTCGGACAGTTTGCATACGGTGCCGGAAGCGCCCTGATGAACTTCACGATCAACTCAACGAAGAGGCTCATTTTTGGCAATCATGCGGACATGGATGGTCACCCTTCTCTACCTTCCAATGAAAATCTGAACCTTCAGCGCATTTTCTACATCCCAAGCTCCATCAGACAAAGAGTCAAGGAAGCGTTCGCCACTCACAACTTCGGCCTTCTTTCTTGTTATGGCTATGTGAACAAGCTGTGCCTCGTGTTACTAGTGAATGGAGCGCTTGTTGATTTCACTGCAGGTTTGTTGAAAATACCATTAAATTTAACTTTTTTCGAAATCATTTATGTACTTCAGGGGCCAGCGAGCTGAGGAAGAAGATCAAACCTCTCCTGGAGAACACAGCCACAAGAATGTTGAGCGAGCGTCAAACCATCAGCGCTCTGCAGAAGCGATTTGACCTGGATCAAGGAGGGTACCTAAAAAAGCTTCTGGAAGGCGACCTGAAGAGAGATCCTCCCACATCGTACTGCTATGCTTTAGCAGTGAGACATAGCCTCAAGGTCACGCCTGAAGACGGTGAGAAAAAATTGGGCTTTTAAATTGTCAAATATTAATTCATAAAATTTCAGATCGTCAGGACATCTTGGCCGCCCTGGGAGAAGTCTATAACATGAAGACCAAGAAAGTCAGGAGGGACGGACAATCTGCAAGATAGCCAAATAGCCCCAGAAAACTTTTTTTCTTGTCAGTTTGTTTTGAGTTTAAAGTTTCTGTTTTAAAACGAGATGAGATAAGAGGGAAGATAACATTCTGGACTTCAAACCAACACCCCTGACACCCTTTACCCCTTTCGATGGCTGAGACAACGAGGACATCTACACAAAATACAAGAAAAAATGCAAATGCAGCTTGAGTTCCTGGCCGTGCAGGAGAAATACATCAAGGACAAGCAGAGGAATCTGAAGAACAAGTACTTGAACGCCCAAGATTCTCTTCTGGGCTGCTAACACTTCTTGCATTAAACTGGAGCCACCCCAAATAACTTTACCAAACAGGATATTATTTGGATTCAACCAGCTGCCCAACTTCAACAAGTAAAAGGAAGCAAATAATTTCCGCCTGCTTGCAAGCGGAAAGGCATTTGTATTTTTAGAATGACACTTAAATAAATCTACTATAGTTTAAATAAAAAAAAATTGGAGAGCCAAAGGACCTGATTCCCAAGAGCAGAGAGCTGGAAATTAAAATGGAAATTGAGGGAACAAATTAAAGAGGGAAAAAGCTCTTGGAGATTGGAATCTGGAGGAGTTTTAAGTAAAGAAAAATACCTTAAGCAGAAAATTCAACTAGTATAATCAGTAAAAAATAAAAACTTCAATTTAAAAATTAAAACTGAAGAAAAAAAGATGAATTTTGAAGAGCCAAAATGTTGTTGTAATTCAACACTTCTCGTTTTAATAATTCTTCGGCAATCTCAATATGATTTTTTTTAGTTTTAGAGAACCCATTTAATTTTGAAAAAATTATTTCTTTTTCCAGTTTATCCTTGTTTTCCTGCAGGATATTCTCAAATTCTTCCTCGTCACTGCTTGATTCAGATTGACGCAGATTTCTGTAATAAAAGCTTGGGGAGATTAAAAAATAATCATTACTGTGCACAAGAACTTTGCTTGTTGATAAGACATTCGGTCATTAATAAAAAGTTTCCGTTCTGGATTTCCACATTAAATCCTTAAAATTCTCTTCAACCTGAATATTGTGCCGCGACTTCTGAAAATTCATAAAAATCGACGTATTTTCAATATTTGACTTCGTCGCTGCTCTTCTGAGATATTTCCGGCAGTGCTTGCAAAGTTAATGACAGTCGAGATAGGAAGAAAAATAAACAGAGCTGCGAGGGCCCCGTTCGTCTTCCCATCATATTATCATTCACAGGCATGAACCTGCTTGCACACATATATAGACATTGAGCATCACCCAAGACTTTGATTAGCTGCATTAACTGGGAGCTGCGCGTCCTGAATAAGTAAATAGGTGTTAATTATTTTAGAGAGGCAAACTCCGTTTCGAAACAAGCTGTGGATTATGTGCACGCCGGAGTAATTGAATCATCATATTCATGCTGCGCAGTGTGGTTTGACTTAGTTTGCTTTAAGCGCGCTTTTATCGTAAAACCCCATTTCAAGAGGCATTTCATTACCACACCCGGGTGGATAATAAATTAAATTGTTCTCCAAGCATTATAATTTATTGACAATTTTAAAATTGACTCAAGCAGAAAATGGTATTACATAAATTAGTTTTTTTTTTTTAATTGAATATATCAAAAGAGGAGAACAACATTTTAGATTTTAAAAATAAAAAAAAGCAGATGCGATGCAGCAAAAGACCTCCGGAGTTGAGGCGGTCTCGCAATTTTGACAATGAGACAAAGTTCAAATTATTTCCCAATTTTGCTGGCAATGAAATTTTACTAACTCAAAGGTTCATTTTTTTTCTACAAGCGCATTTCATTATTTTAATGTGCGCGGTCACAAATGCTCGCCTGATAAATAATTCACACGCTGCGAAAGTACGACTGACCGCAGCACGCATTATAATAATACGCGAGACCGCAAAAGCAAACATTGTATTGGTGTTGATAATAAGCGCTTTTTCACAGCAAAAGTTTTAAGGGCTGCAAAATGTTGAAGCGTGCTTGGTAAATTGAATTTGGGCATGAACTGTAGAGCAGCCGCGAGAGCTTATTAAGCGGAAATTTTTAACATTGAGCCGCCTAAAAAGCTCGCTGTCCTCATTGTTTCCTCTTTTAAAAAATACATTAATGGAATGGGTTTGCAAAAATCGCGTCAAAGATGAAAACTGAATTGAGATTTTCATTATAGTATATTCAATTTTCAGCCTGTAGGTGTCTTTAAGTTGTATTGACCTTTGACGAGAAAAGTTGTTTCTGAAGATAGGTATTATCTTGTCATTAGAGAGAAAACAAAGACACTCGTCTCAAAATTACACATATAATCTTGAGATTTATGTGGGCTAGAAATTGCTTAAGTTGCAACAATCATATTTAGTTTAGGAAAAAGGCTTTAATGAAATTTTTGTTCAGGTCGTCTTTACATGTAAAAAAGAATCATTTTCAAGCAATCAGAAAAATATTTTTCCGGTTAGGCTCAACTAATTTGCTGAAGGTAATTTGAATCATTGATGAAGTTTATCTTTAATAACCCATTAGAATTATCCAAAAATTAATCTTCCTGCACACCTGAATTTTCAATGTCAATAACTCAGCATAAATTACTACCAACAACCATTCTCCTCCGTGTCATCAACCAGATTGAACTGCTTCGGTCTGAGACACAGGAAACTCAGGATTGGCCACTGCCTCTGGGGGCAACATGAAGGCCTGCCAATTTCTCATCTCCTGCCAGTTACCAGAGAACCGGGCAGCATCTTTTGGTGCAAGCATCAACATTTTGCAAGGCACCTTTAAAGGGTTCAGATCCTTGTCTGCATTGATGCTGCCCTCAGCAGGAGCCTAAAAAATAAAAATCCAGTTTTTAATTATAAGAGATATGGTGCAAATGAAATTGTTACCTTAAATGGTGCATTGCTATAGGAGACTTTGACATCCATGTCTTTGGCAGAGGGGCTGACTTTGTTGAGGTACTCTGTGACAATGCACTGCTTTTTGTTGGTAGGGTTGATGGTCATATGGGCCAGCCGAAGGCAGCACCTGTTAATGAACATGGCTGATGGAAAAGAGATCCCTCTATAAAGTGGAAAAAACAACATTTATTTATTAGATAGAGTTTACAAAATTTTTACTAACCTGGGGTGAGTGCCATCGAAGATGGTGCCCAAGTAGTTGTAGATCTCCTTGAAATTGATCCCCAAAATATCTTCAGGCCGAGGGTGCCTTTCGCAAACAGCAATCATCTTTAACACCTTGATCGAAAATAAAAATTTCAATCCAAATGATTTTGATTCAAACAAATTTTCCCCATACCTCGCTGATTACCATCGACGAGTTATCATCACTAAGGCAGCCGTTGGTGTCGTCGTTGGTGTCATCGTCGTCATCGTTGGCATTGGCACCCATGTTCTTAAGCCACAGGTCGATGGGTGGTTCGGCCTCGGGGTTCTTCGGCTTCCACATGCCGTCCAGCTTGTGCATCTGCAGAAAGTTGAGCAACTCGGTTTCGCTCCTTTGAGGCACAAACTGCTGCAGAAACTCTTCGTTTTCCGTGCCGTAAAGATGGATGCCCAACAGCAACATCGCCTTTTCCTTCCTTGTCCACCTTCGCTCCTCCTGGTTCTTCCTCTGGAAGCCGCGCTGCGACTTGCATTGCGACAATTTCTTGCGACCCATCTTGCTGAAAAAGTCTTCTTTTGTCTCTAGAAGCTTCTAAAGAACGAGTTGCTAGTCGTGATTAAGCCGGTACACAAAGAATGCAGATCGGCGATCGGCGAACCCCCGCGTGCCTTTGAAAAGAGAAAAATGATCTTTTCGGACCTCGGATCTTTCTTTTTTACAAGTTTGGAATTGGATACTTTTGATCTCCCCCCTTCCCCCTCTCCTTCCCCCCGCCACTCCATTCAGTGAGGACGTGAGAGCGCGAAAAATTCAAGCCAATAGAGGGCAGCACCGACAAGGAATGGTGCAGGTTGTGGCCTGCAAAAAGAAAACAGAAGAAAAGAAAACAAACGAAACGAGCGATGAGCACTCGATCAACCCACTCGTGGTGCAGCAAGTAGCAGCATGCATGGTTTATTAATTTTTATTATTATTTGCTGCAGAATTTAAATAAAATAATACTGCTTTTTGAAACAAAGTTCTACGACAGGTAATAATGTAAATAAAATATGATTGAAAATGCCGAAAATTTTTTTGTTCATATGTTTGTGATCAAAATTTTTTTGTAGCCAGAAAATGTCTCGACCTCCGGAAGACCCTGCAGCCGGCGACTACTGGTCGTATAGCGGGCGAGACGTGCCCACCCACTCGTCATACACCGTGCAAACGACGCAGCGAGTCGAGTTCTACCCTAAAAGCGGCACCTCGACCACCCCCGTCAGAGAAGCCGGTCGTCAGCAGTTCACCGAGGTTCACCACTACACAACGGTTAGCACTTCATATGGGGCGTACCCTCCACCACCCTTGCCCACCGACTTCTCCGCGCCGCCTCCAAGCTACCTGCCGCCTCTAAATGTGCCACCTCCGCCAATCTTGCCCATTGCACCAGCAATTCCGAAGGATGGCAAGGGAGTGCTTGAACTGGAAGGCTACAAGGTCAGCGCCAAAAGGGCAGACAAAATCATGGAGCTGCTTTTAAACAAGGACACAACCTCCTCCCTCAGATCGCCTCCAAGAGGGCACGTCTCTTATAATAAATCAAGGTTCAATTAGTTACTAATTAGATGAATGATTTTCTTAAAATAACCTTTAGCAGGTCAAGTCAAGCAAGAAGACCAAGAAGTCGTAGTCCTGCATCAAAAAGGGAAAGAAGAAGGAGCCCACGGAGGAATCGAAGTCCACCTCGTCGCAGGAGCAGAAGTCCCAGAAAGAGGTTTTACTATCGATTTATATTTATTTCTTGATTAAAATCTTTTTTTACAACAGAAGTCCAAGAGATAGAAGAGGCTCACCCAGTCTATCAAGGTCAAGGGATGTGAGATCTTTGAGTCGATCAGAAAAAAGACCGCTTCCCAGTAGACCAAAGGAAAAGCCTGTTGGTCGAGTTCCTCCTAGACCTGCCGCTAGTCAATCCAAGCCGGAAACCTCGAAGTCTAATGAAGATCTGCCCAAAGAACCCGGAGAGGAAAAGTACGAAACATGCAACTTTTTGTGATTAACATTCAATTTTCATGATTGATTAAGGAATGACGAGAGCTGTGCTAAGGAGATGGCCAAATATTCTTATGTGAGTTCCGCCCCTTTCGAATTGTACTACAAGTACAACCGAGGAGTCTTTCAACCAACTCAACGTCAGCTGGACATTTGCAAGCAGTTCGAGAAGGAACTATTGTGTCGAGGACAGCAGGCCAGGGCGTCAAAGCCAACCTATCCTCCTCTGGATAGGAAACAGAAGCTACATATCCACAAATGTAAATTTAAAACTAATTTTTACATCTCATTTTATGGTTCAAATCATTTATTCAGGTTGCCAAGAAGATGACTGTGATAGTTCTGACAGCGACGACGGAAGTTCTGAAGATGAGGGAGAATGCAGTCTCAGGGAGTTGGAGCACAAAAAGAAACATCCTGACCGACTGCACCCTGAGCTCTGGTTCAACGACCCTGGCGAGATGAATGATGGGCCGCTCTGTCGCTGCAGCATGAAATCTCGCAAATCTGGTATTCGACATGGAATCTATGCTGGAGAGGAGCCTCTGGCGTCCTGCAATCCCGACTCAAACAATGCTGAGCGGCTTTACCACTACCGCATTACAATTTCACCTCCCACAAATTTTCTAGTAAGGAGATCTACTCTTTTCAAAATGTCATGTATTATTTACTTATTTTTTTGCAGACAAAACTTCCAACTGTGATTAGTCATGATGGTCACGAGTATTTGTTTGAGGGATTTTCTCTGCTTTCCCACTACCCTCTGGGCAATCTACCTGTCTGCAAAGTCATCAGGTTTAATTTCGAGTACACCATTGTGTACATTGATGAGGATTTGCCTTACAATTTCACCATGCGTGAACTGGACCTCTTCTGTAAACTTGCAATATTTTGAAAGGCTCGCATTTCATATTGGTTCTGTTTTAGATCAATATTTGTTTGTTGAAATTTTGGAACTCGTCGACTTCAATCTCAAGGCTGCCAATGACCCTGATGGGTGTCCTCGCTTCCACTTCTTTCCTCGATTTGTCCGAGAGCTGCCAGGTAGATCTTAATATCATTCTGTGTGCACTTTAAATAATGATAATTGTGTTATGCAGAAAATGGTATCTCTATTTTGTGTATGAGTGAAGTCCTGAAGTATTTGTTGGAGCAAAACAAACCTCTCGTCCAAGAGGAAGACCTTCTTGAATATCTCAACAAGTCTCAAACTGAATGGCTGAACATTGCTGATGAAGTGAAAGGTAAATTGTAATCTTAACTCGTAATATAATTTAAATGTTTTCTTTTAGGAATGATCGTCTTAAACCCTGGAATGAAGCCCAGCTCGGTTCGAGTTGACCAGTTGGATAGAGAAAAAATAAAGAAAGACTTCCTGACCTATCCCGAGATTGTTCACTTTGGCATCAGACCACCTCAGTTGAGCTATGCAGGAAATGCAGAGTAATAAAAAAAAAATGCATTTTTATAAATAATGATAATTGGATTGTTTTCCTTGCTAAGGTACAATCGAGAATGGCGCGAGTATGTGAAGCTACGTCACTTGATTGCAAACTCGCCGAAACCTTCGTCTGAGGAAAAGTACAATCTGAAAGTTAAGGAGGATAAACTACAAGAGATGAGAATGCTGAACAAAATGAAAAGGGATGTGACGGTTGCCATTTCATCGGAAGGCTTTAACCGAACAGGCATCATGGCTGACATCGTCCAACATGCCATGGTCCTGCCTGTTCTAGTTTGTCACCTGCGCTTTCACAAATCTGTCGACCAGCTGGAGAAAATCATCAACTACCAGTTCCAAAACCGCTACCTGCTGCAGCTGGCACTCACTCACCCGTCATACAGGTAAATTTGGTTTGTTTTTAACGGATGAATTAATGTCTAAATAAAAATTTAGAGAGAATTTTGGCACAAATCCTGACCATGCAAGAAACTCTCTGACAAACTGCGGAATACGGCAGCCAGAATATGGAGACCGCAGGATCCATTACCAGAACACTAGGAAACGAGGTATAAGATTTTTACGCTTTCCTTACCAGCTGGTAATATGTGGAATTTTTCAATAGGTATAAAGACCTTGATCAGTATCATGTCTCTGCCTGGAAAGAAATCAGAAACCGAGTCAAATATCACACACAACGAACGTCTCGAGTTCCTCGGAGATGCTGTTGTTGAATTTGTGTCTTCCATTCACTTGTTTTTCATGTTCCCTGACCTGGAAGAAGGTGGCCTAGCCACCTACAGGGCTGCGATTGTTCAAAACCAGCACCTTGCTCTTCTTGCCAAAGTAAAAAAAGAAATATTCTAATTAACTTAAAAAAAACTTATCCATTTTCAAACAGACTCTACACCTTGAAGAATTCATGCTTTATGCTCACGGGTCTGACCTTTGCCACGACCTCGAACTGCGCCATGCCATGGCCAATTGCTTTGAAGCTCTCATGGGCGCCCTGTACCTTGATGGAGGCATTGATGTAAGAGGTCATTTCCATGTATATACCTTTCAAAATTTTTTTTACGTTAGGTTGCTGATCGAGTATTCTCTGAGACGTTTTTTAAGGGTGACGGTGTATTGGCGAGTGTGTGGATCAACTATCCTTTGCACCCTCTGCAACAAGAGGAGCCAAGTGGAGACAGACACTGGGTAGCAAAACACCCCACTCTACAGGTTGGAAAAGCTGCAATTTTAAGTGAAAGTTTTAACTGTAATAATTTTATTTTAATCTTCAAGAAACTGGTCAAGTTTGAGGAGGAGCACCTTGGCATTCCGTTTAACCACATTCGCTTATTAGCTCGTGCATTCACAGACCGCAGCATTGGATACAACAATATTACTCTGTAAATTTCAATCTGCTTAAATTTATATCATAGATGGATTAATTTTAAATTTGTAGAGGATCAAATCAGCGTCTGGAATTTTTAGGAGACACTGTTCTCCAACTGATTGCTTCGAACTACCTATACAAGCATTTCCCAAACCACCACGAAGGGCATCTCTCGGTATATATTTTGGGATCTTTCAAATTGACAGACAATAAATGTTCTATCTTAGCTCCTTCGAAGCTCTCTGGTCAATAACAGGACACAGGCCAGAGTTTGTGATGACATTGGGCTGACTGATTTTGCAATTTACTCGAACCCTAAGTCTGAGCTGAAAACCAAAGATAGAGCTGATCTACTAGAGGCTTTGTTGGGCTCTCTTTATGTTGACAAGGTACGTTAATCCCTCCCTAATTGTTGATATTTGAATTTGTAACTGAAAATTTATTAATCCAGGATTTGGATTACTGCACAACCTTCTGCAATGTGTGTTTCTTCCCGAGACTTCGCCAGTTCATTCTGAATCAAGATTGGAATGACCCGAAGTCGAAACTGCAGCAGTGTTGTTTGACGTTGAGAACCATGGACGGGAAAGAACCTGACATACCTTACTACAAGTAAAACAATTTAAAGATTATTTATTGTTTTCAAAGATAATTTTTTTACAAGGGTGGTGCAGTGCATTGGGCCTACCAACACTAGGGTGTACACTGTGGCTGTTTACTTCCGAAATGAAAGACTGGCCACGGCCGTTGGCCACAGCATTCAGCAGGCAGAGATGAATGCTGCCAAGGAAGCTCTGATGAAATACAAATGTAGGAATTTTTTATGAACTTGTGAGTTTATCATAAATTTAATTTACAGCAATTTTCCCTCAAATCAACCATCAAAAGATGGTGCTGCAGAGGACTATAACCAAACGCAAACCGCGGCAATACAGGGCCAAGGAAATTGAGCAGGAGCAAGCTGAAAAGTAATTAATAAATATTGCACATTTTCAAATTTTAATTTTCTAAAAAAGGAGCGGCAACGAGGGGGAAACAAGTGCTGCAAACAAAAAGCGGCAACAGAAGAAGAAAAAGGCCTCGAAAGAAAAAGTTGAGGAGGAAAAGCCAGTTCCATGCCCCACTCTGAGCTCCCTGCTGCAATTTAGAAGCACCCCTGAAGAGAAGGTATTGCCTCGGAACACTGACTTGGATTTCTCTTTGAGTAGCAGTGACAATGATGATGAAGATATTTTTCAACAAGCACCAGAGCAGAGTGCAGCAGACCTCTCTGAAGGAGAGTGTTCAAGTAGTGATTAGCACATTTCTATTGATTTCTGAACATTACAAATCTTAATTTTAACTAGTGATCAGAGCAATTGTCTTAGGTATTTTATAATTTCTGGAGTTTAAAAACAGAATAGTGCAATTTTAATGTTTGAAATGTACCGATGCCCCATCTTGCCATTCACACGTATTTTTTTAATTCTGATAATGACTCGTTCCTCTCCACTAGGACAAGATCTAAATTTTGCAATTTAACTAGATAATTTGAAATTTTGGTTATTTTTTCCTGATGCATAGCGAAAAAATAATAAAAATTTAAAACTGCATTTCATCTCTTTAATTATGCTTTTTAAATCACTTTTCTCACGTTTTCGTTTCAATGTTTTACGAAGTCAATAGTTGCCCAACTCTTTGCTTAAAATGTGGAATGTAGCTCAACGTAGGAGCTTCTGTGATCAGTCTGTGTTTGATTGGCCTCAGTCTTGGTTTGTAAAGGTATGGATCTGGAATCTCCTGTGCCTCGTCCAGAGAAAGGAGAAGGTGTTTGCTGAAAGTTGCCTCTTTTGAAGGCACCAAGCAAACACTGCATAGGCTGTCCCCCGTCCCTGATGAAGCAAGTGGTTCAGGCAGAAGTCTGTCGCTCAGTTTGTACTCGTGAGTACCTGTTTTTATACAACATTATTACTTTTACTTGTTCCAATTTTAACTAAAGCCTTACAAATATGGCTAGGCGTATCTTTCCGTGAAATATTTCTCTTCTTTTCTGCAGGATGGCACTCGTTCCAGTTGAACTGCCGGAAGTCTCGTAGCCTGGAGAGGTCCTCGGAAGGGCAATAGATTTTCTTGTGTCGGTGAGATGTCACATTCTTCTTAGTGCTTTTCTTTTGGCAACATTTTCTGACAAATTTGCTTTCAGGAGACTTCGTGCTTGGGCTTTTTGAGGGTCTAGACCTTGCTATTTTTATGATTTTCCCACAATCTCTCAAGTCTCTGAGGAATGTTGACTTTGGGGAGTAGTTGATAGTGTGTTTTGAGGATGCACTATTTTCTTTCCTGATGAAAAAAAAATTATCAGCAAAAAATAATCATGCATTTTTAATTATTATGTACTTAATACTAATTTAATTGATACACGCATGGTAAAATTTTGTGAACTTACATTTTAGAGCGTTGGCTCGACAAAACCTCATTCGGTGGCAGGGTAAGGCTTCGAAGGCAAATTTTTCGCTTAGGAGACTCATCGAATTGACCTGGTCGTCCTGAAAATAATATTACAAAAGTTACTGCGAGTTCTTAAGCTTATTGACGATCCGTCGAAGAAAAACAAAATTTTTGTGTACGTAAAGCAACTTCTTAATACATTTCGTCCAAAAATAACTTACCCATCCTGTTAGAATTATGTTTATTTTCTTGAAATTCGCACGAAACTTTGCATCCGTCTAACTTTTCCCACGGATTCAAATTATTCCAAGGTCAAACTCGTCTGTTTTGGTCCGTGCGCGTGCGCACAACGACGACAGTGCCTCCTGTGCGTAAACACAGCGAAACAATCTTAATTTACAAATGGTGGCCGTGAGCTGATGTTCCCCTGTAAACAAGACGCATTTTTCTTCTTATTTGTGTCAATCAGGTAATAAAAATCGGGTTTCAAGCTCTGAATTTGTTCCCGAATTTTTGCTTTATTTTTATAACTTGTAATCTCCGCTTGTGCATGTTCAAATTTTGCAAAACGACCAAAGCTTTGTTTAGCGTCTCACCTGTTTTTATGCCTAGTAACAAGAGATGCTGCGCAACGCTGGTTGCATCCGTCACTCGGCGAGCATCTCATCAATTTTTGCTTGATTTCTTTCATAAATTTGTAGCGCAAATGGTAGAATAACATTTTATGATTAAATTTTGTCAATTTTCTTGCGCAAAGTCCGCTTTTAATGCACTGAACATAAGCATTGCCATTAATTGCTATGGTGTCGAGCGGGTTGCATACCACATAAACGTTCAGGCGCTATACTCATGAGCCGCCTTTTATGCTGCAAAATGTTTTCAGAATTTGATTACATTAAATTTATCAATAAAATTATAGATGGAAGACACATTGAACGATTAATGTAACAAAGCTTTTATTTTTTGATTTGATAAGAGTTTTATATTGCTAAAATAATTAATTTAATTTTTAATTGCACGATTTTGATTTTCATAAACTTTTCAGATATCTTTCACAATGAATTTTTCCACGTTTGGACCCCCTTTCCACACAACGTTGCCACCAATGCACCAGTTCACAAAATTCTCAGAGCCGATGCTTTTGAACGGCGGAGTTCAAAACGCAGTCATGGTCACCGCTGTGCAGGCAGACACCCTACAGTACGTCCCAGTGAGCCACCAGGAACCCAGTAGCAGTCCTCCCAGACTCACAACGCTGACCTCCAGTGTTCAGGTAATGAGATTAGACAATTTATAAATCTGTGAAATTTATTTTCAAATTTTAGGTCTCTCCAACCAAGTACGCTCCCATGATGTGGGAAAACATGCCGATTTTGACAACCATCGACAGCAAGATGGTTGTGCCACCCACGACGCAGGCCAATGCTCCAGTCTGGCGCCTGGTTGGGTCCAACGGCGAAATTCTCGAATACCAAGAGGCCCACGACCTGGTCAAGCCAATGCACATAAAGGAGGAAGAAAAACATCTAGAGGTAAAGCCAGCATGTTACAAATCAAAATCACACCTTAATATTTTGAAATTTAGGATTCAAAAATGTGGTCAGAGGCCATTCACCCTGACTACCCTGAGATGGGTCACCCACAACTCGGGTCAATGCACGTCATCATGGAGCAGGAACAGGAAACTGCTCACATGGAGCAGAAACAGGGTCAAGCCTTTGACGAGGTGCCGCCGAATGGAAAGAAAAAGCGAACTCGGAAGGCCAAGGTCAAGGAAAAGAAGCCAAAGTATCGCCCTGGAGAAATCAGGGTCTCCACTGCTCTTGACGGTTCCACCCTGTTTTGCTGTCCCGAATGCAACATGGCCTACGCAGACAGGTGAGAATTAGTTTTAAACTTTTAAATAAATTTAAAGATATATTTTCCATTAAATTTTGGAAGTTTAAGCTTATTATGTAACCATTTGAGAGATAAACAAAAATGTTTGATTGTAGATATGAGCTGGACCAACACATGAGCACACACAAGTTGGAGCGGCGCTTTAAGTGTGACGAGTGCGGGGCAACCCTGAAGAGGAAAGAGCACCTGGACCAGCACAAGCGGGGTCACTCCACAGAGCGGCCGTTCGTCTGCTCAATCTGCATGAAGGGGTTCAAACGCAACGAGCACCTCACGCGCCACTACGTCATCCACACGGGCGACAAGAACTTCTCCTGCAATGAGTGCGGGAAGGCCTTCTCCCGCAAGGACCACTTGCACAAGCACGCCCAGACGCACATGGCCAAGCGGGTCAAAACCGAGATGACCCTGCAAACGCCGCCCCCTCATGAGACCGAACTGATTCTCTCTCAGTGCTAAGCACTTAGAACTATATTTTTTGTAAACAAGAGGAGTTAGTCAGCTACGAATTATTACATTTAATGGGGCTAATTCGAGTCACAGAGGAGCCACTCCAGGCAGGAACTTTATACTCCCCTAATTTTGTAATCTAAATATTTTTGTAAACAATTGATCTCTCAAGATTAATCTTTCTACTTAAAAAGATTTTACATATGGTTGTAAATAAGTACGTTTTAGTAGAACATTTTACGAGGAAGTGCCTTTCGAAACGAAAAGTGTGTGATGATTTTTCGACACAATTTTTCTCCAAGAAGTGCTTTATTGCAATTTATAAAGTGCCATTATTGAAACAGCGATGATTTTTGGTCTCAGAAATTTTTGACAAGCCAGATGCTAAAGGATCTTTCAGATTGTGGTACAAATATTAAAATACCAGCTCACGACGTTTTAAAGTGATCTCATAGTGTTCCACTTTGGAAAAAATTTATCTCATATTTTGTACTCAATTTTGTGCGTGTCCTCCCTGCTCTCAATTTGTATATAAACAAAATCGTTTTTTAATGATTTCATATGAACCTTTAAGCTATTCTAAGTAGTAATTTATTTGTTAGGATCTAAGTTATAAGTTGCAAACAGCAAAATTCAAAGATTTCCATCTACCTCCGCCTTGCAGCTTTTTTTTAGCAAAAACTGTTTGTTGTTTTCAAAGTATTTTTGACTTGCAGCAGATTTTAAACGTTCATTTTCCAACGCATTTTACTGATTTGTTTTGTTCCTATTTTGTGTGTTTTTGTAGACCTTGAAATCAGTTTTCTGCAAATAAAATTCCAGCAATAAACTCCATGTGGCTTTTTATTTCGCAACTCAAAATAAACAGTAAAAAATTAAATATCATCGGCCTGAAAACACTTTTCAAAGCAAGCACAAATTTTGACAAGAACGGAGTGCAGTCAACCGCGACATGAATCAACAAATCACTCTCCATAACATTGATAAAAATCCATTCAAGAAAGGAACTGTGCTTTTCATCTCTCTAAATCTATTACTTTGTTCGAACATATAGAACCCATCAAGTTTTTTTGCAGCAAAGGAACTCAAAAGAACATTCTCATTTTATGCAGTTGATAATATATTTTGTTCTTTGGTCAACTTTTTCAGAAAAGAAGCACCGAGAGATAGTAAATTAATTTGTGTGAGTGTTAAAACTTTGTTTTGCTCGACAGAAGAATGAAGTTGGTAGTTTTTATCCATTTTATCACATTTTTCACACTAACCTACAAAGTTCAACACATATAACATTTGCAGAGGAAAATAGTTTACAAGCCTCTCTTTTAATCCATTAAATACAAGTTACGTTTTACTTTAGTCTCCAACATATCACTTCCATTCTACGATTTCAAAAAGGAAACTGACTGGCATGGCCTCTGTTTAATTGAGCATCAGACAACAATTTCCAAAATTTCTGAATTGATCAGCCAGTTATCCTTTGATGTACAAATGGCACAAACGAAATTCCACATTTTGGTCAACGCAAAGAAATTTTACAGCTATAGAAGTACTTTATTTAAATAGTGAAGTTAATCCCACGGTTGAAATGATAAAAATTAAGTAATAAAAACATCTTTCATAAATTCCGACCAACATCTACCACAAATCAAAGGGTTTCTGTGTAGAGTGCTCGCCCAAATGAAGTTAATTAATCAACCAGTAAGTACAACTGCGGTTACCGTAATAATATGTTATGATTAGATATTCAATAATTGTCCATCATCACCTTGTACGAGTTTTTCTTTGCCGGTTCACCGTCAGCACTGCGAAAGTGATTTGGACGAGGTGCTTCCGAATTTCCATACTTGTGCACGGGAAATTCCGCTCATCAACTTTCTGTAAAAAAGCACCGGATTTTCTTGGGCACAACCTTACAAATAAAAGATATCAGTCAAAAAACTTTTCATGAGTTAGGAATATGAAATTTGAAATTACAATCAGTTAACTAAATTAAAGGATGATTTGGTTGAATGAGCACCGGAAAAGAGGACGCGTGTCCTTGATGAGGTCAACATGGGTTAAGGGACAACGATAACACAAATTTCCCACAACACCTTTGGCAGTTGCGAGACATCAAATCAAAGCGAAATTTGCAGCGGACGCATTCACGCTCTGCTGGCAACGTCTGGCGGCGCCACCGGGACATGCTGGACAATGTTGATGGGGTGGAGGGGAGTGCCCAGGTCGCCCTGCTCTAGGAGGCTGCTGGCCTCGCAGGGTGGCAGCGGCTCGACGGTGACCGAGGAAAGGCTGATGGCGCCCGGCTGCTTCTCAGGGGCGTCCTGAATGTGGATGACCCTGTTGAAGGCGCGCCAGCGCTGGCACAACCGCAGGTACGATTTGCACTGAATGTACATGAAAACAATGCCCCCCATGAAGCCGATGGCCACCACCACCAGTTTGGTCCAGAAGGGCCAGTCGAGCATGCCCTTGCGCACCTCGTCGGCGGTGCGATCGACCAGGACGTAGAGAGACCACACAACGCACGCCAGGGTGACTGAGTGGAAGGCGACGCTGCACAGCAGCCGCCGCCGCTCCACTGGCGACATGTCCAGCGACTCCCACTTGGAGAACGGCTTCACTTTGCTTTGCATCACGAACTGGAATTTGCACAGCTCGCAGCTGCGGATGTCCGACGACTTGATCCATTGCTGCAGACACGCCTGGTGCACGTAGCGCAGGGAGCCCGCGCAGTAGCACGGTGCGATCAGCGGCGCGTCCAATTCGCCCTCGCAGTGGCAGATGCGGCAGATTTCGGCGCTGCTCGACGATATTGTCGAGCACTGCGACACGTTCATCTCGACTCTTGTGTTGAGCAAGCAAGTGCTGAGACCTAAATAGCTGCAGCGACCTGAAAAACGAGAGATCAGTGTTAGTGTCCGCATGCCAAGACAGGCACCTCCAGAGGTGTCTCGGGCGTCGCAAATGCTCACCGTGGCAGTTCAGACTGCGCGGGCACTGGCTGAGATCGAAGTTCGGGGCATTTTGGGCCAAAGGCCGAGTGACGGACCCGCAGTTCGAAGGCGATCGTTTATACTGTGACAGCCATTGATGTGGTCTCCTTCTCTTTATAACATATTATTTGTTGAAGGAAATGCACGCAATGTCGAGAAGACTCGTCTGTCCGCCGTGTTGATTGCTGCTGATTTGGCGCCAAATTCAAATTATACAAAAACATAATTTTTTTTACGTTATCTGTTATCTCTGATTTGAATTATTTTTTGTTGATTCAAAAAAATTCGGATAAATAATTTTTTAACTGGAAATTACATTAATCAATTTTTGCAGTGAAATTTGTGTTTCTTATGAACCTTATTAATGTTTTACGTAGGAAAAAAAGATGGCGGAAGAACGTATCTTCATGTCAGGCAACCTATTCTCAAAAATTGCACAATGCACCCATATGTTTTGCGATGACAGCGCCACCATTTATTCGACCTTGATTATGCAAATAATTTGGAAATTTCGCATGTAAAAATTAATTTCCCACCTCAATTTTCCCGTATTTTGAATAATAATTTTTGTTGCCAATATTCCGTGCAAAATTACGCTGAGACAATAAAACTGGGGTGCAAAATTAATCTCTTGTTCGCGGTCCCAATACGCCATGGTAGCCCGCCGTATTAGTTAACCACCACCACACCACCAGTGTGCAGCAGATATGGCGACTTGAATGGAGTTGCGGTCAAGTCGCCCCGTATGTTTTTGCCCAGAATTTCGCGAAGCTGAAAATTCCGATGGATTAACCGGGGAGGATGGGTGCTAAGGATTCCAAGCCGAGCGTGATTTCGTACGAGGACGCTTTCAAGAGAGGTGCGTGAAAAAATCTCAGTGCGAAAAAGTGGCGAAAAATTCTTGTCATTTTATTATTGCCTTTGTTATCCCACGGCTCTTATAGTTTGATAAGAGAAGAACCTTTTGAATACGGCGTTAGATTAATTATGTGTGTCATCCTTGGCGTGTGCCTTTGGTTGAATTTAATCAAACAAAAGGCCGCGGCAAAAATACGACGCGGAATTCGCACTATTTTGCCACAATCTTTTTAATGAAATATTGCGCATTTACGTTTAAAGTCTCTTAATTAATTGTTTTCTCCATTGCAGTATCCGAGGCTGATTTTAAACGGCTGAAAGATGCTTTCAAGAAGATCGCAGGCCTCAACAATTACATCACCAAGAATGCGTTCATCAAAGATGTGCTCGGCGAAGGAGTTCCAGTTCCTGTTGCTGAGGTAAAATTTATTTATTAATATCCAAAAAGGTGCCAAAAAAACAGGTAATTCAAAATTATCTCATTGATGTGGAATTTTAATTTAGAAGAATTTTTTCACTTGCTCTTTGAATTCCTCTGGATCCAAAACAAACTTGTAGGGTTGCTCGATAAAGAAGTTCTCTTTCCTCTTTGAGCAGCACCAGTTGATTCGAAATGTCCTGCTCGATTTCCTCGGAGTCCTATGCTGTTGGTATTCGAGGAAAACTTTCTTCTGGATTTCCTCCTGACTCATCCAAACCTCCGAGTGAAACTTTTGAGCCAATTCCAAAAAGTACTTCTTCTCCGCTGCAGAAATCTGCCTCTCCCGTTCTTTGACCCTGACTTGCAGTCCTTCAATCAGCACCCTCAACTCCTTGTTGCCCTTTTTGCTCAGGGCCAACAGCTTTCCCAGACAATTTTCCGTAGTCTTGCAACTTGAGTGCAACGAGATTTTGTTCAGCTCCTGCAGAATCCTCTCGTCAAACTGCTCCATCTCCCTCTTCAGTCGAGACAGGATTTTCAGTCTGGTGCTCAGGCTAAAGAGCACATGCTTCAGTGACCCTTTGTCAGGGTAGTGGACGCAGCTGCTGTAGTAGTGCTGACGGACTACCTTGCAGTTGCTCTTGAGCACTTCTGCAAAGGCCAGTCTTGCGCCCAAAGTGATCTGGAGGTAAACTTGGTTTTCGAAGAGCCGCTCAATCAGCAAATACCTCTGGATCAGGGTATCCCTGAGTTCTATAGCCAAGCAGAGCAAGTGGGGGTGGTTGAGGCTGGCAAGAAAGTTTTTAAAGTTCCTGAGGCAAGTGGCCAGGGTGACTATGCTTGACTCCAGCGTTGCCACTGTGTAGTCAATTTTGTTTTTGAGTTCTCGAATTGGATCCTGCCAGCCTGATTTTGGATCCATTTAACTAAAATTGTGCAACAATATGTTATTTTTAACAATCAATCATTTTTCAGCACATTTACTTGGCCTGTGGTGGGACGTCCAAAGGGATAACTTTTTCCAATCTCCTGTGCGGACTGGTCCTCTTGACCAAAGGACGGGAAGATGAGAAAATCAAATGTATGTTTTAAATTTTGAAACTAATTTTTAATTAATTTTTTATTCTACATTTTAGTCCTCTTTGGTTTGTATTCGAATGAGAGTGGCACATACATTCACCGGGATGAGATGGTCAAACTCATCATCAGTTCTGAAGGTCGACCAAATGAAACAATTGCCGCTCTGTTTTTTGAGGTATTGCGACAAATCATTTTTTAAATTTTATTTATGTTGATTTTAATTTACAGAGTGAAAAAGTCTCTTACGACCAGTTCAAGGAGTGGCTGTTGCGATTCCCACAGGCCACTGCTCTTTCCCAATGGCTCCTGCTTGAGCCAGCTACTATCCCAAGTCTGCCAGAGGCAGATTCTCCAACGTTTTACCAAACTTTAGCTGGAGTGACACACTGTAAGTTTATTGCAACCAAATTAGTTTTTATTATTCGTCACTATTATTTTAACTCATAGTGGAGGAGCATGAGATCCACGGACTTGAGCCTCGTTACTGGAAGCTGCAGTCTACGTCTCCATCTGGCCAGCTTGATTTTGAAACCCTAAAGCCGTTGCTCACTCCGCCAGTTCCTCACCAAGCAGTCGAAGGCTTGTTTCGAGCCTTCGACCAAAATCATGACCAACATGTTGACTTTAAAGAGATGGCATGTGGGATTTCAGCTGCTTGCCGAGGCCCGCTTGCTGAGCGCCAAAAATGTGAGCAAATTGTGTACAACATTTTTAATTTAATTTAAATAAATCCAAAACAGTAGGTAATACTACAATTTTTGTGAGTAATATCAGAGTTAGACAGAGTTTTTCCGTACTAGTTAATTCGTACAGCTTGAAAGTAATATTAAATTGTTATTTTTCAGTTTGCTTCAAAGTTTTTGACAAAGATCAGGATGGGCGTCTGAATGACTCGGAAATTCACCAAATGGCTGATATTTTACTGCTAGTGAGGGCTGAAAGCTGCGCCACCCCTGACTATACCAGTTTAGGTAATTTAAAGCAAAAGAATGAAACAGAAAGACTCTTATTTAAATCTTTTTAGATTCTGTTGATGCGATAGTAAAAAGTTTGGAGCAGCAAGTACCAGGGTGTATGGAAAGTGGTCTGACTGTGGAGGATTATTTATTATGGGCTGTCAACAATCCTCTTACCTCACTTTTCCAGCAGCTAATTTTTCAGGTCAATCTAGAGTATTATGATTTAGAAATTTCAAAACTGACTCTGTACTATGCAGGTTTGCCATGTTGTATTAGGACTAAAGCCAACTTCACGCCAAGAAGAGCAAGAGGTGGTTATGGGTTGGTTGCAGCGGGAGGAGAGGAGAGGTTTCCTACCTGGTCAGTTGTGGTACTTGATCTCGTACGATTGGTGGACCTCGTGGCTCGATTACGTCTCCAACTCTCTGACCAGAGGTGGTTCAGTGCCTAGGCTGACGTTTGCTACCGAGAACCCTCCCAGGAAAACCGCCAGCTCCAGTGCCTTGACCCTCCTAGACCTGCCCACTGGATTTAGCCCCAGCAGTTCTCCCATCCCTTCGAGGAAAAATCCTCCAAGTGGCCTCACCTGTGCTCGTCCTGGCCAAATTGACAACACGCCCCTCGTCATACCACCACCAGTGGCTGGGGTCAACAAAATTCCACCTTTGACCGCTGAAGGTGGCAAACTGAAAAAGTCAATGCTGGCCAAAGGAAGGGACTACCAGCTTTTGCCACTGGCCCTGTGGAAGGCCCTGGAGCAATGGTACGGAGGGGCGCCTGCGCTGCCTAGACAAGTCATCCGACCCAAAGAGGGAGCTGATCCTGAGCTGGAACTGTACCCTCTGGTTCTCAAGATCATGCGCCACCAGGCTAATCCAAGGACTAACCAGCAACAAACTTGGTCCGACGTTGTCGGTGGTTATGGTGCTGCAGCATTAGGTAGGGAACTTGAAAAATCACATTGTTTTTGTTATTTGAATCTAAATTTTATATTTTTTAGTGTCTGCTGGTTACGGATATGTGCCTCAGAGTACAACACCTAAGAGATATGTGGCCTACATGGCTGCTTTTTCCCGACTAGCCACTGTTCGACAAGTTTACGAATTTCTGTGCTCCACTTTGAAGCTCAGAGCTGAGGATGTTAGACTGTGGCATTGCAAAGATGAGGTAGATTCAAAACTATTTTTCCGATTCCACTTTTTTACATTTCAATCATAGATTAACATGGTATTACTGGAAGAGGAGGAGCTTACATTAGAATCATTGTGGATAGAGGACGATTCGCAAGTGCTGCTGGAGGTTAGAAACAAAGATCTTACCTGGCCCGAAGAGATGGGCTCCCTGCAGCAGCAGCAACAGCAAAGTGCCAACAGGCGGCAGAGCATGCTTGGTAATTGATTTTAAGAGCTCAGCAATTTTTGTAAATAACTTCAAATTTTCTTTCATATTAGGCCCAACTGAAAAGGGTGCGACGGGTTTGAACAACCTTGGAAACACTTGCTTCATGAACGCAGCCCTGCAATGTGTCAGCAACACTAGGCCCTTAACGCAGTATTTTATAAACAACATGCACCTGTACGAGTTGAATAGGGTGAACCCCCTAGGAATGAAAGGCAACATAGCCAAAAAGTATGGCGAGTTGGTCCACGAAATGTGGAGCGGAACTGCAAAAACAATACCTCCCCTCAAGCTAAGGGTAATGTTGTTTTATTATTAAAAAAAAAAATTTTTAATAAATAAATATTATTCCAATTCAGCTGACCATAAGCAAGTACGCACCTCGGTTCAATGGCTTCCAGCAACACGACTCTCAGGAGCTGCTGGCCTTTTTGCTGGACGGCCTGCACGAGGACCTGAACAGAGTGCATGACAAAGTCTACTCCGAGCTGAAAGACAGTGCTGGCAGGCCAGACGTCGAAGTGGCTCAAGAGGCTTGGGAAAACCACATCTTGCGCAACAAAAGCATTGTTGTTGATCTTTTTCATGGCCAGCTCAAGTCCAAAGTCATGTGCAGAGTGTGCGGACACGAAAGCGTCCGCTTTGATCCTTTCAACTACCTGAGTCTGCCCCTGCCTATGGAGAGCTGCGTCCACATAGAAGCTATCGGTTAGTTTTTTTTTAGACATAATTCACCATAGTCTATAAAGCTAAATTTTCAGTTGTTCGACTTGATGGTTCTGTTCCTGTGAAGTATGGAATGCGCTTGAATATGGACTCAAAGTACTCAGCAGTCAAAGAGCACTTGTCCCAGCTGACAGGCCTTCCCCCGTGCAAACTTTCCCTGACTGAAGTTGCCAGCGCCCAGTTGAGGGTTTGTTGTCTAAATACTTATACATATTAATTTTTGATGTCCTTTTATTCTTTTTTTAGTTGACCTTTTCTGACTCTGACAAAATCAAGCCACAGTACGCAAGTCCGTTGTACGCTTATGAGTTGCCAGCCACCCTTGCCGCCCTCGAAGGTCTTGACGACGAAGAGCGGAGCAGTCTGGGCAGCACTGGGAGTAGAAACAGTGAGGCGCAAACTTTTACACGCATCCAGCGAATGACTCGTCCGCCTGCAGACCCATCCTCAATGCCTTATTCCTATGCTAATGGTAAATAACTCAAATCTGATTTGGTCCTCACGGCTGATTTCTAAATTTTTCCCAGGTCCCTTGGCGCTCACTCCGTCAGCGATCAATACTGCGAATGGCTTGCTGAATGGTAACCGCCCTCCCTCAGAGTCTGAGGTAAGGTGGCGTCTGGCATGCATGCCCTCCATTCTCTGTTTCAAGGTAAATGCAGCCAGCCTCATCAGTGTGCCTGTCCATTGATATTGAATCAAAATTTGCCAATTCATTCGTGTTAAAAATAATTTTTAACTCTCTTGGGTTCTGTACAGATGTCAAGCTGACCATTCTGTGGTTGCTTTGTGTCTCGTCCGGCTTTCAATCATTTGGGAAATGAAATTTTAGTAGACAGGAAAGGAAAAACCAACAGCGTGTGGCTAGCTGCATTTATGTGCTTGTGTTTGTGGAATTTATGTTTGCTTTCTGGTTGCAATGGCTTGACAAGATCTTAAAAAAGGCCTTGTTTTGTTAAAGTGTAAAACTTAAAAAGCCTGCAACCATTTATAACGGGAATCAAATTTGCCCCACCTTAACTTGGGTTATTTTTAAAATATCTAGTCTCCGTCGTCAATGGAAATGCCTCGTCGGACAGAAAGTGAGTCTTCGCCAGACAGTGCCATTTGCAGATTGTCTCCCGACTCGCAGGTCGGTGGAGAGGTCAAAACCATTAATCACAGTTCTGATAGTCAATTGGTGCGTTCAAATTAAAGTTCTCTTGAAATTTTAGTCATTTTAAAATTGTTCACCTGCAGGGTGGAAGCATCAGCGGTAGCAGCAGAGGCCGTGGCTCACCGACACCCAGTCTGGGCACAAGCAGCTCAGGTTCGTCTCACCATCTGCCCACAGCCGATTGTGATAGGCCCAACTACATAATTGCTCTACACCGAAAAATGGTTAATTTTCTCACTTGTAAGAAAAATAAATAGACTTACAAATATTATTTGAACAGATTCGGCAAGAAAACTACTTTGTCTCTTGGCAGCGGACTCAACCGAGTTTATTTGGACTGCCACTGCTTGTACCTTGCGGACAAGGCACCACCCACAAGGCCCTCTACGAGGCCGTCTGGAGACAGGTGGCAAGACTTGTCTCTCCCCTTCCACCTAGTTCTGCCCCCAACCATGCTCTTGACTGGTTAGTTCTTCCTGTAGCAAATGTTAAATTCGAAATTCAATTAATTATTGTTTTCAGTGATGATAGTTTGGGATACGAGTTCCCATTTGTTTTGAAAGCTGTTGCCCCTGGCGGCGTGCAGTGCTCCTGGTGCCCTTGGTACAGGTTCTGCAGGGGCTGCCGCATTCAGTGCTCAGACCTCGAGTTCAACAATTCCGCAACCCACCTGGCCATTGATTGGGACCCGACGGCTTTGCATCTCAGATACCAGAATTCCAAAGAAAAGGTCTGGAGTGGATTTTGTAATACCGAAATTATTACTCAAATTTACTTTTAGGTTTTTGTTGAGCATGAAACAGTGCCAGCCACCCGGCAAAAACATTCCGAGCCAATTGGTTTGACGCACTGCCTGGAGGCCTTCACTAGGGAGGAGCAGCTCAGCGATGAAGAAAAGTACTTCTGCTCAACTTGCAAGGAGCGCCAGCTGGCTACCAAAAAGCTGCAGATCTGGAGGCTGCCTCCAATTTTGGTCAGTTTATTCTAATATTGCATTGAAAAAAATTAATTTTGTGTGCTGGCGTAGATTGTGCATTTGAAGAGATTCCAATATGTCAACAACAAGTGGATCAAGTCACAAAAAGTGGTCGAGTTTCCTAGAAACAACTTTGACCCTACGGAATTTTTGGCTTCGGTGCCCAAAGAAACTCTTCTCCGTCACGCAGAGTTGTTGGAGGAGGAGGCCGAGAATCCTAATGGAATGACAAATGGAGTGTGTCCCAGACCAAGGGAAAGGGTTGAGTCAACCTCTCTGTCCAACACACCTGTTGTCGATGGCGCCTTGCAAGACTTCCACCAGCACAAGCTGATGGATGTCGCAGACACTTTCAAACTCAACTACAAACTATATGCAATAGTGGTACATAATTTGATTTGAATGACATTTTATCGAGATGAAAATATAAAAATTTAATTTTTCAGTGTCACACCGGGATTCTTGGTGGAGGTCACTACGTCTCCTACGCTTGCAACCCCAACGGCAAGTGGTACTGCTACAATGACAGTAGATGCAGGGTATGTTGGAAATTATTCACAAATAATTCAAAATTTTTTTCTCGTATAACAATCTAAGGTTAAAATGATTACATTTATAGAGGTGGCTTGCTTTTTTAATTCAATTTATAGATTTGGGTTTTTTTTTCTTTTAGGAGGTGCCTGAGCCACAGATTGACTCAAGCTCTGCGTATATGCTGTTTTACGAGCGGGTGGGTCTGAGTCACGACCAGTACATGCCGAACGTGGAGGGCAAAACTCCCGACGACCGCACTGACCTGGATGAGGAAATAGACTCGGAAATTCGCAGGAGCAACTGTGTCCTCTCCTAGATCAGCAAATGCGTCTACACAAGTCCAAAGATATTCACTCTCACCTCTTTGCCTAATCAAAAGTTTAGTTATCTCTTCACTTGCACTCTCTCCGTCTCTGTCAGGTATATTTTACTACTTTTTCACTACTATGTACCATAGGAGGTTATATTACGACGGTCCTTAAATTTAAAAGCAGTGTGGATGGGCTCCCTACAAAGCTAATCATTTGCTCACAGGTAATTTATTGTTAAAGTTTGTGTATTGATTATTATTATTGTCGGGACCACTTGATATTGATTTGTTCGCTGGAATACTTTACGGTGCGAGAGTAAGACAAATCCATCATTTGTTGTATCCACCGAAATCCACCACAATTATTGCTGTGCCATTCATGTGTACATATTGAATAATGGATAAGAGTGATTAATTAACCTTCGTCAAGTGATAAGAAGTTAAAAATTCTTTGCCTAGTCTCCTGTACAGCCTGTTGTTATAATCGCTCGGAAAAAGAACACTTAATTAAGTTGGACTTACTCTTAATTACCGCCATTATAATAAGCGTGCTACTACTCTAAATGTATTCCGATGGAAAAATATCAAATTTATTGCTTGTTACAAGATGGTGGAGCATGGGTTTACTCCCGCAGCTATAATCAGTTATTGTTGAACTTGAACAAAGTCAAGCGAGCGCATTGTTAATAATGAAACTTGAAAATAAATCACATTCCTATAAGCCTGAACAAAGGTCTATTTTTAATTAAAAGTAGAGAAAAATCCAGATCAATATACCATTTTATTTCAGCGAAGTTTCCAAAACTCCGCGCAAAGTTTTGTAAAACATTCAATTGCAACAAGCAACACCTTATTAATTTTCGTTGACATTTCTCATCGATGAACGCGACAATTTATACAGTAAATGCAACTGTTGAGCTGCGTAAATACGTGTTTGTTTTAAACAACATCGAGTAAATCTCTACAATAAAATTTGTCTATAAACGCAGAACGAACACACAGACATTGATATATTTCGGTCAGAGCAGCGCAAAATTTTAAAATTGGAATGTTGTTCAGCATTATTTAAAACGAAATTGCGTCCCACAATGAATGGAATTTACGTAATTCGAAATTATTTTTTAGCCGAGTTTCTGAGCTAAATTAAACTACCATGAAACTACAATGTCTAGAGTTTATTTCTAACCATCGAACGAAGTGATCAACAATGTTTTCAAAATTTATTGACTTTCGCTAAGAACTAATTAACACTTCAATAATCGATGATGCTCAACAAGGTCCAAAACCAGCCGGACACGTTGTGATAAAAGATAGAAAATAATTATCCGCCAGCAAAGTCGTCTAGACACCGGCTTGTCAACAATTTTTGCATAATATATTTTTAATCACTTATTATTTTTAGTGTATATGAATAAAAAAAACACATCAGCAACAAGTCGAAACTACCAGCGCAGTACACATAATTGCCGCACAGAAACAATTCATTATGCACAATAAATATTGATATCGCGGCGTGTATGTATGTGTGTATAATACTTGCGAGATTAGTAATTAACCTAATTAACCATTATTGTTTGAGTAAGCGCACCTCGGCTTTTCACAATTAGACGATTCTCTCCTTTTGAATTGAGTTCCGGAATATTATGCACGCTGCTAGGATATATTTTATAACGTCTTCGTCAACTGGGATTGGCGAGGGATGTGAGCGAAACGTTTGAGGAGAGAAGTCGAAAAATCCTTTCATGTGTCTTTCGTTAGGCCTCGGAAAAGAAGATGATTTCAGGGATTTCTGCTCCGCCACCATTTCATTAGAGGATTTCGGAAAAGGTCGTAACTCATTACATGCAAACGTCAGATGAATTGATTTTAAGGGCAGTGATAAAAATAACCCTAATTTTTCAGAAAATGACGGAAAATGAAATAGGCCGGTTCAATTTGTTGGAAAATATCGGAGCAAATCACATTTTTATATTTATTTAATAAAATTGTCTCTTGCGAAGAAAAACTCTATTGACTTGAGGTCGTGCTGCAGCAAAATTAGATTCCACATGAGTCCATTTTTAATTAAATGATCCCACTTCGGAATATAAAATAAATCTGCATATCATCAGATTTAGGAAATGAAGAGATCGGGCTTTTCCTCGTTGAGAAAATTGTTTTTTTTTTCATGAACAAATTACTTATTCAGCGAGCAGCATATTTGCTCATGAAGTAATTTGGTACTTAGATTGTTCGTTTTAACATTTTAATTTTTATGTTGCAATGCGTTTTTTTCCTTGCTCATAAAATAGTCGCAGACTGTGGCCGAAACTGGTAGAGCCGTTTTGCATTTGAATATAAAAACAATTTTTTCAACAAGGAAAAGCCCGATCTCTTCATTTCCATGATCATCTCCTCAAGTATCAATTTCTTCAAACAAAATCATCAGATTTGTTTCTTAGCAAAAAGATAAAATAAAATACATCATTACAGATTTTTTTTTTCTTTTGGATTCCAACCTATTTAAAAATATCACTGCCCTGCTCACCCTAAATATAATCCAAAGCACTACATAATCCTAAGCAAAATACGCTTTAAGTATATATTTATATATTCTTGCGATTCTCGGTAGAGAACCTTGTTATTTTCCGCTTTTTCTTTTTTTTTCTGGGGAATGCGCGCACGTGTGTGGGAAGCGTGTTTTGAGCCTGGATTTAGTCGTAGGTCTCGGACTCCTGCTGGACGAGCTTGAAGCGGCGGGGGCTGAGCACGTGCACGGAGCCGCAGTGGCCGTCGAGCGAGAGGCGGCCCTTCTGCGCGAGGTAGTTCTTGATGTAGCGCGCCACCAGCTTCTGGGGCCGCTCCTGCCACTCCTCGAGCACCTCCTTGGGCGCCAGGACCTGGTCGCCCTTCAGCCGGTCCATCAGCGCCACGCAAATCACCGCAGACTGGATGCCCGCGTGGTGCGTCAGGGCGGCAAACGACAGCGACTCCATCTCGATGTTGCACACGCCGGCCTTGTGGATCTGCTCCAGGTAGTCCAGCTTGTCCTTCTCGGTGAACTCGCAGAACGCCCCGTCTAAACGACCTTGACCTGGAACAGAAAATAATTATTTCATTGATTTTGAAACGATCAAATAATAATAATTTTATTTCTGTTTGACGAGAGCGTCACCCAAAGAAGAATTTGAAGTTGATGGGTTTTTGGGTCACAAATTATCAATTATTTGTAAACTTGTGTAGTTTGAAAATTATGAAAATTTTAAACAAATAAACCTCAAATATATTGTCAATTAAGGAGTTTAAAAATATAATTTAATTATAAAATAAAGGCTGTCCTACATTTAATATTTCTTTGTTAACATTTAAGTCATTTAAACCACTTCAAAATTAAAAAACAAGGGACAATCAAGAAATCAATTCTTGGATATTTATTTAAAGGCTGGACAAATTTAAGTATCCTTTGGATATCAGGTTATGCAACCTGCGTGACACACATGTATTGCGTGGTAGTTTTATCTTTAAATCAGGCAGCATTATTTCTTGTTTTTAGTGGTACAGAGTTATTTTAAGAAAATTGATAGAAAAAATTTAATAGGCACGGCGTAATCTTCCATCGCGCGCGGCAGATAAAAAACAAATAAAGCAAATCTTACTCATGTTTTTAATAAGTGACTTTCTCTTATCTCTCTGGAATTTTTTGCAGGGGACAACACAAAATTTGACGCAATCTTCGCAGTTTGTTGTGAGTAAACAAGCGGATTTTCCGCCGCATCACCCATCAAAATCTAACGGCGGAAAACAGATGAGAAAATGTGTGCATACTGCGGCCAAAAAGCTCTTTTGCCAGTGTGCGCGTTTCTATTATGTAATCGATACCGGCGCCAAGATATATTATTGGAAAAGTTGCCGCGGTCAGGAAAACTGGGTCGTCAAGTCGCATTATCAAAAGTGACGACGAGATACGCAGTCCCGAGAAAGACGTCAAGAGATGCAAATTTGCATATTTATGGCCTCAGCGCGCACTGTGAATTCAAATGCAACGGTCCCGATTGCGCTCAAACTAAAATTTTGCACCAGTTCTGTAAATCTAATTGAGCAAAACTTGCAGCCAAAGTTTTTTTTTAATTAAAAAATCTCCCAATGAATTTGTCTTGTTTTTTTAGCATTACAATAAAAAATTATTTAATTTTCAGCGCCGCTAAGCCAAATTACATGAATTTACAATCAGTGTTTGAATTAAATTTTAAAAACATTTTGGAACTTTTGATTAATTATTGATTTTTTCCAAAATTTTCTTTTGAAAAAAATACTGACCTTCATAGAAGTCGTAAGTGCACATGGTCTTGCCGGTGACCGTGTCGTACAATTGTGACGGTTCAGCCATCGACTTGAGGTCGCGCGCCAGCCGCTTGTCCAGTTTGGCCGTCCGCTGAACCAATTTTCCCAAAACGGGCTGCAAATTCCATTAAAAAATGATTCAAGTTTTAATACGAAAAACTCACGAGTTCTAAGTAGGGTCTCAAGAGACCGTCGACGGCCTCTTCGGAAATGACGACGGTGCCACCATCAAGGCCGATGCCGCCGCAAGTACCGATTCGGAAGAAAATCGGGTCCTTGACCTTTGCGTGGTACATCAGCTTGATAACCTCGTGCAGCAGAATGCCCACTGATGGAATTCCCATTCCGTGCTAAACACAACAACAATTACGACATTATACATATTATAAAAAAATTAAATTTGATGGGGAAAAAAACTTACGCTAATTGACAAAACTGGTCCAACTTTGTACATGGAGTAGCGATAGGAGTACTGGCTGATGTCTTGCAAGGTGGTGCCTGCGGGCAGTTTGTGTCCAATCTGCTCCATGATGTAGAACGCAAACTGCTCCATTCGCTTCGGCGTTCCACCCATGCACACAAACTGAAACGCGAGAGCAATTAAAACAAAGTCGGAATCGTTTCGCGAAAATGCGGTACTTTGACGTCGCCAAACATTTCGACGAGGTCGTGTGAGCCGCTGCCTAACGCCAGGTGGTACAAAATGTCCTGGTCCATCAGCTCGATGTTCGGGTTCCTCAGGCGCACGGACCCATCAGGGTACCTTGACACAAAATAGGACATAATTTTTAGTCTGTTGCTGAGACTTTCAATAAATTAGAGAAGTTGACTTTTGGTTTTTGGCAGATTTCTGAGATTTCACATTCCTGCGAAATGACAACAGCGCGCTATAATTATGCGGTAATTGGTCCGCGAGTTGCTGGGTCAGCCAAAATTATTGAAAATATTTATGCCAGGCGCCGAGCCGGAAATTCTCGCAAAATTAAGAACACAGAACTCTCTTTTAGAAAAGTCAGCCACGTGGTGGAACAAACGCGCAGAATTAGAGGGGCTAAAAATCTAATTTAAGAAACTCGCCCCTTTGACGACTATCGAACACGCGCCACCACACTTTCTGCACACGCATGCTTTGACAATTTCAATTTAAATTCCGTGCAATCAGTCTACCTGCTTGCTGTATTTTTACTTTTTAGTCAAGCAATTAAAAATTAATCATTCAAAAGGCGGATATAAAACTGTCATTATTTCTTTAAAGAATTTGTGCAATACAAAGTCTTTTACATTAAAAAACTTTAAACTGCTAGAATTTAATAAATTTCTGCAAATTTTACATATATTCAATGGAGAAAACCAATTTTTTTTTTATAATTTTAATAAAAAGTTTGACGTACATATTTTGCCGTGAACTGTTTTGAGAGCGCTGCCGGCAGTCAATAATACAAGAAATAAATATGTTGAGCAAATAATATAAAGCGGGCGCAGACAAAACAATGGAAAATAAAGTCAGGAATATTACAGCGATAGCCTTTCATTCTTTCAACAGGCCAAAGGCCCTGTTTGGTGATACAGTAATTCGATTACGCGCAATTCCATTGCTATTTGTCACCGAACTTCAATCGCCAGCCTCAAAAGATGTCACGCTTGCACATAAAAAAGAGGCATGGGGAATAAATTTTTGAAGGTGAAGGAGCTCACCTTGAGATTTCTCTTCCAAATAATAGCACAAATTCTAAATTCCATATCCAAACAAGCTTTTGTAAAAAAAGTAAATTTACCAATTTTAAATATATTTAACATTTGGTGCTTTTGTGCTTCAATTTGACATGGAAACTTTAAACTTAATATTTAAAATGGAAAACTTTTCAATCTTGTTGTAATGAATGCCGCCAAAATTAATTAATACCATTTTTCTTAAATATTTTTAACAATTAGCGCATGTAACGTCACCATTTGATATGCATTTCGCAATCAGTAGCACACAATTGATTAACTACCTGGTTTGCGAGTACTGCAGAAATTGTTTGCCTTTGCAAATGTGGGGTTGTTGGTGGAGGATTTTGTCGCGGTTGTGGTCGTGGGCGCGCAGACCGCACCGGTCGCACCGTTGCGGACCCTGTTCCTCCATGTCTCTCGCAGTCTCTCTCCCAACTGAATGAAAAATGCATAGCGCAAGAGAGCAAAGAGCGGACGGACGGGCATTCAGACGGGGGGGTTGCGCGGCTATTTCTGCTCCTCGCGCTTCCCCGACCTGCTCCTCTCATATTTGCTTAAACGCGGCCACCGCAAGGAAAATCACAAGACGATGACGCAAGCAGGAAAGGGAATTTTGATAGATTAAAAACGAGAGGAAAATAAAATAAAAAAAACCCCGGAGTTCCCTGCTCCAAATTTAAAATTTCTTCTTGAAATTTTTTTTCTCGCATTCAAAATATAGTATAGCAGAAAAAATATATTTGGTCTCTACTTGAAAAAAATATATTTGGTCTCTATATTTGATTTCCACTTTTGAGGAACTTAATTAATTCTGTTGAAATTAGGTGTGGCTTTTCTTTAGTATAATTTTGCTCCTTTTTGAAGCTCTACAAAAAATGCATCTCAACCTTCAATTCCAATCCCGCCAAGCAGGTTTTTCTTCTTGGAAATTCTCAGAAATTATTATCCTCGTCTCCTCTCTCTATTGGCAAAATTTCGCTCACACACCTCTCTTTAAAGGTCTGACCTCGGCGAGCGATTGGCTGACGAAAATCAAAGTATATTTTTCAGTAATTGCGGTTCGCAGAAGTATATCTGTGTTTTTTATTTGCATTGCGACGACGTGCGTTGGGAGGTGTGACTCGTGACGTGTGTTTATTTATTAGCGGACCGCGCCGCGTCCTCCCCGCGCCGCGCACTCGGTTGTGTGTTTGCGAAAAAATAATCAAGGTTAAGCTGAACTTTCGTGTAATCTCGTGCTTTGTTTGCACATTTCGTATGCTTTGTTCAGTCTAAGGCTTCCTCTTTTGGGCAACAAGTTTCTTATAATATATTCTTTTGAAACAGACCCGCGCGGTAAAGGGCCAGGAATTTATTATAATTTATATAAATTCTTCAGAAATTTACATTTGTTGGAAAAAACGTGTACCTATTTTAATTTGAAATCTTTCTTAGTTGTGGAAGGGAAAATTTAAAATTTTAGACTTTCAAAGGAATTGGTTCCGAAATTTTGTTTGAATTTTGATTTAATATTTTTCTGTTTTACATATTTTTTTACTGATGTTTTCGTTATGCTCTAACAAAATTTGAACAACAATTTTTTAATCATGATGTACCATGCATTTTGGTCTCTTTCTACTACATTCTTGTGACCTTTTGGCACTCCGAATTAAAGGAAGTTGAAGTTCGCATTAAGTATTTTGTTGTTGCAAAGAGCAACGTCATAGGGTCTAATTAATACCATGCAATGTTACATCAGAGCGCAACGAGCACAATTGCTATTATGGCCGAGGAGAATTAAAAGCGATTGCACTCGACCAAGGCCAAGAGTAAATTGAGATCAATCAAAGGGAAACATAATTCCGTGAACCTTCATTTCTTTAGTAATGCATTATTATTTGTCTTTCAAGCCGAGTGTTGTATGTATTATTATTTTTTCACAAAGACTAAGAGAGAAGAATTGCAAAAATTGCATCAGTTAATAAGTGGGATGAGCGTTATTTGCAGTTAATAAAGCTAAGTGGATAATCATGCAAAATTTAGCATAAGAAAAAATTGGAAAATTTATTTGGTAAATTAACAAACCGTAATTTTATTATTATTAATTTTTTTGTGATTGAATTTCACGATCCGGGGTTAATTCATGATGATTTGGATTTAAACTCAGCTTTTTCTCGATTGGTTTTGTGAGTTGTTTATTTAAATACTAATTTTTAATTAATCAAATCAAAAATTTTGCATTGCTTATCTGATACGATAATTATTTTGAGTGGATTGTGAATGATTAAAAAATTGTGGTGCTAATATAGATTAATTCATTATTCCAATTATGTACCTTTTGTCACCCGCAGATTAAAGTGAGACCTTTAATTGGCTCTGATAAAAACAACAAGAGGCCAAACGCACACAGCACGCGATCGAAATACAATGTCGTGATAGAAGAGCCGACTGGACACGCGACAAGGGGGATCTTTTTGATAAACCTTTGTGAGCTGACTGAGCACATAGAGAAACAATTGATATAGTAAAAGAAACAAGGGTCGAAAACAGCAACCAAGTTTCATTTAAAACAATTTAGAAACAACAACAATTTAACTCGAAATACATGAAATGCATGTTTTAATTAAATTGCAATTTAATCAGTTGAAATTATTATTAGATAGGTATTAGGCATTGATGAAGTATTAGTTTCAAATTATTTCAAAACTGGCATAATATATATTCCTTCTCTTATGATCTCCAGCGTTAAATTTAATTTTAAATTTAGTAATAAACTGAAAACTGGTTTATACGAGTCAATCCATTGCTCGAATAATTACTCTTTTCCGCGCAAAAGACACTTCTTCTGGCATTCAACGGAATTCTTAAGGGTGGCGTTTTATTCCTTTTGAGAGGAGAAAGAGAAAAGAGGGGCTGTTTTGGGAAAAAAGACTTCCTTCCTAAATCGGGAGCGCCGAATTTGGGTGCAAGTGGCGGGTGTGGGTGGTGCGCGGCGGCCCTGCCTATCGACCCGCAGCGCACGGCACCAGAGGCTCCTCAGCAAAATCGATAATATCCTGCGCCCCACTTCTTCCTTCCTTCGTTCTCTGTGTGTTCCACCTTATGCAACACGGCTCGCGGAGATCTCCGTATATATTGACAAAGCCTTTCCACTCGCAGACGTTTAGTTTACCGAACCCATTTTCCAAGAAGTACTTGTTTTGCGAGCAGAAATAATTTTCAACCGGCTTTCAATTTGCTTCGCTCATGTGAAATTTTTGCAAAATCTCTCCGAAGAAATAAAAAACTTTATATTATTCTGCTGAAGTTTTGTTTTTTATACCCTACGACGCTCTTGACCTTCTGAGAGATAAGATAAGAAATAGTCTCAACACATTTACGATTGAAACAGTTTTTAAAATTATTTCTCTTCCAAAATCATTTCTATTAAGTTTCAAAAGTGCGAAAGGAAACAACGGAAAACGGTGCGAATTAAATTATTTTTCAAAATTGAAACTCACTCGTCTTGAATCTCCTCGTCGGACATGATAATTTTCTAGCACTCTAATTCTTATCACTGAACGCGTCTATGTGACCCTATCTTCCTTCCTTTCCTTCCTTATTCGCTCGCAGACACGACCCCACTGGCTGCCGTCGAGCAAGTCGCGAAACGGCATGCGCGCCTTCCTTTTGGCCTTGCGGCGGCGGCGCGCTGACCACACGCAAAATGCGCTTCGGGACAAAATTTGTTTTCATTTTTTCCTCTGATTAGCGAGAAAACTGGGATTAATTTTTTTTTATTTAATTTTGCGCCTGCAAAAGGAATAAAAATAAAATGTGAGCAATAATTTAACAAGTTTCAATCATTTTTAATATCCGTTTAATTTTTCATTATAAAATACATATCAACAAATAGATATTTAATTCAATCAACAAATTCAATAATCATATCGCCACCCACCTAGAACTGTAGAATTATAGCTGAGAGTTGTATAAATAGTCATAGAAATCCTGTTTAAATTGTTTTGCAAAACACAAAACGGCCCACTAACTGAGAAGTGAAATGAGCGGAGAAAAAGCTTAAGTAAATAATCTGCATGATCTGGTCTTAATACTTCATAGTTTACCAATCAAAAAACATAATGTTAAACTTTCTTATAATAATTGGCCCCAGCCGTAGAGATTCCGTTTCAGTAGTAACAATAAGAAACTATTTTACATTTAATCCGATTATAAAATCTCACATTTTGGTAGTTCAGGAATGGAAAAAAATGCAAAAATTAATATAAAAACATTAAATTTGTAAGAGGAGATTGCGTCGTTGACAGAGAATATATATTAAGCTCTTACAATTATTACTATTTTAGGGAACGTCGTAGAAATCTCTTTGCGTCTGTTAAAAAAACCGTTGCTCGTTTTGATTAGCCTCCTTCAGAGTTCGTTCATTCGTTGATAGCACTCGTTTGTCTAGGTCATGTTTCTTTCATTTGTGCGTTTGTGGGTAAAAAAGCAGAGCAGACTTTTACAGTTCGTCCTTGGCATCGGCCGACTTCATGAAGGCCACCAGGTCAGCAGTGTTCCTGCCCTGGTCGTAGTCCTTGACCTCGCGACCTTTCTTGAACAGCTTCAGTGTAGGGAAGCCTCGGATGTTGAACTTGCGTTGCAGTGGCTGCTGGGCGGTTGCATCCACCGTAGCCAGCCACCAGTCCTTGCCGTCCTCACGTACCTTTTCAGCCGCCAGGGCGTAATCTGCCTTCATCGCCTTGCAATGTCCACACCCTGAAACAATTTCATAGATTTTTCTTACTGATAACGTAAAAAATAATCAAATTTTAGATCTCCTGAAAAAATGTTTATTTTATTTATTCTAATTAGAGAAATTGAAAAAAAAAGATTTTAGTATACTCCAGATAAAGATGATTATTATATATATTATTTACTTCAATCAAGTAAATCTAAACTAAAAATAAATTTGATATTTATTTTCCCGGCAATCAATAATGTTGAAGGTCATTATTAGCATTTTGATCAATAAAAACCACACCCCAAAAGTTTTTTTAAGTACGTACATGGAGCGTAGAACATAACAAGGACGCTCTCCTTGCTGTCAATGGCTGTGAAATTGCTCTCTGTCAAATGCAATAGATGCTCTGCACCAGCCAAATGCCCCCATTCCGAGTGAGGCGACGGGGGCGGAGGTGGAGGCGGTGCGCTTTGTGGATTATTCATGAAGGCGATGAAGTCGTCCGCCTGTCAAAACGGGCAAAAATTATATAAACACACTTTTCCACAATTTAATTATACCGTTCTTCCTCCAGAGTAGTCAAACTTTTCCTTGTTGAGGTAGCTAAAGTACTTGATGGTGGGGTACCCCTTGACGTCGAAAGCTGCACAAACCCCTTGCTGGGCTGTGCAGTCGACGGCGGCAAACTCCACTTTGGGGTCGTCCTTGAATTTCTCAGCCGCTGTGTTGAACTCTGGTTTGGCTTTCTTGCAGTGACCACACCCTGTTGATGAAATTTAAAAATAGAGTTTGATCTGAAAATTGCAATACCTACATGGAGCATAAAACATAACCAAGACGTGTTTCTTCTTCTTTAAAAATGGTTTAAACGATTCGTCTGTGAGATGAACAACTTCAGTTTCGTCTTCGCTCCACGGCTTTTCAGGGGCAGGAGGTGGGGGTGGCTCTTTGGGGTCCTTCATGAACTCGATGATTTTGTTCAACTCGCGGACGTTGGCGTCGAAAGCCAGTTGGCCGTCCTTGAAGTATTTAATCGACGGGTAGCCTCGGACATTGAACTGAGAGGCAAGTGGGCCTTCTTTTGTAGCATCAACGGCAGCTATTCTGCCAGGAATCTAAAGAGGAAAAATCAGTTTAACCAAATAAGAAGTTAATTTCAAAAATTACCTTTTCGTTCTTCATTTTCTCAGCAGCCTGCTCGTATTCTGGTTTCATCTTTTTGCAGTGTCCACACCACGGGGCGTAGAACATGACAAGCAGAGACGAATGTTCCTGAAGATAATAATTTTTATAGACCTTCAAAATTAATTCCAGATGCTTGATTACCTTAAGAGCGTCTTCGAAAGTGTCCTTGGTGAGATGCAAGACTTCGCTGGGCGAATCGGACCACTGCTTTTCAGCCACTTTCTCAGGCTGCTTTTGAGGATTCTTCATGAAAGCGACAAGGGCATCTCTTTTGTTATCCCCCTCGTAAGTAAACTGCATGGCACCATTTCTTCAACACAAATTAATCAAAGGATAATTAAAATAAAAATATTATTACTGGAAGTAAAGAAGAGTGGGGAAGCCAGAGATGTTGAAAAGTTGTCTGACGGCAGAGTTTTCAGGTCTGTTGACATCGATGGCCGCCATGACCGCTTGGTCTCGCAGATCTTTGGCAGCTTCGGCGTACTCGGGTTTGAGCGTTTTGCAGAATCCACACCACGGGGCGTAGAACATAACCATCATAGGCTTTGTCTCTTTCTTGATTGCTTTGTTTAGGGCCTGGAAGTGAACGGAAATTTAATTTCAAACACATTTTATGTTAGAATTAAACTCACAGAAATGTCTGAAAGGTGCAGGACATCGGCAGAGTCTGCGTCCTCCTCCCAGGGCACATCCCCAGTTGGGTCCCTCATGAAGTTCACTATTGACGTCACACTCAGTTGGCGGTCGTAGTCTCTGTTGAACTCGCCGTCCTTGTAATGCCGCAGAATCTGAGGCTCGGGGTTTACCTTTAACTTTTTGCACATCTTCTTCCCAGTTTCACTAAATATTTTAATTGCTTGTTTAATAAATTTCTGCTTAATTTAAAATAACGTACCCATAACAGTCTACAAAAGCAAGAGTTCCTTGCCCTTTCACAGCCTCAGCGGCCTCTTTGAACATCCTGATCGTGAAATACGTCCTTTTTGTGGTGCTCACGAACAGCACCAACACATTGTTTTTAGTTCTGAGCAACTTTTTGAATTCTTTCACGTCTGTGATTTCCTCCAGGGGGCCCTTTTTGTCAATGGGACCGCCTTGCTTTGCGCCGGCCACTTCCACCTGCGATTAAAAATGGTCAAAATTAACCTTCAACTTGAAACATATGTTGATTTTAAGGTCAATGCACCGGTTGCACAGTAATTGTGCAGCAGGAGCCCCCGGCATTTCAGCTAACCGAGTCAAAGCGGCTTACCAGGGCAAAGGTTGCGCAGAGAAGTGCCAAATGTAAGAGTCCTCGTCTCGGCCTCATGATTAGGTTCGTTTCTGTGGGGTGCACTCGTCAAAAATTAGCACATTTTTGGATAAATTGTTGGAAATCGGAAAGCGTTCGGCATACGTCAGTCGAGAATTGTGACGACACAGAAACCACACAACAAAATAAATCTGCAGATCCAACACGGTGCTGCCCTCCAGCGGCAGAATGAAATTTTGCAAGGACGAATAGCCAACATAATAATGTTTCAAATTCTCAAAATAACTTAATTTAGGTAACGTTCTGTACTTTAAATTTGAAAAGATAAATAATTTTATGTATTTAATCTAATTTTTATTTATTTTTTCTTAATATAATGAATTTTAAATTACAAATAAATTGATATAATTTTGTAACTGGTTGGCACCAACGCTAATCATGCTGACTGAAAAAATTGCTGAAAAACAACAAAACACGCCCACACGGGTCGGGGAGAACAAAATTTATCAAGCAGCTTTCTAACATAATTTTGGTTGTTTTTTAAACCAGACATGAGTCAATTAGGCAGGTTTCGCGAATTTGTTAACCGCAACATCGTAGCGATAGTTATGGTACCTTCAATCTTTCTCATGCACTGGGGCTGGCTCAAGTTGCAAGACGTCGAAATTTTGATCAGGCCGGAAGAAAAGAAGGGACTCCCAATCGTCGAGGTAAATTACATAATTTAGCAAAATTTTGTCACGGCAATTAAAAATTCAAAACTCTTTTACTCTTAGGGAGCTAAACTTTTGGAAAAGAAAATAGAATCGTGGAAACATCCAATAGAAGAGCAACCGTCGAAGTAGAAAAGACTGACCATTCTAGTGGGAAGAGAGAGGATGTTATGTAATTTTAACACAAAAACCCGGTTCTTTACAAATTAAGTTTGTAAATAATACAATTTAAGTTGGAAATTTACGCATTAAAAATTAATTAAGGCATGAAACAATTTTTATTAAATTTTTTAACTTTGGATTAAGAACAGTCCTGTATTAAAATTGCTTTTAACATTAAAAAGCTTTAATTTTAAATTTGTAATCAGCTCCAAAAGTCATCTGCGTCATCGACCCTAAGCTCGTTTTCTAATTCTGTCACGTCAAACTTGATGTTTAGCTTTGGGTCTTTGTCTTCCAGACTGTCTAAAATTTCATCTGCCCCTAAATTTTCCTGTTCGTCCGATTCAATCTTGGCTATGTAGATTTCCTCCGACTTGCTTAAATCGTCACAGGAAGATTGAACTTTTTCCACTTCATCCTCTTCCTGGTCAAGTACAGGAATTTCGTCCAGAGCAAAATCATTTTCGTCTTCATCCCACTCTGAAGGCTTTTCTGCCACAAAGTCAGCTCTTTTGTCATATTCAAAACTCGGATCGCTTGGGCTGACTTTGCTCTTGTTGTAAGTCACGTCCATTATTGCTTTTTTACGGTCCAGGTCTTCAGTTTCCAGTTTATTCAGGTCTTCCTCGGGATTGACTTCGTATTCCTTCTCGACCACCAACAAAGAATCTTCCAACCCAACGCCTTTCATGTTTTCCTAAATTAAAAATTTGTTTTATAATCTTTTTTTCAATTTTCCTTATTTATTTTTTTTTTATAAGAAACCTGTATCAGTCGAAGCATTTTCTCGACGATAATCTGTGAAACAGGTTCCATGTAGCGCTTGTGCCTGTCTTTGATTGATTTTGCCGCCAGCGAAACATCTGAGCTCTTGGAAAAGTTCCTCACGGGCATACTTCTGCGGCGAAGCTTGCACGATAGGGTGTCTTCGTAAATCAGGATCACGCACGGAGGACTGAACTGCACACCACATTTTTTTACATTGTAAATCCCATTCATCGAAGAAAACATCGTAAAATCTTAATGCAAATATCTAAATTATAATGTAAAAGAGTTAAAATGATATTGAGACGGTGTGGTAACCCTTTTGTTTCTAGCAACGATCGACAAATCGGTGGAACCAGGCACAGACTGGCACTTTCGCAAATTCCGAAGTTGGTTTTGCCGCCTCAAAACAAATGAGTGTTCGATTTGAGGTTACGTTCAGGAGCTAGGGAAAGTTACACGATTTAAAGCAACAAAGGTTTTTATATTGAAAAAGAGTATATTTTATAAAGTTTAAAGTAAAAATAGAGATATTTTTGATATTTAAAGAATAATTTTAGCCCTAAAATCTATAATATTTGCCTAAATATAGAAAAATACATTGTGCTCCTTTTCCTTCACCCTTCTTGGTTCACTCCCCCCTCGAAGTAAGGCGGTAAGAATTAAGAATGGCGGCATAAACGTAAACATGTTGCTGTAGCAATCAGTTTTTCGATTTTGAATTATTGTTTCGTGATTTTAATTTAAAGTATTTGTCATTGAAACCAAGGTTTAACGAAAGTCAAGAATATTTTCTTTAATAACTGAAGAGTCGGGCCCAAATCATGGATGATTTCGAGCTAGACGACGAAGATCTGTTTGCAGACGATGAAGCTTTTCAAAATGCAATTGGTATAAATTTTTAAATTTTACATTCAAGCAATTTCGTTTTACATAAAATTCCAATTTTAGTCGGTAATAAACTGCTGGAGGCACGATGTTTTGAGTGCAGTGGCAAATTCACCCACGCTCAGCTCACACAAGACTTTCCCTTCAAGAGCATCGTCCGGAAAGAAGGGATGGATCTCGCCTTCCAGAATTCATATCATTACAAGGGACTCATCGAAAAGGCTGGAGAAAATCTGATTCTCTTCAACGGGGCCAAATATCATGCGTCAAGTGCCTTCTTGGAGAACATGGATCAACTATTTCAAATGGCAAGGTAAAAAGGAAAATTAATTGGATTCTGGTCTCATAATTCACTCATGAAAAATAAAAAACTAATTTTTGTATCTACATGTAGCAGATTTTGAAAAGTTTATTTAAATAACAATCTCACTTCTGGAATGATTTTCAGGAAGCTTTTTATCAAAAATGAAAAAGACGCAGTCAAGCATTTGATGCACCTCAACCTGAGTAAGGCCAACTATTTCGATTCTAGGCAAAAGATAAACCTAATGTTTGAATATTTCACCACATTTGTACAAAGGTCAGCTGATTTTTTTTTTTAAATCAGGCAACAAACTCATTTTGATTTTTAGTCTTCAAAGTGACAAAAATTATTTGTGGATTTTGGAGGAAAAGAAGGAAAAAGTTCTTCAACATCTTGAGTCTTGGAGCATCCTCATCCATGGCTTGACAAAAATTGAGTTCAACCTTCTGTCAGCGTGTCCCGACTCCTTAGGAAACAAAGTATTGAACTAAAACTGGACTTAATTGTGAATGAATTTTTAATCTTCCGTCAAATGCAGTGTCGTCCTCCAATGCACCACCTGTTGCACCTTCACCTGGAGCTCCGGTGGCACCACCTTTGCCTCCTGCACGCCTTGACGAGTCAAAAGACTGAACTCAACCGCAACCTGGAACAGGCCCTTGATCATGTTTTGACTGAACTTGTAAAACTTGCCGAAGGGGTGAAACAAGAAGACTACGACAGGACGCATCCTTTTTTCTGCAACTGCATTCGAGAGTTCTGGCTCATGCTCCAAATTTTTTCAGACAGACTCCATGCCAGCAACTTGATTTCAATGGTATAATTAGTGATATTTTATTTCAATTTAACATAAAATAACAAAATTCAACTCTTAGTCATTTTGGGGCTTGATGAAAGGAATCGTGAACAGAATTTTTCGCCCCGCTGAAGAAAAACCTCCGGCTAATTTAAGCAAGGTCAGAAGGCCCATTCTGTGCCAAGACTGGGAAATGCAGAGAAAGTCTTCATTTGCTCTGTGGTTGTACCTCAACATCTGCCCAATTTATGGCTACAGCGAGAGTGGAATTTACTCCAAAAAGACAAGGGTATGTAATATATTCAAAAATATTAGTAAGGAATTAAAAACTTGGAGGAACATCAGGGAGCTGTTTCAGATGAAGGGAGCAACTTGCTGGAGCTGATTTTGAAAAAGTTGACGCTCAGTGCGAACGAGAATGAAATGAGGGACCTGATGAAGTTGCTACTGCAATTGCCTCAATGGTGGAATGTAGGCATGCAGGCCTTGAATTTGCTGCTGGACCACTTTGTCAAACACATTGGCTCATTGTTCATTGTGCCAGGCGAAAGTCCAGCTCACTTGGCGTTCATGGCGTAAGAATTCAAATTTTATCGAACAATCACGAACAATATAATTTAATGTAGGCGGAAATGTGTTCCCAAATTTTTACTATATTTATTAAATTATTTCGAGTTACCTTTTCCCCTTAAATTAATGGAATAATCTGTGATTCAGGAGGACGGCTGCAGAGTTCAGCAATCAGATCAAGGGACACCTGCGATTGGACCTACCCTCATATGAGGGTATCAACAGTTTTCATTTGTTCGTCAAGTTTTTGCGTAGTCAGATGAAATACTCTTGGTCCGACGGTGACAAACTTCGATTCTTCAACCAAGTCAAGAGCAGGATTTGCACACGGTTCAGTGCTGGAAGAATGATTTCTTTAAACGATGTTGGTTTTTACAACCTGACTTCGCTTTGTCTGTCGATTGGACTTTCAATGGGACTGGAGGATATGGTTTGATTTAATATATAAAATTTTCATATAAATTATTAACATTTTATTTATAGGGAAGCAGACTGCAAGGATTTCTGGGTGCGGTGGAGAAAGGGTTGGACATAAAAAAGAGGGAGGTCATCATTTTGTCGCACATGACGTTGATATATCTTAAGGCGGAGGAAAAACTTTCCGTGGAAGAAAATATTCCACCTGTGACCAAATTCTTAAATGCGTCCTGCAAGGATATGAATAAGAATAATTTGCAACATATCGAGATGGTTTCATCTTTCATCGATTCCCTAAATGAAGTTGCCGATGTTATGAGTTGTGATGAAATATCCGGGTATTTGTTCTTAGGCACGTATAAAATTTACATTTTTCTTCAGTCAAAAATGAAGATGATTGAAATAATTTAGGGGATTGGCTGCCTGAATATTTGGGAATTTGCAATGCAGCAAGATCTGCAAAAGTTATGTCGGCAATGGTGGACGTTGCCAGCAAACTGCCTTGTTACGAGGAAATGGACTCGACTGCGGAAAGGAGAAAAGCTGTGGCCTCCTTCGTGGAGTTCCTTGCTCCGTATTTGAAACAGGAAAGCACTAAAGTCACCCCCTCGGCCGTCAACCAAACGGCAGATATTGCCTTTGCCATCTCGGCCGCAGCCGAAAATTCAAAATTCCTGGAAATGCTCAGACACTTTGGCTTGAATGAAACTGTCCACGCAAGGTAAACTAATTATGAGAAGATGCTTGAGTATTAAACAAAATTCTTCCAGGGTGTCTGCAAGATACTTGACTCAAATTTTATCCAACAAAGAGGTTTCCGATCGGATAAGAGACTTGGAAAGGAAGTTCGACGAAGTCATAGTCCATGCCTGGATGAGGTTGGTTTTCCATTTCTCTAGAAGTCAAGTTTAGTTATTTGTTTTTATAGGTGTTGCGTTTTGGATGAAACGAACGGAGTGGAAACTGAAGCGTTAACAAGGAGTGTTTGCAATTTGCCTGATCTCAAGAATCTATTTGGAGACAAATTGACCATTTTGAAAAACGAAGCATTCCCTTTGGAGGTTTTCGGTGAAATGGTCCACGAACAGTTCAAACTTAGAGAAAATGTATTGTTTTTCAAATTTCCCAAAATTGGAATTAATAAACCCAAAATGTTTTCAGAATATTAATGAACGTTCGGAGTTAAGGATGCGGTTATACCCTTACTTCAGCAAACTGCCTCAGGTTGTCACTCACATAATACAGCAGGATCCAAATTCAAAAATCAGCGCAACCAAACATCCCAGTACGACTGTTTTGAGAATGTACGAGTCAATAGGAAGTCTTATAATGTCATGTCCAGCTGTCATGTATGAAAAGGTAGCTTTTAATTAAAATTATTTATTTCAGAAAAAATCTAAAGAAATTAATTGCAGCTCAACGGAAAGTCCACTCTGACCGTCTTAACAAACACCATGCTTTTGTATGAAGATATACACAGATTTCCAACCTTTTGCATGGACAGGAACATCAAAGCAGCCCTTGAAGCTCATTTTCATAAGGTAGATTTAAAGAAAGAAAAAAAGAATCACAATATACCAATTTTATTTTAGTTCCTCATTGGTCTGGGAAAAATAATGAAAAACGACTCCTACATAAACCGTGTTATGGTTGCCAGCATAAAGTATTTTATCCATACTTTGGAATCTCGGAAAGGTGCTGTTTTGATGGAAAGAAGGCAACCTTTGTCCCAAGCCCAAACTTTGCACCCCATTGAGGTAATTTCAGGATATTAAAGAAAGGATAAAAAAAAATTAATGAAAATCGTAGAAATTTTTCAGGGTTTGTATCAGCGCTGAGGTGGTCGACAAGGTGGTTGAGATCATCGGAACGCACATGCTAAAGATGAGAGGCAAATTCTTTGAAAACGATCATGCGCCAGATGTAAATGCCAATTAAATAAAATTGAAGCAATAATTGATTTTTCAAAATAGGCCTTGCGAATTTTGTTAAACGTTCAAGAAGACTTGGGTGAGGATGAGAATCTGGTCAGGTCGCTGGTGAAGCACACAATAAAGGACACCCTTGTGATTTTAATGCAAATTGATGACACCAAGGAGGCAGAGAAAGATCTTGCGTTTCGCTACTTAAAAGCCATCGTCAACACTCCAGTCTTCACTTCGTCAATTGACATCAAGTAAGAAATTACCAAAATTATCCTTTAAATGAACGAATCAAGAAATATAATTTTCCCAGGGCCATTTTCTACGCAAAACTGGTGGAGCTGTACAGAGAAAAGATGGCATTCCAAAACAGTCAACTGTTCCAGTTGCTGTTTATTCTGGGAAAGTACAAAGTCTTGTTGGTCAAACCGACTTTGATGAAGCTCGAGCAACAGATTGTGGAGGTTGAAACTCGGCGGCAGACGACAAATGACCAAAGTTTAAGGTGGATTGATTTTTTTTTTAAATTTGGATTTAATTTTTTTTTTTTAAATCTTTAGAGGAAAAATGGAGAAGCTGGCTCGAATATTGGGACCTGTGGACAACGATGACTACCAATTTGACAGCTAAAAATCTGTGATTTGTAATTGATAACATTTTGTAAAGTATTTTGTACATTTTATAAAAGAAAAAATATATGAAAACAAGTGAAATGGATAATTTTTTATAACTTTTTTATTTATATAAGGGACCTCACATACATCAGCATAATTTGAAAGAACATTGCTCTTGTTAAATACCACAAAACTAAAAGGAAAAATAACCCAAGGGGGGATTATAAAGAACATTGTCGTCATCAGGTGAACAAAGAACGAAAGATATAATGCAAAAACATGCAACTTGTATTCGTGCAGCCTGTTCTGTTTTTACATTACTACTCGCAACAATCATGTTAAGTTTTATACAAAGCTCGGGGCAAGAATTTTCGACCTCTGTTCTTTGTTAATTTCATGTTCCATTTTATTGTTTAATCACAGTAGGAGGATTCACTTGAATCCGGACAGCAAGCCCAAAGTAGTTTGTTTGTTTTATATCCGAGGGAAATTCTTGCCCGCTATTTCGATAGTACGTAATTAATCGATTGGATTGGATAGCAATGTACACAATAAATTTCGCGTTCTCAATCTAAAACGTTGGTTTTTTATCATTGTGATAGAGAAGAAATATACGTTTTTTATTCGCAAGCAGAAAAGTAGCAGCGGGCCGGTCGGCATATAACTGCCGGCCGTTGTCTAAATGAAAGATTTTCGTGATAATAACCATCAACTTCTTTTCTTACACACAAGACAGGCTATATCGGCATATAATTAGAGATGATATACGAAATAATATTTAACAAACGATACACTTTCATTATTAAATTATACCGTAATAGATTTAAATCACACTTCAAGCTACAATAAGGACCCCTAACGAACAATAATTACTCGAGAGAGTGATTTTTTTTCCGATCAGCAATATGCAAAAATTTTAAGTTGTTTCTACTAACAATTGAATCAAGCAAAAGAGGAAGATGGAAACCGAAACGGGCGGCGTCGCTCCCACCATGCCAAAAATGGAGAAAACGCACAGTGGAAAGAGGCAGGCGCCACATTTCGCCCGTTTCGCTTACAACAAAATTTTATTGTATTCACTCCAACAAGGCGTCAAACGAAAATTCAGAAAAAAAAATCCATTATTGTTGTCGAAATATCGCACTCGAGACGAGGAGAAACTGCTTCTCATTGGGCAGCTCCCGCTTATTCGCTTCACTCACACCAACACGCACAAAGTAAAACCGGATAAGAAACATTAGCAGCTGGAAACACCAAAAACTAACATCGTCCACTTGCGCTAATCTGAGTAATGATAATCATAAACGTGTGTTGTGTAATAACCACAAAAACAGCAATCAAACAAAGTCTTTCTTTCTTTCCTTCCTTCCGCTACAAACGAAGAATTCAGCTTACAAGTGTAATTATTCATCAATTCATATTTAGTTACTCGCAATTATTATTATTAGTAAGTGTTCACTTTTCGGCTGACCCCGTTGCTTTTGATATTCCGAGTGTTCATTTAATCTTGGCTGGCTGATTGGTTGGTTGTTGGTGAAGAGGGAGAGAAGCCTTCGTCCTTTCTTCCTTTCTTTTCATTTTAGCAGTAATGGACAGATAGGTTTGTTTTTCCGCATTCGATTCTTTCTTTTTTTTATAATAATAATAAGATAAAATTGTGTGTGTGTCTGTTCCGAGAGTGTACGTGGAAGAAGAATTTATTTAATTACCAAACTCAAGTGTCTGCTTTTAATTTATTTCTCTTCTAAAAGTGTGTATGTGTGTGTGTGTAGAAGTGTGTGTCATGCAAATATTATTTCGCGATTCTTCTTATTATTTTTTTTCAAACGAACTAACGAACGAACCAAAGCAAAAAGTAAAACCAGCAGCTCACTCCCTGATGCGGCGGCGGCAAATTCAGTCTATTTCAAGGCCATCACGAGAAGGTACAGAAAGGAGAAGCCTCTCAAATCTTCTGGATCTTCTCGCCGACCACGACAGGGTTGTTGCGCCGGATCTCCTGGGCACCCAACTCTCGGTAGTCAAACGAACACTCGTGCATGTCCGAGTACCGGTGCAGTGAGCAGTAGAGACCTCCGCAGCGGCACTCGAAGCCTGCAAATTCACCAAAATAAAAATCAATCACTTTTAAACTTCTGAAATTGGCAGAATTTGGGATTCAAATACGAGTTTAATCCAATTTAAAAAGATTATTTTAAATAATAAATTATTTTGAATTATTTGTATGAATTTTCTATAAAATTTAAAAAGATTAGTGGCGTTTATTCAAGAAGTTTTTTTTTAATCCAAAAGAAAAGTTGTTTATTCATACCTGTGAGGCCAACCTTCTTGCGGCAGGTAACACATCGGTTCTTCTTCTTGGTCTTTCCATTTGAGTCCTTGTCCGAACCTGAGTCGTCGGCCAGTTTGGACGAGTCGACGTCGGCGCCTTCGACGCTACTGGAACTGCTCGCCCCAGCTCCCTCGAGATCGGCACACAGCTGCACAAAGAGAAGAATTAGAATTCGAGAAATAACATTTTCAAAATTATGAACGGTTTGTTCAGGTTGCTTATCGTCCGCCAGTTTTTCTTTTGTAAATAAAAGGTTGAAAAATGAGCAACAATAGACTTTAGTTTTGTAACAATCCTTAAATGTCTTCCAATAATCTCAAAAAGTGGCTTCTGTTGTTGTTAAGATTTTACTATGCCAATGAGAATCCAACAATGAAAATTTTCCAAGAGAAAATCAGCAAAATTAAACTGCTTTTTTCCTACTTTTTTTTTACAATTATAGCAATTATTCCAACATAATTTTATTAAAAAAAATGCATCAGGAAGAATTAAACAATTATTTTCCTAGGATTTGCCTCAACACAAAAGCAAACAACGCGAATAATTTTTTTAATCCATTCTTGATTGACTTTGATTTAAATAGGTCGCGATTTCTGCTCTCCTCCACTTGTACGTTTCCATTTCGCGAGTCGGTGCAACGCGGAAATTAATTGTGAAATGCTCTTTATGGTCATTAGAAGAAGAACAGTTAGTTGTTCTTGGACTTATTTCAGGTAGAAAGGGCTTTGTAATTGCGCGAAAGGTACTCGACGTCGGAGCGAATTAAAGAGCTGCCAGCAGCCGTGTCATGCTCCCATGGAGCCGATTGGCTGCGCAGCCTTGGCGCAGTGGCTTTTTGCTCTCGGCTGGCGAGAAAAACGCACCGGCCTTTCGGAGGAGGAGGAAAGAGATGTGCTGCTTTGATTACTCAAATAATAAACAACCGCTGCTGCTGTTGGCCAAAATTTTGCTCAGGCCACAAAAATCTCTTAATTAATTAGGATTTTGCCTAGGGAATTTAATAATTTAAAAATTTATTTATTTATAAAGAAAGAAAAGGGTTTCATTTGATAAATGCCAAGAGAAATTTTCAATTTTGTAAAATACGGTTGAAGAAGTAAAGATAAAATTTTTTTTTGCACATCTTCAATTATTCAAAATCCAAAAATTAAATCCGACTCATAACAACATCAAAATTGAACATTTCAGGTTAAAAAACATTTTTGCTTGATAATTTTCAAATTTAAAATTTAACCAAGTAAATTTGTTGCAGAATTTTCAACTTCCAGTAAAAATTTGATGTTTTAAAAAATAAATAAAATCAAAATTCCTTAAATTCAAGTTACTAGTTTTCTTTTTTTAAGAAATTGCAACTCACATCTTTGGAGAGGAGGAGTTCGCTGGGGGAGTTGGGGATGGCAGGGATGGTGGGTTGCGCCGTCTCCATGCTCGAGGAACTGGACATGGGGATGAAGTTGGAGGGGGGCTGCTGAGGGCTGGCTTGGACGACGGGACGGGCGTCCTGCGGCGGCTGCTGCTTCTTCTTGAGCTCCTTCTTGTAGCACAGCGAGCACATGTTGTCGGTGGCCGCCGAGCCGTAGAAACCACAGCCGGAGCGGCACAGCGTCGGCTGCGACGCCTGCATCTGCTCGGATTCGCGCTCCATCCCTTGCTTCCTGCTTCGATCAGCACAACAAACAACCTCTCAGTCAGGGCGCTCCTGCCGGCCCTGCCACGCGCGACCACTCAAGCTATCGGGGCCTTCCGCCGAGTGTGTGGCCTCTCGTCCGTCAAACAGCAGCAGAGCTCTGCGAACACACAACAATCGCACCATTTAACACAAGATTATCAACAATTGTTTCAAGACAGAAATGTAAATTACGATTTAAAGGGATTGAGAAGTTTCGATTCGTGGAGGTTCAATGTTGGCACAGAAAGATCCGATTTTGTTTTAAATTGGTGGTCCAAAAAGTAAAAACTTTGGCAGAAATCAAAACAAATAAAATATAATTTGGAATTTTTTCAATTTTTTTTTTTTTTTTTTTTTTTTACTATTTGGCAATTGTAAAATATTCATTTTGTTGCCCCTGTAAAGTATGCAATCGATTTTTTTTTAAATCTAAATTAAGTTGTGATCTTCCCTGGAAATTTCAAATTTTTATTTTAAGGCGTTCTTGAAGAAAATAATTCCCAAACGTAGTTCTCAACTTTATATCAATTTTTGGGAAATGAAAATTGAACTGTCTTTAAATTTCAAATTAATTATAATTTTTAACGAGTTGTTCGTTTGTATAAAATGGCGTCTTCTGAGCGAACTTTGAACCCGTTTATCTGTGCCAATCTTGGTCCTGACATCATTTTCTACAATTTAAACTCTCCCATTTGCATTGAAAACATCCTTTCTTGATTTTTAAAAACAATTTTACTGGTTGAAAAGGTGAGCTCAGTTTTCTTCATAAGCATTTTTGCAGACACAAAAGTGTGCTCGGGTGTTGGTTTTGTTTGCAATTAGGAGGGGCTAACATGGCAGGCAGGTGCGCCGAGGGCACCTGATGCCTGCGTGACAAACACCTTTGCAGGCCGGTGTTTAATCCACCAGGCGGCCCCTCGCGTTTGCGATTGTCATTTTCGCAGCTGAGCTTTGTCAGCTGGTTTGTAAATGGAAAGAAAGTCGCCGCAATTTGCAATACCACAATTTTTAGGATAATTCAAAATAAGTTTAATTAATGTTTCACGTAATTTCTAAAACAAAACTTTAAATGATTGCTTTGAATTCAACAAAATTCTGCAGATGAATGAAATTTTTAGGTCAAGACTGTTCACCGCGTCGAATTTTGTGGCCCATCCTCTTTAAGAACGCCAAGGACGCGCCCGTTTGATGATTTGACATTGAGCCTGCTCTGGGTGGAGGTTATGCAACTGGCGGGGAACGAATGTGAATTCGTACGGCTTCTTCCAACCTCGAACTCCGTCCGAATTCCGATCGGCGCGGGACGAATTTCATTCGCCAGCACATTATCTTGTGCATCGCAAGCTCCGCTCATTTCGGTTATCTTGCTTGCTTGGCACCGGTGACGTCATTGGTAACACTGGCGTCAAGTGAGTCACCGAAAAGAAGCCGCCGATTGATGTCATTCAAGCCAAATGCCGCCGCCGGAAGTGGGAGGCCTGACAATCATGTCCTTGCATTCGATTTTCATTGCGGGAGAAATTAAAAAATTAACAAATTTCATCAATATCGAGGTGGATTCTGATCATTTTTGTTAATCAAAAACACTAAGGTTGGACAAAATTTAATAAATCATTATCGTCCTTAACCTCAAACTTGGTAATTTCAGAAGTTTAGAATAATTGTTTAGCTTTTTTTCTATTATTTACAATAAAGTGAAAACTCAAATGATGCCCAATTTATACTTTTTTTCTTCAAAAACATGTTACATAATTAAATTTTAAAGTAATTTCGAATTTCAGTGTGGAAATTTTTCATGACAAGGAATGTTAATTCTGATTGATGCGACTGGCTGATCTGTATATAAATTGGAGTAATTCTCTTATTTTTGAGCCGCTTTCATTTTCGCCGCACTGATTCGTTTTCACTGGCGCACAAAACGGGAGCAAAGCGACGAGCGACCGTGGCCGCTTGAAAGTGAGACTTCTTCTCGCGCAAACTAGGTTAGCTGTAGCGCCTTCCTTAGCACACACCAGATTGAAGCGCAATCAATGATTAGGGTCATGCGGTAATTGCTAGAAATAAAAATGAAATGGCAAAACGATCGTCTCTTTTGACTAGTGACATGTAAATTAAAAAAGAATCTTCTTGATATATCGTTTGAATTTGAAGGACAAAATTAGAAAATAATTTGGAAAGTTTCAAGTTTAATGAAATTTGATTTAGCCAAATTATTTGTTTATCTTGTGAGTAATCTTGTTTTGAAAATAATTATTGAAATTCTTATTTTGAAGAGGATCCAATTGGAATTTGGACTTATATTTTCCTGGGCTCCGTTTTCCTTCACAAGTTTTTTTGTTATTTGATAAAATTGACCTCGAAAATGTTTAATTTCAGGGGCGCTGGGATCTCGAGTTTATTTTTGCGGGCGAAAAGCTGCAGCTGCTGCACAAAATCGATCGGCGTTGCACATGGCCGGGTTGCCTCACTCGCACTTTTGTCTCTCGGCTCGGCGCAACATATTCTTTCGAGGAAAGTGGAACGCCGCCGCTTCAATTATACAACACTCGCTCGGTTTCACTTTGCACCACGCAATTTTACAATGCACAGCATTATTATGCACAGAGGACAAATTTAAAAAGCTATGAAAAAAAAAACAACAAGCGTGCGCGCGTACCTTGTTTTCAACAGCCGGAGATTATCAAGAGCGAAATATTAATTGCGAGACGCGGCACGTTTGCATTTATCTCTCTTCTTTTTTTCAAATCCATGATAACAATATCAGGACCTCAGACTTAAAAATTTTTCTCATGGTCAGCCATAAAATTCACCCAGGAATGTTTCGATTCTGGTGCTGTAAATATTTGTGGCACACTTTGCTTGATGCGTCACAAATTGTTGACGAGCTACGCGATAAAGCTGAATAGTTGTGAAAAAAAATTGCATATTTTTGCACGGAGAAAACGTCAAAAATTTAATATAGTAAAAATTTGGATTGGAATTAGTTTCAAATAATAATAACTAAGGAATAGCACTTTTTATTTAATTTCATAACCTTATTCTCTAATCTAAATTTAAAATAATACGGAAATTATTGTAAAAGCCAGAAATTATGAAATGGAGAGCCAGGGTTGAGTTACCCGCATACGCGAAATATTGTGTGCGGAAAACGAACCAAAGGCGGCGTGTGACGCAAATTATTTTGTTTTGCTGCAGAAGCACGGTTGACAAACACACTTGCCGATTCTTCGCAAGGCGCGAGGGACGCGAAAATAAAGATCTAATCTGGGCTCGACCTTTTCGCTCCAAACAAATTTAACCGACGAGCGAGAAATGTTGTGAAAAATTTGAATCGATTTTGCAAAATCGCGCACGAGGAGGAAACTCCGGCTGGCGCGAAGCCAGCAGTCGAAGAAGGGACTTGTTGTGACTCGCGGGCAAAACTGCTTTTAGCTGAAAGTTATTAGCCGGCAAGCGAACAGTTTGCACTCATCTGCGCACTACGAGTGCTGCGTAAAACCATGCGGACGAAATGGCACGAGAAATTCGAGAAATGCGTCAATTTCAGAAGGTCTATGCGCAGTACTTTTAATCCAAAGATAATGGGAAAACGAACATATTTCAGCTTAAAAAAATACAAAACTGCAGAAGTTTGATTATGATATAGGTTGGTACTTGAATTTGTTAGTTTGATGAACTCTTTGTACAAGTTAAATATCCGTAAAAATCATATTTGGTTTAAATTGAAACTTATTGTCGTTTTCAATTATTTTCGATCATTTTCGTTTTAAGACTAAATCAATAGCAGTTTAGTTAGATGTCTGTGGGAGGAGAGTCACCTTCGGAAGCCAAAACGGTGCGCCTGCTTACGCACTTTTTGTGCTGCAATTGCAGGGTGTTTTGATTTCAGCGGGTGCACCCGATCCGCGGCATCAGGTTGCGCACGTTGCGTCAGGGCTCGCAAAGGTTGGCAGCCGCAGCGCCACCGCCGCTCTCGGGTTTGGCTCGAATTCGATATTTATATACAATATTTATCTGCGGGCGGGTGACAATTGCGATCGAACGAACCGTTCTGACTGAACGCTCGCGCGGCCCAGCCCGCTCTGTCTGGCTGCGCTCGAAAGGGACGAGGAAGTCGAACTGCGTTTCCGCGATGCTCACTCAATGAAATGACAAGCCGGTCGGTGCGAATCAGGCGGATTAAGGCCGTAAATGAAAAAGGGCAAAAGCTATCCAATTATAATATATCCTTTTTTTATACAGTTATGCCTCTTTTATGTAAATGCAGGAATGAATAAAGAACAAATAAATATTGTCGGAATATTCTGAATTAAATTAAGTCCATTCAAACTATACTTGTGATTGATTATTTTTCAATTTCCCTCATATAATTAATTGCACTAGTATTATTATTTGAACTGATTTGAACTATCACAATGTTTTTAAATAATTTTTTTCCACATAATAATTCGTTTACTTGTTAAAGAAAAAACTGAATTCTTTTACTATAGTATATATATAAATTCTAATTTCATCAAAATTTTTAGTTGATAAAACAAGATTTAACATATATATTTTATTCTTTTTTAATTAAAAAAAGAAACATTTTCGTTTTGTGTCCCCATTTCGAAACGACGCACTCGCGAATCGAAACAAACAAGCCTGTTGATTTACATGAATTTATTTTCGCCGAGAGCCGGTCCAAGGCGAGGCGAGAAGAGGGGAACGGAGACTTCCGCGAACGCGAGTCACACGGAAGTGTCTTCGCAGAAAAGCAACCTTCGCGGCAACCACTTCACAAAGAGAAGAAGAAGAAGAAGTGTATAGTGGTCGACCTGATTTTTATGAAGGCATCGTTGTGTTGATTGACCCTTGAAGGTCTTTCGTGCGCTCCCAGATGTGAACGAAAACTTAAACCTGGCCGTGCCCATAATCGAAAAGATATTTTAATGTAATATATATACATTTATTCTCGTATTTGAAAGAGAAAATTGAAAACGTTTATGTTAAAGAAAAATTTATGGTTTTCATTCCACGGTCTTTTGCTTTGTTTTGATGGCCTGAGGCGAGGATTTTCACAGCGAGTGATTTACATGCCATTAGGACAGAGGCTTTTCATGTGACGCGAATCAAAATGGATCTCTATCAAAAAGTGTACGCGATTAACATGAGAAGAAAGAAAGATAGAATGAAATAACGCCCGAGATGCACGTGGCAAGGTTACTGCGTCTCTCGCTGGTTTCTATAGATAGAAAGGCTGCCGCAGATGCGTCTCAATAACAAGCAAACTCGACTTTTTTCCAAATGTGTTCAGCGAATTTCGAGTGACGTCAAAATAAGTGCTGAAAAGCACTTGGGCCGGTCAACGTGCTCGAGTTTGGCCGCAAAAAGGAACTATCAAACTCTGACCTGAATTGTGGATGGCGCCGATTTTGTTTAAAGAAAAGTTTCAATCGAAAATAGTTTGGTTTGTAGAATTTGAAATGATCCGTTTTCTCTCACTTCGGGTCTAATAAATTATATAACTCACTGGTCTAGAAAGTCGGAGAACAACAGGTTGAGGTTTCCGTATTTTCGCACCAAACCAATTTTCACTAAACTGCACTGAGCGCGGAGCACTGCACGAAATGTGGTCCCAACTGCGACGACGGCAGCTAAGGACTGGACCTGCTCGGGCCACACCACGGGGAAAACTAACTGACTGACGAGGAAGAAAATTGCGTCAAGTGGCCGCAGAGACGCATTTTCAGAGCAGCTGATTGCGCCGCCCTGTGCCCCCCTCCGCCGCCGCCGAAGCTAGAAAGGAAAATCGCGTCACGCTGACGTCACCATCTTCATCATCCTTGGTATAATTTTCAAAGACTCGGAGATTCGAGGAAATTTTTATTCGTCCACGCTCGACAATGAGTCACTACAGACCACATTAGACTTTAGAGTCTAACAGGACGATTTGGAAAACATATTTTTTCTAAAAGGCTGTTCATTCAGATTAGTTTTAATTTATTTTGGAGGAGTAGAAAGTGCTGAAAACCTCGGAAGGCCAGAGATGCTTTAGACCATCCACTAGCAAAAATAATTTACAAATAACAATTACTCGCAATATTTGTTTGAAGAAATTGACACTCGGGGAGTTGATCATGGAAACAAAGAGATCGGGCTTTCCCTCGTTGCGAAAAACGGCTCCACCAGTTTTGATCTCGGTTTGCGACCCTATTTCACGAGGAAGAAAAATAAATCTATTTATTCATTTCCAGTCAAAATATTCATAAAATAAACTGAAACATGAAGTTTTAAGTGGAAATTCATTCCTATCCTTTTAGGTTGTATTCAAAATTTTTTGATTTTACAACAGAAGAAAAGTTTCTTTACTGATTTTTTTTTTTAAATCGAATTATAAATAAATGAAACATTTCCACACAATTTTGGTCTGCTTATCGCTTTTCTTCTTATTATTCATCACTTTGATTCGTACCACTTTCTAGACGAGCAACGCAGCAAATGACATTCTTGAAGCTTTGAGGCCAACCGCTTAGGCTGGTGAAATTAATCGCGGCTCACCCACTTGCGGCGACAACCCGAAATATACTCGTCCGGCCAATTAACTTGCAAAACAAAGACCAACTTCTGCTCGCGGGCCACGTGATTTTGGTTCCGATTCGTACCGCCGCTTTGGCCGCGTGCCCACTTTATTTATTTTCTAGCGGCGCACAGTTTCCACCTCAATTTTAGCTCAGCTCGATTTAATCAATTTCGGATGAACAATTCAAATATCCTGACTTTAGAGTTTCATTAAATTAAATTTACACGATTTTCGGTAACTTCACCTTCGTGATAAGGTCAGCCTTGCCGGTACAGGAAGCTCTTTACTTGTTCGTGTAAAAGGAAATTTGTCTGCGTCAAGTTTACATGGATTGCGTCGAACGAAACGTGCAGCCGCTTTTTTAAGCACTGGGCCGGCGCCTCTGAATGGGGCGCAATTGTTGCCCAACTGACAAATATGCCAAGTGCAGCAGCAGGTGCCGCGCTCGCTTCCTTCAACATCCGTCGCGCACACGTGACTTTGGCCGCGAATTCGATCAAAAGACCTTGGGGGTCAAACGAGGTCAAGCGAAATTCCCAAAAGGATTGCACGCAATTTTACTTTCGTTTTTTATTATTATTCATCCTGTGTAAGAAATGAGGACTTTTGATAACTCATCAATCGCGAGATTTGCGCGCAATTGCGGACTGGCGGCGGCTGGTGCGCCGTAAATAAGCCACTTGATTAAATAGAATAACAGACAGACTCAGCGGCAAACACGCACTTTGGACTAATTTCAAGCGCGAGATGCAGCCGCGCGACCAACATTTAGAATAAATAGACGCCAGAATTGGAGCAGCGTGCGTTGCTCTTAGCCGAGGCGCAAATTATAGTTAGCAAAGTGAGCTCGGCGAAAAATAAAAAATAAAAATCGTCCACAGGCAGTCAGGTGACGGAAAAATCACCTGCACAAGAGAATGAGTCACATTCCAGAAGGTACTGGTTTTCAGACAAAAATTTGTTTGTTAAAAAGTGTGGTTTTTAAATTTGCAGACTTAGTTATTACTTTTCTTGCTCAAGAAATAGGTTTGCAGACCGTGACCAAAATGGTAGAACCGTTTTATATATGAATGGAAACGATTTTTACAAGAAAGAAAAAGCCCGATCTCTTCACTTCCATGATCATGTCCTCCAATGTCAATTTCTTCAAAGTAAAAATATTTCGTGGAAATGAAAGGATCAGGCTTTTCCTCGTTGCAAAAAATGTTTTTTATTTAAAACAAACGGCTTGTTTTTGAATAAAAACAAATTTTTTGCAACGAGGAAAAGCCCGATCTCTTCATTTCCATAATCATCTCCTCGAGTGTCAACTTCTTCAAATAAAAATATTTCTTTTCAATTTTTCTACAATTTTGTTACTGTAAGTATTATTTATTTTACTGAATAATTTGGATCTAGAATTACCAGTGTTATTAAATCAGAAATACACTTCCTTTACATTTGTTAATAATTACAATCCAATTTTTTAGTAGAATTTACGGTTCATTTATGGTGATTTGAGTTTTCTCAACGCGTTGTGTGCTTTGTTTTTTAAATTGTATATTTCGGCTGCGGGCTGCAGCCATAATTCATCAAGGAAAGTCCAACTATAAATTCATAGCACCATCAAAAAATCAAAATCTGAACAAAACCAATGAAAATATTCTCAATTAGGAATTTGCATTTCAACATTTAAAACGCACTTGTCATTACCAATAATCAATATGAAGTGGAAAATGGAAGTTTTCTTGGTGGAGCAGGTTGTTTTTAAACGCGAAACAGGATTTAAAGGGGCTGTTGGCATTGTGCAGCGGCAGCAGCCGGCCGAGAGAGCAGCTTTTTGTGGGCAGCCCAGCGTTTGAGATGCGCGGCGGAGGCAAGGTCATCTCTCGGCAGGTACAGTCGCGGCCAAAAGCAGCTGCTGCCCCTAATCAGCTCTTTCCCGCACGCATTTTAGAACGAAAGCGATTCGCGATTTCCAGAATTCCCGGCCAGACGAAGGAAAAAGGAAAGCAAGCGTCGGACGTGAACCGGCGGCCGAGGCGCAAATTGACACCGACCTTGGCAGCTGCGATTCCGTTCACAGCTGTTCCGCCATTTCCACATTTTCGTCGTGTTTCAGCAAGATTGTTTTCCACGTTTGGACACAGTCAAGAGTTTCAAGACCAGATTAAAATAAACAATAATTTTTATATTAAAATTGAAATAAATCATTTATTTAGATATGAAAAAGAGTATAAAAACAATTAAAATGATTTTTATAGATCCATTTATAATCGCGTGCAGGCCGATCATCACTTACTTCTTACTTATTCTCTGTAAATTTTATTACTAAGCAAACACGAACAAAGGCGGAAACTGAAAATTTTTCTCTCCTTTGAAAATGAAGCGGGTAATTTATTTTGTTTTTTTTTCTATCAAATTTGTTTTTTATTGCGGCCTGCAGCGGTCAGAAGCGTTTTATTTTTTGTGAGCGAGTCTCGGTCCGGCCTCGGTCGGGAGGAAAACGAAGAGAGTCCCTTCCGAAAGGTCAAGAACCTGACGTCTGTGATCCTTAAATGGTTCGCCCGCTCAACCGATCGACAGACGGAAAGTAAAAAAGTGCGAATAAGGACAGGAAGCAATCGGCGCAGTTTGCAATTTGCGTCGATTCATCCTTTCGCCGGGGAAAATTTTCCCTCCCGAGAGGTCGTTTACCCTCGACACACGCGTCGCGCGCACGCCGCGAAATAAATAAATTTTCCAACGACTTCCGCATAAAACAACAACAACAAGAAGGAAATTCATGTTGTGAACAAAGAAAGAGCTGGAAGTGGAGAAACTTGCAATAATATATGAACGCAGTTGTTTAGTTTTTTGGTTGAATTTGATTAATTAATTATTAGGACAAAAGTTACTGGATAAAATTATAATAAAAAACAACAAATTGTTTAAAAAAAACTTTGAATTTAAACTGTCAAATTGTGTGTTAAAATTTGTTTTGCGAATAAGTGAAACTTTTTAAATAATTTTTCACCGAAAATTGTTAAAGAAAAATAAAAAAAATAAAAAATAAATTTATTGTACTTATTCCTGTCGCAATGATTTCACAGCTCATGAATTATGGCTGCAGCCCTCAGCTGAAACATGTAGAGCACCCCATTGTTTTTTCCTTAACAATAAACAACTCACAAAATCCATCGAGGAAAAGCCGATTTTAAATTTAAATCACCATGAATCTACCCGTTAATCGTCAAAATCTACTAAAAAAAAATACTGTTGTCATGAACTGAGAATAATTAATCTTAATGAATTAAATGTGTGTGTGTTATTTAATTTTTTATATATATTTATAATGCATCCTACAAAATTTTATTCAGAAAATTAGATAATTATCATGAATAATTATAGCTTTTTAATTATTTAAAAAAAATAGCTCCATGATACAAAAATTTGATATTAAACAAGTCAAAATACATACAAAATTGAAAAAGGCGTTTCGCAAATTTATCCAATAATTTCATCATCATTTTCTTTTTGCGCACGCTGAAGTTGCTTTTCTCAAGATCAAACTGAGATTTCTTCTATTATTTTTTTTTTCGACGTGATGCGTCTGCAGATAACCAACTCTGCGTGCGTTCCCCATTTCAATGCTAATACCCAAGATGACTAATCTTTTAACAGCAAACAGGAAGTTTTCGCTTGTGGGGCTTTAGAAGTCGTACAGTGAAAACTCTTAATCCTCCAATAACCAGCAGCGGGCCCTACTTTCGATTCGGACCAGGCGATACAAATTTATCAAACGTTGGTTTTCATTATCAAACTATGAGGAAAACCTCAAATTTCCTCCCTTGGAAGAGATAAATTTTAAACCCTAATCGTGTTTTCACAGCACTTGAACTACGGGGAGGAAAAAAAGACAAAGATCAGTTTTTAGCAAATAGCTTAAGAAAAAAAACGAGAGGAATGAAAATGGTTCCAACGAGATTTACTGCTTCCTTATTGACTCACAATTAGATTTATTTCTTTCGGCTGTTTGTAATTTAGTTTAATAACACTATACTTTTTATCTTAGGAACTTAATTATATATCTTTTAAATTTATTTTCATTTTATCTAAAAAAAAATTACAAATAAAAATTTTCCTTTTCCTATTTAATTAAAGCAATATATATTTCAGGGTAAACGTTGATAGCCTCCATTTCAACTCTGTACAGTTCAAAGAAAATTATCTCAAAATAAGTTGGAACCACCCAATTAATTTTCATTATGTTTTCCTCCTAGTAACAATTTGTATGTATTTTTGGTTCGCACGTGGGGTGAAACAATCGACGCGTCTTTCTTTCTCCATTATTCCCTCTTCCAATTTTCCTTGTCCGCCCCGCGGAGTCACCGTCGAATGCACGCGACATGCGAATTTGAAAAGGGAACCTTGGGACGGCCTTCGCTGAAACATCCGCGATTAAAAAGTAGTAGTTTGTTTGCGAGAGAGACTGCGGCGATAACCGAGTCTGCAAACAATCCAACCGTGGCGCAACCAGACCGAAAGGAAGCCGCTTTTCGACGAATGATTAAAATTGTGCACTTTGCTCGGCCGCGTGCGTCGCAATTTTGGGAATTCCTGTCGTATGGGCCACCCTTAGCAACAAAGTCAACAGCTGATCCCTCCTTCCGCACGCAATTACTCGCAGGCTTATTTTTTCCAATTTTCACGGTCACTCAGGGCACCGACCTTTTGTTATCGCCGTCCGGAGGTCGTCGGCAGGTCGGTGCGATAGCCCACGGCCCAAATTTCGGAGCCAACTAGCGGAGAAATTGCAATTGCGTTTCTAATCCGTCTGCGATCTGATAATGATGGATGAGTCATTTGCGTCCGCTTAGTCTCCTTGGCGACGCATTCCTCGTTCCGAACCGCTAGGGCGAAAGGTTCGAAATCGAAATCCGTCTGGAGCGTCCAATTTGGGCGGTCAGGATCCGATATTTGGCTGAGAATCCGAGTTAAAATTTCTCAATAGACTTGATTGCACTCAAAAGTAAAATGGCGACCACTCGACCTCCCATTGTGTAAGGCGAAACTTCCTGTCGACGTTTCGTCACCATTTCGGGCCTACGAGCTCGGTTTTTCGACACTAAACGCTGCTTTTAACATTCACGAAACTTTTTAGAGCCGCGTGCTTACCTTTTCTGAACCGAAATCGGCTAAAAATCCTCTAAATTCGGAGCTGATGACAGGGCATTACCACACACCTCGGACATTAAACGAAACTGATCACGTGACGGCGTACTCGACGCTCATTGGCCGCTGGAATTTTACAGCTGTTTTCCATTTTGATTCGGGTGGGGTGTGCAGAAAGTAGTCGCATGTTACTATGGCCAATCTGCTGGTGCGCAGAACCGAAATCACTTAATTCGTCGATATTTCTGCGTAGATTTTCGCTAAATATGCTGGAGCATGATATTATCCGAAACGCGGATTAGAGAAAAGTTTGTATTTAAGCTGCGGATGGCCATGCGAGGTGCCTGGCAACGCTTGCACCTGCCCTACAAGGGCCGTACAATCCTTTGTGATTGTGCGTGGTATTTTAACTCCGCTTCAAACTCACCATCTGGGTGTAATTTGTAATTCGATGATCAATGCAAATTCAAGTTTTATTTTATTAATGCAATTTGAGAGAAACCCGCGTGAATTCGTAGCCATTTAAACATAAATAATTCAGTTTTGAGTAAGAATTATCCGAATTTTCTGTAAAATCCATCCATATTATTCCTCCACGTGCCTTCATAAAGTCGCTTTTTGGTCGCTTTCTCCGTCCCTTTGATAAAAACTACTTCTCATAGTGAAACTAGTCCCATCGTTGCCCACAGCCAATCTCGTATTCGCAGCTCGAATTGGCCATCTGGCGTTGACTATTGAAACTTGGTGAAGTTTTACGCCGTATGTTTTTTGTTTATTTTTGCATAATTGCCTGGTTCGTCACTGATCTGTCAGGATAAAGGAAAACTCATCTGCGCTAAATTAAACCTGCAATTTTGTTTCGACGTTTGAAATATGGAAGCAGGAATCAACGTTGAAGGTTTCATCATCTTCTTATTGTAAAGTTTCCAATTTAATTTGTGTTTTTCTGTACATATTTTTAGAAATTTTCAACGCCAAGACGAAAAATCTGGAAGACGATTCTGAATACGCAACAGCTGCAATTGAAACCTTAGAAGAAGTCCTTAAGAATAGCAGTAATTATAATTTTTTTACATAACTTTATTTAATGCTGATTAAATGTTTTTATTTCCATATCAGAACCAACAACTCTAAGGGAAGTTTTAGAAACGCTAAGGAAATCCATCAAGGAAATCTACTTTCCTGAAAACTCAACAGATTCTAAGGAAACAAGCAATGAAGACCGAGTGAATGTGAAAAAGTATGGACCCGACGATTTACCTCTCTCCGTCATATCGGCCTGCGAATTGTTCGGCCTCTACATCACACTTTCTAAAGGAGCTCTAGAAAATCCTGTAATTTTATGCCCGCAATATTGCATTTTCACCTTTCTGACGCAACATTTTTGATTTCATTAGGACATGGACAAGTGTCTGAAAATTATCCAAGAAAGGGCGCGCCACTTCCTTAAGTCATTGCAGGACGGGAGAGACAGGCTGCCAAAATTCTTCCTTCCAACTTTAAGAAATGGAGGGGTAATAATTATTAAATTAATTTATTCAATGGTCTATGGCACTGTATAATTCTTAGTTCAGCCCATCAATTTGAATGTCAAAAAGCATGAATTTTAAAAAAAAAATTGAACAATTTTTACCGTTTTTCTTTTTTGCTTAATGATTTAATTTTTGTATTTTATTCCAGAGGTACATGACCTATTCTCTGTCAAACACCGTGGTCAGAACTCTGACTCAGGCTGCAGAAAAGGGCCTTCATTTTACAGTTTATGTTGCAACAGGAGCGCCTCGCAATAAAGGGTCTGTTATTGGAAATATTTATTTGCTTCTTTGCAAATTTTGATTATTTTTTTCAACAGAGATCTGATGGCAACTCTACTGCGCAACGTTTCAAAGCAGCACGACTACGCAATTACTGTGCACGTCATTCCCGACGTGGCTGTGCCCATCGAGATGGAAAAGGTCAATGGCGTCATCGTCGGCGCAGAGAGTGTCACTGCCAACGGCGGTATCCTGAACCACACGGGCACTTTCAACCTGGCCCTTGCAGCTGCTCACTTCAAGAAACCGGTCTACGTCCTTGCCGAGAGCTACAAATTCATGCAAATGTTTCCCGTCAACCAAGCTGACGTTCCCAGAGAGCTGGAGGTGATTTTTTTAAATGAATCATATTGGTCTGATATTTATAAACCTTCAAATTCCAGCGATTTATTTCTCATCGAACGGGGAAGAATGTTGTGGTGAAGCCTTACACTTTGGATTACACGCCGCCCGAGTACATCTCGATGATTTACACGGACGCTGGCGCCTTTACGACTGCGGCGGTGAGCGAGAGACTTCTGGAGCTGTACACTTGAAAAGGTCTAATTTTGCTCTCTGCATTAAAAGTACTTTATTTCTCATATCAAACCTCAAACCTTTTTATTGGTTCTTTGCTTGAAAATGAGTAGAATTCAAACACTTTTCGATTTATCATTTTATTAAAATCTGTTTGATGATTCTTATTACAAAATTGTAAAGGAAGAACACAGAATTATTATAGTTAAGTACAAAGTTATATGATGGCAGTTTGCCTCGAGGCTTCGTGCAATTGATTTACAACTCTGAAGATTTCGTCAAACTTGGGTCGATTTTCCGACTCGTATGCCCAGCACTTAAGCATTATTTGGTACATTTCGGGCGGCGTTCCCTCTGGAGCGGGCATTCGATATCCTGATGTCACAAAATTTATTAAGGGCAACATCTTTAAAACTGAAATTACCTTCGTCGATTCTCTCTCTGGCTTGACTGTTGCTCATGCCGTTGTATGGGACTCCTCCCTTGGCAAAAATCTCCCAAGCTAAAACTCCATAGCTCCAAACATCACACAGAGTTGTATATTTGCCTAAAATTAATTATTTCACTTAAAAATCACTTCGGAATATAATCTTTACCATAATTTAAGGCTTCAGGTGCCGTCCACTTGATCGGAATTTGCTTCATTCCATCACTGACTATATATTCCTCCTCCTCTCTCGACATACCAAAATCAGAGATCTTAACAATATTTTCTAATCCTAGAATTTGAAATAGATCAATTAACTAAATTCTCAATCCAAGAAAATAATTCAAACCTATTAAGCAATTTCTGGCTGCTAAGTCTCTGTGAATGCAGTTCTTGGACTCAAGATACTTCATTCCTGAAGCTGCGTCTTTGCACATGGCCAGCAGCTGTCTGCAGCTTATTTTATTTGCATTATTTCTAAGATAAGTTAACAACGAGCCTCCTAAAAATTTTTTATTAAAAAACCGCCTGACTTTTCATTTCAAAAAACATACCAGGGACAAGTTCCATCACAATCATGATTGGTTGCTTCTGCACACAAATGCCGACCAGCTTAACAATATTGGGATGATCGTACTGTTTTAAAATTCGTCCTTCTTGCAAGAATTTGCGCCGGTGCTCGTCAGGCAAAGTCACTCGGCAGGTCTTCACAGCCACGTCCTGGCCTGATTTCCTCAGTTTTGCCTTGTAGACGTCACCAAAGTTGCCCTGAAACAAGTTTTGTTCATATTTATAAATTTTAATTTTTTTTTTTTCAATTTACTCTGCCAATTTTCTCGAGCAACATCACATCGTCATTGTTCAGCTCCCAAGTTTCTTTGGGAACAGGATTTTTTAGAATGACCTGAGACCTTGCTGTGACTGGGAGGCTAGACTGGAGCTGGTAAACAACCAACTCTGGCACAGAATTAAACGCAGGGCCTTCAAATCGCACCATTCCCTAATTAGAAAAATATATACTTTTTATCTTCAAACTTTAAATTAAGTTTACATCTGCTGAATTTTGGACGATGAAATGCTTATGGGAACTTCCCCAGGAGACGCTGAGCACAATTTGTCTCTCCTCGTTCCTCATGGTTTCCCTCACTAGAAAGTCTCCCTCTTTTTTCAACAGTCGAACCACCTCTTCCCTGGGCAAAACTCCATGGAACCACTCTTGCTCCCCTAGTCCTTTGGTACCAGGCACCCCCTGACAATTAGAATTTAATATTAAAAAATATTTTATGTAAAATTTAGAGACAAACAACACAAAACAGATTATTAGGAAAACAACGTACATCAATTTTGACAGCAGGCTTGTTATTAAACTCAAAAATGTGCTCATGCAATTTGTTGGTGGACGAGAACAGCACAGGCTTGCTGATGGTCATGTTGTTACGGAAAACCAAAGGTTCAGGGTTACTGGGCAAACTGCCTTCAGAGTCGTCGTCATCACTCGAGGCTTGCCCGTCACTCAGGTACTCAGACTCAAGCGAACTCCGTACTTGCAGTGGATCCGTCATTTCCACCAGAGAGCTGCCTCTGCTGCTTTCCTTCGGTGAGCCAGGCATCGAAATATTGGTCAGGGTCGTCTGCGATACCGAATGCGACTTTTTCCCCCCAGAGAAGGGCTTCTTGAACAATTTCTGGAACCTGTTTTGCCTAGTCTGCACCATTGACAAGGTGTCCGTCGCCATCGTCACCTGAAATTCCGATTAATAAATTAAAAGTCATCAATTGAAAAGTTAAAATATTACAGTGGAGCGGGATTCGGTCTGTACTAAGCTCAGGTCACAACCAGGGGGAATTTCTTCACAGCCGATTTCGTTCAGAGGATTTTTTATCATAGTCAACTGCAGCACTTTTTGCCTGTCGTCACATTTCAGCAGCTCAATTTCTTGCTTTGCCAAAGTCTCGGCTGAACTGTTTAATGGAGGCAGTCAAATTAGCAAAGACAAATTAAATTGTTTCCAAAATTGTAATAATAATATGGTTTCAAATTTAGAAACAAACCTATTTTCAACTCTAAAAGGATCCGATTGTCCATTCAATTGCTTGCTTCTGGCCAGCGTTTCCTCCTTGTCCTTGAGTTTCGACTGCAAATCCTTTTGCTCATTTTCCAGCTCTGCTATTTTTGCTTTAAGCCAGTCCAGAGTTAAGTTGTCAACAGCTATCACATTTGGCTGCAGCTTTCCTGACGAATCCTCCGTCAGCGATTCATCAAACACAAACTTTTGCTGAGATTTTGGATCCGTCCTACAACAATTATTTTTAATTTCAATCACAAATAAAATAATATAAAAAACTATTACTTGTGTTTCTCTGCAAACTTCTGGTATTCTTCTTTGGGTTTTATGTCCCTGACTCCAAAGCTCATGCGCGTGTAAATCTCCGCAAACTTCTCCGACGAAAGGTTTGTGTACTTGACGATTTCGGCCAAAATCCTTTTTCTGAAACATTTTATTGAAATAAAATATAAATTTATTTTTGGATCATAATTATAATTTAAAAGTTTAAATAAGCGTTTCACTGGAAGATGAGAGAGTGTGCCGAAAAGACAATGGAGCCCTTTTCTCCGCTTTTCTCATTCACACACACGCTATACTTCTCTCCATATACTTTCATTTTTATTTATGCCTCTCGCACAAATTGCTCATACACACTACTAATAATTGCAAAATGAGCAAGAAACTGACAGACAGGTAAAGGTACAATTGATTACAGGGTTGTGAGCGCCGTCTCCTGTTGGTTTTGCTGCAGCTCAAGTAGGCCGGGCAGAAGGCTGGTGCGGAAGTCCTTCTCGTAATTACTTGCTTCATTGAGTAGCAAGACGTACTCGTTGTGAATCAGGTGCAGCCGTCTGCATGCCCGTTGGTACTTGTCCATCACTTCGGCCAGTTTGGGTCCTGTGCGTCCAGCTGGCAAAACAAATAATGCATTACCGTTTTGCAATTTTTATAACAATTCAAATGGAACATTAACAATCAATAAACAAAATTCACGCTGAAATAAAATTTAAAATTTCATTCAATAAATAAAAATATTTTCCGCCTAAATAAGTTTCATAAAACCTTTTTATTGAGATTCTTACTTATGTTTATAAATTAAATCTTTAATTATTTTTTTAAATATATAAGAAAGTTTGGAATTTAATGCTCTGAAACATGAGTCATCTCAGAGCCTCTCCTCTGAAATTTCTTTGTTATAAACATGTAGGTATGAGTAATCCATACAATCGGAAATGCCATTTGCGGCGTTTTAATTTTATCGCTGAGAAAAATCAGGTTCTCTCTACACAAAGTCGTCGCTCATCAAGAAAACTGCAGCTTTTTTATTTTTATTATTTTTTTGGCTGCGCAAAGGAAAGCAGCGGACCGTATTCTTCTTTTTTCTTTCTTGCTGCGATATTGTCCGAGACTTCATTAGCAGCAAAACAACAAAACATTTACTCACAATTGACATATTGCTCCTCGAAACGGGACCGCGTTGTTTTGTACACCTCTAACTGTTTTTGATATTCGTTCCTCTTCCTCTGCACCGCCTCGGAGAGCTGCGAACAAAAAAAATTGCAAACGTCACTTTCTTTCGATTTTGTTAATTTCCTCTCTGCAAGCTAAGTGGAAAACGAGACGCCTCCGGTCTCATTTTTCCTGTGTTATGTGTCACGCGTGCACATTTAAAATCTTTATTTATTTTTTCTCACGGTCGCCTGTTGCAAAAAGTAACTCTCCTTGTTTATAAATCAATACCAATCAAGCGCGGTTGGCCACAAAAATTGAGTTTCACAATTAAATGGGCTGATTATATAGAAAGTATCTGTCCCGATCGATGATTTATAAAACCGATTTTGCGATCAAATCAAACTTCTAATTGTGATAATTGCGATTTCTCTCTGCTCAATTCAAAAAATTTGCAACAAGGATACGCCGGTGGCAATCCTCGCGCTCAACAAGGCGGATATTTCTATGAAAAGAGTGGGCAATAAAGCGATTCAGACTAGAAAAAAAAAATGAAACGCCGGGTGAGTCACTAAAAATTGAAGTGGCATAATATTGTTCCAAGTTCACTGCTCGGGAGAATATTAAAATATAATTGACTTACTTTAATTTCATGTAAAAATTTATTAGAGAATAATGGAAATAAAAGGGGTTAGTAAAAGAGAAGTGATATTTTCAATTTTTTTTTCTGTACAAAAAAAGAACATAATTAAAAAGAACAGTAAAATGACTTTTTCTCATTTTTACGTAATTTATTGCAATGAGGAATTGCAACGTGGTGACGACCATTAAGTCTATAAAAAAACTATAATTTCATAATTTTCCAATTTTTTTATTTTTAAAAATGTTTGTTTTCAATTCATGTTTATTTATTTATTGACTTGAGAAAAAAAAACACTTAGAGCAAATATTAAGAACTGATTATTGATCAATTTGCTATAAGGATGCTGATTAAGGATGGATAATTATATTTGAGAAACGAAAATGTGTGAATACATAATTTTGAAATTTTATGCGGACCATCAAGAGTTTCCCTTCTGGATAAGACTCATCTCGCCTGATTTTTTCTGTTCCCACAAGTTTTTTTTTTCGCGCCGAGGGGGGCTTTGGTTTCAACGAGCCGCCTGCACACAGTTGGTAAAAATGAGATGCTTTTGTCGAGGTTATAAATAATAATAGGCCACCTCGCACAAAATACGCGCTATTTCAAGTCCCTCTTAGATTTTCCTCAGAAAAAGGACTTAAAACAGGCCGCGCACCAAAGGAGAAACAAATTGCTCCAAATTACTACCTTTGTTTTCGTGATATTGGAATCAGCCAGATTGACGGGCGCGTGCATCTTTTATTCATGACGGAAACCGCGGTCGAGTCATATTATTTGTCAATAGGATTTTCTGCTCGATTGATTTCCTTGTTTTTTAAAAGAGCTCAGGCAATTTTCAAACAACAGCTACTAGCCATGTATTAGTTTTGGTGGAATCAGGCGCCTGCCTGATTGTTTCTCTTAATTAACTGCGGCCGATTTGTGTATTCTATAATCAAAACGGATGCTTTGCCAATTTCCAAATGATTTTATTTGAAAAGGATTTGGAATAAATCGTCCAATTACACTTTTTTGCAATGATTTCAATTTTAAAAATAATTTTGAACATTAATTTTACTTCTGGTATTATTTACTCTCCATTTATTGTAATTTCAAATTGCAAAGTACACTCGAAAATGCAAAAAAGGTAACTTTATACAATATTACAAATAAATTTTTTAATTGCTTGCGTGCAACTTTTTAACTTTAACGCGCTTCAAAGTTCATTGAGTTTGGCGAGGGGACTTTAGCATTGGTTAGGCATCCAATTTTCGCCTGCAGACTGAGCCGTGGGGCCTCAAAATAACCGCGGCCAAAACAGCTGCGACTTAAAAGCTGTTTTAAAAGAGTCCATCTCCGTCGTCAGCCTTTTTCGCCGCGTTAACGAACGCTGTTATTAAAACTTGGTGCAAATTCGCGCTGACTTAAGAGAGCAAACAGCACGACCGGCGCGATAATTTGCAAGCAAGAATTTTTTCGGCTTGATTGCACCGACGACGAGAGAAAGAGCGGAAATAAATAAATGAATTGGAGCAGCCGATTTTTAATTCAAAGCAAGGGGGTCCGATTTCACGCTTGAGCAGCATTTTAATTAGGGCGCGCCGAGAAATTCCTCTTTTCGCGGTCAACGTGGAAACTTATATTCCCACTGACCAACAAGGGGGACTGACAATTTGGAGCATTATTGGGCATTCACGCGCGCAAGAGAGAGAGAAAAGCAAGAAGCTGTGCAGAGACAGTGAGAAACTCGTTGACAAAGGCTTGGTAAATAAATTGTCCCCGTTTGCACACCGAAATTCCGTTCCTCCTAATTTATTTTTAAAGAAACTCGGTCTCTGTACTTCTCTTCTGGCTCTATAAAATTATAATTATTTTCTGGGAAATAATCATACAAACGTCCTTGTCAAAACCCATTCAAGCGTCTGATTGATTGGCGATTTCATCTTGCACCAATTAATATTTTTAGACGTCATTATTTATAATCTTCAAAATTATCTCCACTTAAAAGAACAATCAGAATTTATATTGGAGAGAAATAGTCTGATGAAAACGGATGTTATGGATCAAAAGCACCGCAATACATAATCGTGATCGCCAAAAAGATTTGCAATAAATCCATTATTATTTTTTTTAGCATTTATTTTGTATTAAAATTTTCAAATTGCTTTAGCGCTTACTGTGAAAATAGATTTACGCAAAAATTTAATTTGCTCTACAGAAATTTTCATGAATTAAAAAAACTTACATCGATTGATTTAAAATTATATTGTTATTAATAATATTGATCAAAATATTAAGATTTTGATTTAAAATAATTTTATTCTTATTTATTTTTAAAATTTGTGCAGAAAATTGCTGCGTTTGACAAAAAACCGGCACACATAACAGTACGGTTCACATTTTGGACAGACTCCAGTAACTTTATGTTGCAGGAATTCAAAACGAATGCGAAAAAAGGCGCTTAAAACCAATCAAGCGAACGACTTTTGAATGAATAATGAGCGTTTACGAGCAATTTATAAATGATAATTGGCGCCACACATAAACACACTGCTTGGCATTTTCAATCGTCGTTTGAAAACAAAGCTCTGTGATGTGGCAAATGATTCCGAGAACTAAATTGACATTTGGTTAGTTGGTCGCGAAACAATGGCGCCTTGGGTGTGATTAAAACGGAGAGGCGATTCGCAGAAGCGCGAGAATTGAGAAAGAAAGAAAAATGATGCGACGAGCAAAAGTTTGCATGCGGGCGAAGGGACCGCTATTTTGTCCAGTAAATAATGTCGGATTTGCATGTTCACTCCTGCTGACGCTTAATTCCAAGTCGGATGCGATGACTCGGCGCGAAAAGTGAGCACAAGCCTATTAGCGGCCTAATTTGGCCACAAGACATATATTTCATAGCAAAATTCACGTTAGACAAATATTTCTCTAACTGTTATTCAATAACAGCTGCACTCTCCAATCAAAATTCCGTAACTCAAGTCAGAAATTGTACAATATCCTAGTAAAGTTTTGAATTATTAAATTCAGATTGTTGGAGAAGAAAAGATTGTTGGAGAGGAAAAGATTGTTATCTTAAAGGCAAATAAATTAAACTTGGCACTTTCTGGGGAGGAGTCACAAGCATTTGGAAATATTTAAAATTATATCTCTTTTGTTTTCTCTGCGCCTCTATTATTCACGTTCACGTTTGTGATTATCAACTTTAGGCCGGTAGGTTATTGGGAAAAGCCAAAATTTATTATTTGTGACCTTTCCAAATCATCAGTCGCTGCGAGGCAAAAGAGCGAAAGCTTTCTCCTTTTATCAGGCTTTATCCTCTGCGTCCGAGACGATCATGTGCGTACACTCTTCTTTTCACTTCCACATACAAAACGAACGCACAACACAATTAATTTAAAACTTTCATCCGCGCGCGCATTCAATTTTCTGAGAGCGTGTAAAGCAAATGAACTGCACACACAAGATGGAAATTCTTCTCGGCGGCGCTTGGAAAAGAGAGTTTGATCAAGAGCCAACTGGACGTTGAAAAGATGTTGATGGTCTTTTTGCCGAGACGCCGCCACTTGATCTCTTTTCTAACCTCTTCGGATGCTACTATTAACTTAGGTCAAGTTGCAAATGGTTGAGAGAACATCCGAAAATAGATTATTTCATCTAATATTTATTTCCTTGACGTATAGAAACTCTTCGGAAAAAAAAAATGAAAAGTAAAAGCAGAGTAAAAGCTTCAAACTGAGAGGGAGACCCGCATTGCTCATAATTTCAGTTGTCCTAAAAGTTCAAAAACTCATTTGTCCTAAAAATTGTTTTCCTAAACTTTTTGTCCTAAAATTGTTTTTCATTTCTCCTAAATGCATTTGTCCTAAATCTTGTTGCCATTGCTTCCTGCTGAGAGAATTTCATCTAGATTTGAAGAAGTCACACTTTTTAGCAATGAAAAAGGTTCTTTATTAATTTAATCAAAAAAAGTCTAACTAACAACTTCCATGAGTCATTCCATAGTAGCATATTGTAAAAAAATATCAGCAAATTTATGCTGGACCAAAGTAAAAAAGTTTCAAAAAGATTTTTTTTTAATCGCAGACAATTTACACTGCAAATAATTTGTAATTTAATATATATGATCATTATATATTTTCAATTTGATATTATTGTTGAACATTCAAAGAATTTTATTATTTTTTTATTACTTATTTAATAATTGAAGTACAAATTTTACACGCCTTTGGTGCAAACATAGAATGTTCTTTCCGAATAAAGCGAAAATTATTATTGTTAGAAGTGTTATTCAAAAGACGATTTAAATGTCTAAAGGAAATAATAAAAGTATTTAAATTGCTGATGGCTCAATGATAAACTAATATGGTTACGAAAACAAAGTGCATATATTGTTTGTGTCTGTGACCACCACTCATTTACAACTTCCTGCAAATTGCAACACTCACCACCGGTGCATGATTCTTGTTCGCGGCAGACAATAGAGGAACTGACTGAGTGTCTCTTGGGGATTCAAATTGCAGTGGGAACGGACACTAGCAACTTGCGACACAAATTATAATGAGCAACAAAAACGCGGGTTGCGTGCAGCGACCTTCGGCAGATCCGCAACCAACAAAAAGCGCCAATGGCGCAGACCATAATATAAAAGCAGCAGAGCCTGCGGCCGTGATTTGAATATTCATATATAATAATTTTCCTCCGAATTCCTTTCTTTTTAATTCAAAGTGGATGAAACTTACGCTCGATAGTCGCTGGATGATTTTCAGGTGCTCCTCGTGGTAGGTTTTGCGCGCGTCCCTGCGCGACTCGTGCAGCCCCTTGAGGGCCTGCAGCGCCTTGTTTTCCAGGTTTTCGGCGCCCTCGCGCACCTCCCGCGCCAGGTCGGACAGACCCGTCGCAAAACCGCACCAGGCCTGCGAACAAAAAGGGATCATTTTTACTTCTTTTATCCTGTTACTTTCGATGATGTAGCAGTTTTGCGACAAAAATAATTTTCATTTCATCAATGGGTAAATTAGCATGTAATTAAATCGTATTCATTTTCAACAAATCAACTTTGCATTCTATAACTAGACTGATGGGGAAAATAGGACAATCAAATTTTTAACCTTTTATGAAAATATGATTAAGGACCGAATAAAATTGGCTCTCTAGAAAACGTAATTATTTATAAAAAATTACGTAATTCATATCTATGTGAGAAAATTAAAACCTTTTATTATATATATTTATTTTAAGAAATTCAAATGTCAAATACACAGAAACATGGCCTAGACAAAAATTTTTGAAGCATAAACAGATAAAAATAAAAATATACAATTTTGTTGGGCGAAAATAAAATCACCTACATCAGCTGAGAAAAATCGCCTAAATCGGCGCCTATTTCGCCCATAAAAGTCACCTATTTTACTCATCCTTGAACAATTTAACGTGATCTTGGGGTTGCTTGACCTTAAATTTCAAACTGTGTGCGCTCATTCTTTTCACGAGTGTTTTGATAAGGTACCTGAACTTAATTAAAAAATTATAATCTTAACACGAAGCATTGCATTTTTCTTATTTAACCCGATTTAGATAAGCTTATCAAACAAAGCGCAAAAGACGTCTTTAAAAATTTCGTTAAGAGGAAAATTTGCGAAAAAAAAATATAGCAAAGTCAAAAATTGTTTGATGGCTTCAACTTTCAACTCCTCCGCACTTGTAAACAGGTTAGAAAGCCCGTCCCATTATTTGCATGCAACTTGTGGAAGACGAAGAGAGGTACCTTTGCAAAAACCTGTTTGGCAAATCCTAAATGATCAAGGTCACTTATAATTCTGATCAGTTAGAAGTAGCGAAAAGTAGGCAAAAAAGTGTAGTGCGGTGGAAAGAAAAAAAAATAAAAGCCACTCTTCATCTTCGGGGACCTGATTAATTATAATCATGTCCGGCTCAATAAAGTGATATAAATTATGTAATTACAAGACTGAATCTAATTTCTCCGCAGCAAAGGTTAATTAATGTATTTGAGTTGACGGAGATTATCTTTGAGTTTTTATGCTGATGTAAATCGATGTATATGAATGTTGTTTCCGAAGAGAAGATGCTTTTGCAGTCGATTAGAAACGGTCAAGGCAGTAAAGCAGGTTTTCTCTTTAAAAGTCCGACATTGGGTAAAAATACAAATTGAAGTTAAGAATAAAAAATTTAATCTCTTTATGTTGGAAATATTGGACTTATTGTGATATTTAAGTAGATATTATTTCAATAAATAACTTGCCGAAAAAAATTGAATTTCCAAAACATAAAAAAAAACGCAAAAAAATAATTTCAATTATTAACTTTAGCAAACTATTAACTATTTTAGCTTGTTATAGTAAAATTAATTTAAATTTTAACTCATTCTTTGTTTTTATTTATGTGCTATAAATTCATTCTGTTTACGTAACCACACGGCAATGTCACTGTCAATGTTATTTACTTGTATAACAAAAAAATGGATGACAATTGAAATAAAACTTAAATTTACATCTAGATCTAGACGTGATAAAAAAGATAAAAAAATTTATAATTCAAGAAGATCAGAAATTGAGAAAACTAATCAATAAAAACTTATCTTACGTTAGTTGTAAATAAATGAGATCTAACAAAAAAATGAAGTTTCATCAAACATGGTAAAATACTTCTGACAAAACAAAGATAAAACATTTTTCTAAAAAAAGCTGATAAGAAGATAAAAATACTTTATTGAGGGAATCTCAACTTGTCCCCAACTCCATACTAGAATTTAACATTATTTGATCAAAATTAATTAATAAGTTGTCGCAAACAAATCAAAAGAACGCACATAATTAAAATAAAAATTACAAATTTTTAATAAATATTTGAATAAAAAAGATTAAATTTTCATTTAAAAATAATTATTACCTTGGCCAGGTTGCTGTCCTGCAGTTCGTCGTTCCAGTCCCTCTTGGTGGCCTGCGCGGCGACCCCCGCGACCCCCTGCGCGAAATCGCGGTCGCACTTGAGTTTGGAGGCGAGGCACCTGCGCATCGTGTCCAGCAACCGCAGCTCGGCGTCCTGCCTCTGCAGCAGCACTTCGTGGGCACCCTGGCCCTGCAGCGCCGTCGAGAACCCCATGTCTGTCTGCACACCCTGTCACACCATAATCTCCTCAGGTTCGACGGCGCCGTAGCTGCCCCTGCTCAATCGGCTCGCGATTGTCTTCTCTCGCCCGATCGTCTCAGCAACGAGACCAGTTTTTTTTGTACCTCGCGAGACCGAAACAACAACGACCGAGTGCAATTTGCCGAAGCAGGAAACTTGTTCTCCGGCTGTCCGTCTCCGCGACCGTCCGTAAGTCGACCACTCCTCCGCCTCCTCCCTCTCTCTCTGCTCAAGAGAGCAGCGTCACCTGCTTCTTTACGAGGCCGCGGCGGCACGTGTGTTGCTAGACGGACACGCAGAGAAAAGGAGGAGAAATCTCTCTTGCGCCTGCTTTTTCCACCAAGACTATACAGTAAGCGACATCTTCGGCTAAGCCTGAAACCCTTTCATTTCTCATAAAACCTAAATTATTTCTAAAATTAATTAAAATTCCTCCGTTAATTTAAATAATTTTAATTTTACATCAACACTCTTTATAAAAACAAAGTGTTAATTATTAAAAGAAAAAAACATAAGAAAGGGATAAATTTAATTATTTAGATTTAGATCAAGTGTATATTGCATTTAAAAATTTTATTATTTTTTATTGCTGATTTTTTTTAATTAACTTACAATTTTCGCAGAAAAACAGAGCAATATATTATCAAAATTATCATAGTTTCAGAAATTTCATATACTATGATTCCATATTTTAAGGTCAGACTAAACCAGAGTCTTGCTTGTTGGCCTGTGCCCTCAAATGGGGGCCCAAGTTATTTTAATATTATTTTTGATTATTTTATTTTTTATCATAAATCTTTTCTCAATTTCCTTTCCAAAATATCGAAATATGTTAATTTGGAAATTATTTATTTATTTAATATTAAAAAATCATCTGTTTCTGTAGCTCTTCAAAAAAATTATTGCAATTAATTTCAATTAATTTTAATCTTTTGCAACAATTCATGCAGAAATGGAAAAGTCGCATTGGGAGCTCTAGCAAAACAACTCGTACTAAAACTCGGGCCCAATTTGGAAGCAATTTATTTATCATTTTTTTTTTTTAGGCCAAGACTAATTGTAAGTCTTGTCGGCCTGTGCCCTTTATTAGTGGTGCAGAAGGCACCACCCGATTTTTTTTCAACTTAATCAAAAATCATCAGTCAAAAATTCCAAATTAAATTTTATCTAGTTGCCGAGCTAGAGTAATAAAAGGGAAAAATTCAAAAAAATTTATCAAAGAGTCACATATTATGTTGTTTGCATGAATTTCTAAACTGAGGAACTGTGCACAAATAGAAGGTTTTAATTTTTTTAAAAATGTTAGATTAAGTTTGCATAAAAATTTAATTGGCGCAAAACTTGAAATTATTGAAACAAAGGTTCAAAATTAGTTTTATTTTTTTCCATTCATACTCAATACATAAAATAAAAAAGAACCACTTTTAAAAAAATGCGAAAATTAAAATAATTATCACTTTAAAAAAATGCCAGGAAATAGGAATGCTTTGCTAATTGATTTCTACACCTTTGTCATGTGACTACGTAAAATCCTTCCATTTTTTTTTTAACTTTTACAGAGAAGTGGTTCCTGCGCTATTTCTTCTTTTTGCACAAACAAGTCACGCGCACTCCATAATAAAAATATATATAGATCCTCTTAGCAACTACTAGTTTGGCGCAAAACTTCCTACGCGTGGCAAACCCTATAAAATTAGCATAGAGCAATTTACTACTTTTTTTTTAGTTATTATGTAATCGCTCTGGCTTGCTGTTTACCAAAACTATAGGAGGCGAGGCAAGAAGTCGGGCGGGCGGGTCATGAGATCTAATTAATGTAGCATTCCGCATCCGCACCATGCGCCCGGCTGATAAGAAAAAAATTTTGCCCCAGCTGAACATGGACAGAGAGTGTAGCTATAAGCTCGTCAGTGTTGCTAACTCGGTCGGGCAGGAAACAACCCAGCAACTCCCTTTTTCGCGCAACAGGTTGATCTCTGATTTCCATTCAGAAGTACTTAATTTCTTCGAATTTTAATCGATTTTGTTTATATTTGGAGGCGCCAAAACTGCAGAAGCTTATTTACAATATTAGAGATGGTCATAGTGCAGGGGTTAATCCATTTTCAAGTAGGGTGTTCAAAGTCTGTACCAAATCATTACAAACGTTTAAATTGGTTTAGATATAACTTATTTAAATTGTGCGCTGGGTTCGCAATTTAATTTCTTATGAAAAGTTTCAGAAATTTAAAATTAAGTTTATTTCTTGGAACTCTTCAGGGCAAAATTTAAATAATAATAATAATTTGTTTAAAAAAAATTGACACTTGAGGAGATGATTATATGGAAACGAAGAGATATGGCTTTTCCACCTTTCCATGATATTAATTTATTAAATTTTTAAAGAGACTTTTTTATGTATTTTTCCTCTGATAGAAAGAAAATGCATTTTAGATTTAAATTCAATAATTAAAAATATATTCATAATTTTTTAATTTATTTTCAGAAAAAAATGACCACTTACGCATTTGTCGGACAAATTGTCCACTCCCTGGGGACGTTTGGCCAACTTGATGTGCACACCAACGCCGTCCTCATTGTCAGAGATGGCAAGGTGAGAACCCTGACTTGTTACATAACTAATATTCAATTTTAAAATGGGTTGCGCAGATCGTCTGCCTCGAACCGGAAGACAACCTTGCTGGGCTGATTGAGAGGCATCAGGTTTCGCAGGCAAACGTCGTGAAAATGACCAAAGGGTAATTTGAGAGCAGCCGCTTGGCTCAAGTTTCTAATTTTTTTCTGCTATATTTTGCAGCCAATTTTTGATGCCTGGCCTGATTGACACGCACGTTCACGCTCCGCAGTACCCAAACGTGGGACTCGGCTACGACAAAACCCTGCTGCAGTGGCTCGAAACCTACACCTTCCCCCTGGAAGCGAGTTACTCGAACGAGACGATGGCTCAAAAGGTCTATGAGGCCGTTGTGGTGAGAAATCACTTTTTATTTGAAGTAAAACTGGTTTTAATTATTTTGTTATAAAAAAAAAAAATAGAAAAGGACCCTGGGTGCAGGAACGACAACCGCGTGCTACTTCGCCACCATCCACAAGGGCAGCACCCTGATTCTGGCCAGGCAGTGCGTCCAGCAGGGTCAAAGGGCACTCATTGGTAAGGTCAACATGAACGCCAACAGTCCAGAAAACTACCGAGAGGTCACCCAGAACTCAACGAGGGACACCGAAGACTTCATCAAGGAGATCAGGGCGCTGCAGGTGAAGCAGATATTTGTGAAGAGCAATTTTAAGGTCAAGTCTTTCAGGTTTCTAGGGTGCAGCCCATCATCACGCCAAGGTTTGCCATCAGCTGTGATGCAGATTTGATGCTGAAGCTTGGCCAAATTGCTGAGAAATATGATGTGCACATTCAGGTTTAAATTGATTTTGGTAAAGAGAGAATAAAAGGAAAAAATTGTCATTTCAGACGCACATCTCTGAAAACTTGGGAGAAATTGCCTTCGTTAAGGAACTGTTTCCGGAAAGTAAAAACTACGCCGAGGTTTATCAGAAAGCAAAACTTCTTACAAATAAGGTGACAACCTCTAACTGATCGGATAATGTTGATAAGAACCTTTTAACAGACCATCTTGGCGCACGGAGTGCACCTGCTGGATGAGGAGTTGCAGCTTTTAGCTCAGACGGGCACTGCCGTGTCCCACTGTCCCAATTCAAACACCAGTCTGCAGAGTGGAATGTGCGACGTTAAGAGACTTTTGCATCACAACGTTAAAGTTGGTCTTGGAACTGGTAAAGATATTAATTAGATCAAATTTTTGAGTTGATTCTATAAAATTTTAGACATGTCTGGTGGATACGGACACTCCATCATGGATGCAATGCGACAGGCTCTATCGGTTTCCACCTGCATTTCCTTCAACAAGGCCGACTACAAGCCTCTGGACTTCCAACATGTTGTTCACTTGGCAACCCTTGGAGGCGCTCAAGGTTTAGAAATTTTTTCAATCTTAGAATAGAAAACTAAAACTGTAATTTCAGCTCTGGCATTGGATGAAGCCATTGGAAACTTTGTACCAGGAAAAGAGTTTGATGCCATTTTGGTCGACATGGATGCTGGTCCGTCAGAACTCATCAAGGAGTACTCGACACTCGAACTGATCCAGAAATTTGTCTATCTTGCTGACGACCGAAACATAAAGCAAGTGTACGTGTCGGGCGCCAAGGTTAAATGATTTTAAACTAGGATAAAAAAATCGCGACTTGCAGCGACTTGGTTGTTTTTAAGTATGTCTTGGAAATGGATTAATTAAATATGATTATTTTTAAAGCTGATATATAAGATTTTTTAATTAAATTAAAACCATTCACAACGCACTCCGGCGCACGGATTTAGAAAGCATCCCTGAATATCCCTCTCACATTCACTGATCCATCTTTGATCCTTGCTTCTCCAGTTCAGCTCTGAAACAAAATTATAAAGTTAATACAGCCATAATTATAATGCTTCATTCAAGTACTTTAATTGTTTGCTGAAATCATCTTCTACATTGTCATCGTCCCAGTTATCCTCCCAAACATTGACGTCCTGGTCATCCTCGTCCTTTCCTGTCCAGTCTGTAAAAAAATTTAGTTTTATCAATTTTATAGAAAAAACAAATACCCGATTCAAAGCGAGTTGAAAAGGGTAACAAAGTGTGAAAATAAAACATCGCAATGCGCCATGACAAAATAAGACGTGCCAAATTTGTGTAAGATAAATCATTTTTTCTGCCAAAGTAATTTAACGATAACACGAAATAATGATAAAAAATTTATTTCTTATGTCTTAAAGCTCACCTTCAGCAGGAAATTCTTCAAATTCGTCATCCTCTTCGAGAAGACCGAGATCAAACTTTTGTTTCTCTGCCATTTTTCCTCTTTTATCGCTAATCATTGTTGTTGTTGACTTGACGGCTGCAGAACGAAATCTCATTGGTCCTTGCTTCTGTTCGGTGCAATCATTGGTCGAGTTTAGGCGGAGTGTTTAAAATGTGTTTTCATTAATATTAGTAAGTTAGCGTAGTTTCATTTTGTCCTCACAACTCCTCACATTTAAAATTGTTTATATTGCAATGAAAATAATGCAAAAATCAATTTTTTGAAGTAAATGAAGTTTGATGGTATGACAAAAATTAAACTAAACCTGTCAAATTTTTTTGAAACTTTCAAATTACGCGCCACTGTCACATCACAGGTGGCAGCACTGTCTTGTTAGTAAATCGGCACGGTAAGTTTCTCATTCATGTGTATTTTTCTCTTGAATATCTCACAATATTTCGGTAATCACTGAATATATTCAATAATTCCTATTATAAAAATTTTCTCCAGTCATTACTCTTTGTAAATATGTGCAGAGTTTTGAAAATTTCCCCATATTTATTTGAAAACTGGCCGCCTTAGTCAGATGCCTCACGCGCCACACTCGTGGTTTACGTGTCTTGCCGTGTTTTGATTGAAATTTGAATCGCATCTAAATTTTGCCGATCTTGCCCTTTAGATGGTTGAGAAGGGTGCCAAAACGGTGCCAGCGGCCAAGTCGGCCGCGGGCAAGTCCCCCGAGAAGAAGAAGCGCGACAACAGGCCTCGCAACTACACCCTCGGCAATGGCATCTACCGCTTCAGCCGAACCAGAATGTACCACAAGAAGGCTTTGTGGAAGTTTGTTGGTAAGAAAACCGCCAAACCTGAGAAGGTGAAGAGAGCGACGCATGTCGAGAAGCCCATCAAGGGTGACAACAACGGTGGAAAGCGTTTAGTGCTGCTGAAGAAGCGCAAGGCGTACTACCCAACCACCGATGGGATCAAAAAGAAGCCGGCTAAGAAGCTGTTTAAGGATCACGTCCGCAACATCAGACCAACCCTGCAGCCCGGTACTGTTCTCATCCTCTTGGCTGGTGTCCACCGAGGAAAGAGAGTTGTCCTCCTCAAAACCCTTAAAACGGGTCTCTTGCTGGTGACAGGTTTGTTTGTTTGCGTGTATATACACTTTTTATTTAAAAACAACAAATTTATCTCCAATTTATGGTTATGCTCTTGGCCTGATGGTTAAGTGTTTGCCTAGCAGTTGAGAGGTACCTGGTTCAAACCCAGGTCGATCTCAAAAAGTTGTCTATGATTATTTTCTTTACCGCCCCAGTCTGAATTGACTATGTAGATTGGTATCTTAATGAGGACAACTGAAACTCTTTTGACAAATTTTTCAATTGTTTCTGTCAACTTAAGATTAAAAATTTGTAATTAAATTTCAGGACCTTTCAAAGTGAACGCTTGTCCACTTCGTCGAGTTCACCAGAGGTATGTCATTGCCACCAGTCTGAGGCTTGATATTTCAAAAGTGAAAATTCCCCTTCGTGTCAACGATGCCTACTTCAAGAGGCAGAGGAAGACGCAGCCCAAGAAGGAGGAAGGAGAGATTTTTGATGTCAAGAAAGAGGTAATTTAAAATTATTCAACAAAAACTGCAAATTCAGAATACAACTCGTTATAAATCATTTCAATTTAATAATTTGATTAATTTAAAAAAACCGCCTTTATGTGTTGCCGTTGATTTGTACATACATTGAATTAACGGTGTCAAAACTGGCGTAAATTGAATGTCCTACTCAAGTTGCTGATGCCTTGTAACTGGCGGAATGTGATCTTGAGTTTGACGACACTTCATATTTATTTAGTGCAAATTAATCTAATCTGTAAACTTTTTGTTGTAGACTTACAAGGCATCGGACATTCGCAAGGAAGATCAAGCTGTGGTGGACAAACAAATTCTGGACATCATCCGCAAGAACCCCGAGAAGAAGAGCATATTTGGGTACCTGGGATCAATGTTCGGCTTGAGATCAGGACAGCTCCCACACAAAATGAAGTTCTAATTTCCCCATTAAATTTAAACACTGACTTTGTCAAACATCGACTTTCAATCAATAGAACCCTTTAATTCTTTAATTGGTATTGCTGCAACAACGTTAGTTATTGTAAAATTTATTGGTATTAATTTTAGATAATATTACTTACAGATATTTGCTAAAGAGTGGTAAAAAAAAAAGAAGGTTCCATCTGCCATTGTTTATCCTAAATAAAAATTTGAGATATTTTATGGCTTTCATAATGGCCAATTTATAATAGAGTTGAAATAATTTTTTTTAGAAATAAAATTATTCACATTTAATTTTGTGGTATTTTCAAAATGCCATGCCTCAACAGTCAAAGCGTTACCGAAAGTTAGACCCATCAGTAGCTATAGCTGGTAATTTCCGCGCTGCTACTTGAGGTATGTAATTTTATCATGCTGCCAAAGCTTCAAAATTCGTTACATTCTGTTATGTTGGTAGCTCTTCATCAAACATAAACAATTTCCCAGGCGACGCCCATGCCCAACCCAAAAATTGATGTCAGTTAATTTTCGTTAAATTATTTGAGAAAAATTCATATTGGTGAGTTCAAATATGTGATCATTAACCCTATATTTCGTATGCATCATTATTAAATCAAAAAGTCTGACACAATCCGGTGAAACTGAAGCCAAAAGTTGATTATTAAATCGGAACTTTCTTACGGGTGTTTCTGTAAACAGGTGCCTTTTGCTGCCTTTGAATGCATTGGAATGTTCTGTTTGTATCCATAATGAAAACCAAATGAAAACATGCAAACCAGATATACATATCAATAGATTTTTATAATTCAAAAGAAAAATAAATGCAGTGCTTATGTTTTCTAAAAGTAGCTTGAAATTTTAATCATTTTCATGTTATTTTCAGAAAATGCCCATTCTACGCACCTGTTGGTCTCCATTCATTTGGAATAATGACGTGAAAACTGGAAGCTATGCTGTTGCTTTTTACACTATGGTTAGTATAATTATAAATAGATTTTGCAATATAATTACTTACATATTTTTTTTAGTGCAATACAATGCAATTAGTATTGAATTTAGTACATAAATTATTTAATCAAGTATTATTTTATCAATAATTAACTAAAATAATTTTTTTAAGAAAATTTTTATTCATGCAAATTAATCCTTCCAGGCTACCAGTCTAATCATCATCACTTGGACAGCTTTTGAGATGAGTGGTGGAGACTCCAGCCACTTCTATATGCCTTTATTTGAAACGGATGTCAGAGACAGTAAATATGATAGCAATACTAATATTAAATATTAATTCTAAAAAAATCCTTTAGCCATGCAACTCTTTGGAGGGCTGGAGATTGTCCTCTTTTTGCTGATGATCGCGTTCAGCGGACTTATGATCAAGGGCATTAAAATAAGCAACAGAGGCTTCATCCTGCCCTGGCTGTGGGGAATGGCATTTTTGATATTTCTGCAAATTTTGTTTGGAATTTGGCTACTCTACGGATACTATATTTATGTGAGTGTTAAAAAATATATCGTTTTTCATATTTTTAATTTATTTTAATAATTAGTTGCAATCTGTGATGGCGTGCCTGGTTCTCTGGATTTGGATGGGGTACAATGTGAGAGTCTCGTTAAAATATTTTTTAGTCAACCTAACAAACAAAAAATTTCAGATTTACTGCTGGCTATGCGTCTACTCATTCTACGACATCTTGCGAGAGATGCAAGCTCCCAATATTGTACTTTTGTACTAAGTATTCCGAACTGAACCTGAAAGTATTATCCACATTCCTTGTAACTGATCTTATCTTGAAGGAATGTACAGGTAAATCAAGTAATGACTGTAAAAACCAACACAAAGAGTTAGCGCAATCTATGCAGTATGCACTCCTGCAATGATCCGTCCTCAAGGAGATTATTTCAACACTCCTATATCGAGATAATAAACATTTCTTATGATGATTAAAATGATTCCGTCCGTAAACTTCTCCATTCAAATTATATTGTTGCTATTCAATAATGTGGAATATCTACAAGCATGAATAATAATAATTGTTAATTCTTAGTAATACAAAAATATTTTCAGAATATTTTGACAGTTGTGTTCTTTTTTAGCTGAAAATTGAAAGCTTACTCTATCATATTATGTACCCTTTTTTAGTTTTAATTTCTTTTGAAATAAAATAATAATAATAAATCAACTTATTTCATTTGATAAAAAAAAAACCGGAGTACACATCATATCTCTCTTTTTGATTAACAAATCATGCTTCACATTTTAACGGTGGATATCTGGGCAATACCATTTTTAATAATATAGGGGTCGGAGCGACTTGTCATTCAAGAGGAGGGCGTGGTCGGTAGTCTGGGTAAACAAATCTGCCACACTTGAAACTGTTGGCCCTCTACAAGTCTACAAAAATTGCATGAAAGGGCCAAAGTGCACGAGGCGTAAGTAAATTTCCCTTACAAGAAAATAATAATCGTGCCACTCTTTTGCATTTTCGTTGCAGCCGTCAGAGCTTTAAAAGCTAAAATGCTGTGAACTCGCAAGGTTGCTAGGGTGCGTGCCTACTGAACATGGTGCGTGTGATTTCGGTGCACCATTTCGTGAGCCAGGAGATCCAGCCTGTGGATGAGCCTTTGGCCGTGGCCTCGGCGACTCCTGACAAGCTGCTCATAGCCCTGCCCATCCATGCCGTGGAGGTACGAGACCTGCGGAGGGGTGCCCTTCCAACACACTGCTTTCCGACGGTGGACGAAGTTCGCTTTCTCACGCACTGCATACAAGGTATAAACACTCAGGAACTCTTTTAAACATTATTTCTACTAATCGATTATATTGCTTTCATTTGTATAGGGAATTTTGTGGCCACCTTAGAAAGCAAGAAAAGCCGACAGGGCAACGAAGCGATCCACGCAAGGATTTACGTCAATTGGGATGTGCCAAGCAAATTGGAAGGAATGAGAGCCCGTATTGCTGGACGAGTTACACCAAGCAGCAGTCAGTCTGGCGTGGCCAGTTTGGAAATGATTGAATTACCCGTCAAAAGGACTCCGAACAATCTGGCCTGTTGCCAAGTAAACTTTGTTAATACTATTTTGAGAATTCTCTTTCACGACCACTTGTTTTCAGGTGACAGGAAATGTGATCATCAGCTGTCACATGACACTCACTGTGTTTAAATTCAACATCGAGACCCATGACATTTCCAAGCTTAAGTTTATTGACTTCATAGAACACTTTAGTTTGGATTTAAATTTTTGCCCCAACCTAATATGTCTGAACGAGGATGTGATATCCTGCAGCTCCAAGGAGAACTTGCTAGTGATCAGAGTAGTGATTTCGGACCCAGCCAGAACTGATGAAAAGAAAACTAAGTCTAGAGGAAAAAGTTCTGAAAATATTTCTAAGAAGCCGGAAGTTAAAAGAGAAAGATCACCAGGTGCATATAATTTTTATAATTAAATTTCCTGAAAAAAAAAATTGATTTAATTTCCAACTTTAACTGGTTTTTTCATAATTAAAAACAATCCAGTACGACTCTCCGAGCTACTTGCTGAAGCGCCTTCACTGAAAGAAAAACTGCATCCTGACTCATTCCCTGTGTTAGTGCAGCTACCTTCAATTTCTGAGGGGAACAAGAATCTTTCAGCCAATCAGCTAATTAACTTAACTAACAAAGGTGGACCATTTCGAGATGCCACATCAGATCTGAACGCCAAAATCTCATTCATCTCAAGTATTGGAAATTAACTATTTTACGTGTGGACCTAAAATTTATTTATTTTTATTATAGATAAAGATCTGAACGCCCAAATTGTTAAAATCATGAGTTTGCAACTGCACACATGCAACCAGGCCATGAAAGACGAATTCAAGTGTTTGCAAGTTTTACCAATGTATACTGATCCCGATAAAAAGAACAAAGGTTGGAGATTCCCATTAAATATTTTTATGATCGTTGAAAATTTTGCTGTACAGAAATTTCTCACCATTCCTCGTTTTGCTCGAACTATGCGAGTGAGTTGGTCAGTCTGGGCATTGCAGTCACGACCCAGCAGGAGGGATACATTTACCACGTTAACTACAGAGCTCTTATTTCTGGCTCACAAGAGGATATCATTTCCGGCCCAACTATTTACTCTTTCACAGCTCCCATCTCATGCCTTGCACTAGAGAGGTCCATTCTTCACGCTTTAACCGACACCGGACTCGAATCTTACACTGGAAGAGCCGGCCATTATTTTTTGAGGACCTTAGGCTTGGACAACCCAGATGAATTTAGTGCAGTAATTAATACAAAAAAATCTCCCTCCCCAAACTTGATGCAAACATTAAAAATTTCAGAGCTACCCGTCAATGGACGACCCTGTTTGCTTAGTTGGCTTGCGCCCTTTCTTCAGCGTCGAACACATTTTACTCACAGAGAATTACCTCTGCTTGCTTGCCTGCTCTGATCCATCAAGCACATCTAGTCAAGAGTAAACTTGCAAGTTAAATTTTCAATCGTCATATAATTTAATTTTATTGTTTGCAGCTCTCAGAGTGGTTCGAATTGGACCCTCTACTCATTAAAGTTGCCCAGTTGTGCAGATCTTTACCAAGACATGGTCCAATTAGCAAACATTCATAAAGGCAGCGCCCCCACCACTTATCTCCACCTGTTGTCGGAGGCCCACGCTGTTCTCGGCACGGCCAGGCAGTGCATGAATTGGAGGCTAGACCACGTTTCCCAAGGAAATGTTGTGGTTGCGGTGCCAGGATGGGAGGCCAGTCCTGAGGCCAATCGAAGGCTTGAGCGCTGCTACCAAGAGTCATGCGCACTTCTTGGTGACTATTATATCAAGTAAAAAAACTTTTTCTTTTTTGCAAAGACCAAGTAATATTCATGATATTTTATATCATTCTAGTGGTGACGACGAAAGTCACTGGAAATTGGCAAAACCCTTCTATGACATGAGTGGTATGAAAGCTGAGCACGTATTGGACAGGTTTATCAGAATGGAGGACACTTTAGGAGAAATTCCAATGTTTGACGAAGAGCCCAAGGAACGCAGTTACAAGGGGTTGATGTTCTATCTGAAAGGCGAACTGCCTAGAAACAAAAAGTCTGCTGAAGAAGAGTCCATAAATGTTGAATTTGCATCTCACTTGTTGGAATTGTTTGAGAAACATGACCCTGCGTCCATTTCCGCCCTAATCCTGAGCTCGGTCACCTTACGTCAGCACTGTATTGACAGGGTGCTGCAGGTCATGAAGAAGCGCCTCCTGGTGAAAGGTGCCAGCAGCAGTTTGTCCTCCCAAGAGAGCCTGAACACTTGCACCGGTGGAGACCCTTTTGACGCTCTGGCTCTGGTGCTACTGTGCCTTCAGAAAGGGTCTGTCGACCAGGCCAGGACGGTTCTTTCATCGTTAGTTGACCCTATGGAGTTAGTCAAGGCCTTGCAAGAATATCACGGTTTGCTCTTCACCGCCGTTGAAGTTAAGCAGAAGGAAGTGGCGTTGGCCTTCACTGAACTGGCCTTACTGATTGCCGAGATTTTGCCGGAGTCCTTGGCGTCGGTACTTACAAACTTGACCCTGAACCCAAGTTTGGCCCATCAACTCCCTTGCGTGCCGACCTTGATTGGACTGACGAGAGCCTTTTTGATGACACCCTGTGGATTTTCCTCGCCAGGTGCCCCGTCCTCGAACGCAACGAAAGTCCTGAGGGATTATTTGGAGTCTTTTCTATCAAAGCTCCCTAATAATTATTCTTTGGTAAGATGATGAAATATTTAAGCTTAAAGTTCCTTCAATTTCCACAAAAACTTCCTTAGGCTGAAGTAGCTGAGGGCACTTGTATATTGACAAGGTCATATCTAGCCTGCCTGGTGGACAAGAACTTTTTCAAATCATTTGACCCCACCGCTGATTATGAAGAGCCCTTCGGGAAAAGATACAATTATCTCTCTTCACTTCCTCCGTTCCATGTGGACAAGTCTTGGTATGCTTCTCAGAAGGTGCCTGTCCCTCTAGAACTAGAAGAAAAACGGCTTGCATATGAAATGCTCATCAAGCTACAGGTACAAACTCTAATTACAAAAAATAACTGTAAAAAACCCTAATTCTCTCAATTTTCAGTCCCTGCTTTGTTCGCCCAAACTGGGTCAGCATAGCTGCTTTGAAGTTCTCCAGTTTTTGCAATCACACCCCCATGTGTCTGGGGCGTTAGCCCTAAAAACTATTTGTGTATCCCCGAAAGAAACAATCAATTTGCTGGTAGAGCACAATCCAAATTGCCTTCTAGCTTTTGCAAAGGTATACCATTTATTGCGCTCAAAATTTTTCTAGCAATTTGATATTACTTTTTATTTTAAAGGAAAAGTTTACGAATGAAAATGAATGGAAGTATTTTATCGGGTCTCTGCACAAGAAAACGGAACAACTGCACAATGACTCACCCGTCCAATTCCTGTACTCAAAAATATTCACAGGTTAGTAAAAGAAAGATATTTTTTAGAACAGTGTTATAAAAAAGTCCCTGCACATTTAGATACCCTGAATCACTTGGTGCACATCCTTTCGTTGGAAGAATTCGTTCGGATTTTGCCTGGTGGAGAGATGGCATGCGAGAGCCCCGTTTTCAAGCCATATGTCAAAGCTTGTGAGAATGTGCAAAGTGCAAACTACCTGAGGTCCCTGATTATGGAAACAGGCGAGGCACTTCTCAACACCCTCGATTTCAACTAGTCGCATTATTCGCAATCATCCTTTAATTCTCATTATTGTTAATTGTTACCTTCTTGAGCACAGTTATTTAATGTTTCATTATATATCAATCACTCTGTTTAGAGATAAACAGTAGAGTGCTTGTGCAGTTTTTGAAATGTTTGTAACTAAATTATTTAATTCAACTGGTTGAAACGTTGGTAATAATTATGTTGAAGCTTAAAGCATTAAAGGCTGTGTTTTATTATTTAAATACCAATAATTTTTGCTGGCCTTTTGAATTTTTTTTTAAAATTAAGAATTAATAACTTTCTCTTCTTGGCAGCAGGAGACTGGCTGGAGAAACAAGAGACAGTGCTAAGTAAAAAAATTGAAATATTTCACATTTTTTATTTAAATTTTACTTTAAAAATATATTGACATGTGTAAAGGAAAAGCGCGTGAAATGAAATGAGTAAAATAATATAATCAATCCAGATCCTTGAATAGAATACAAAACAGAATAATTATGTAGAGAGGAGAGAAATCAGATAACTCGGATGCCTTTCCCATTATCCAAATCAACAGATCCAAATCAAGACGATGTGAGGAGAGGTGGGCGTGGCTTTACCTGTTTTGACAGGAGATAAACAACAAAACGCGTCTCGTCTTCATGCTCATTTTTAATATCCAAAATTACAACCTGGAGACGTCGGAATCTCGTCTTGTTCTTGTCACTTGTGAAAAATGAAAATCTTAATGCTTAAACAGCGAAAGGGAATTGCGTTTTACTACTCGTGAAATGGAATCGGGAGACGGCGAGGAGCCGATGATTCTGGACGATGAAGACGTCGTTCACGAGCCCATACCTGTGCGGAAAATTCCATCGCAGAATGTGGTGCTGCGGTTGCTTCATCGAGAGGTCCACGGACGAAGCATTCAGTCCCGCAGGTGCCCTCAAAATCAGACGCGCGAATTCTACCAAAGCGTATTTCCAAACCTGACCCTGATCAACGTCGACACACCGCCTGTGTTCCTGCGAAAATTCAATCCCAACGGCAGTCACCTTCTGGCATTCTCCTCTGACCAGACCAGCATCGAAATTTACAAATACCTGGGCCCCAGCGCTGGTGGAACGTCCCTTCAAAGGTATCAGAAAAAATGACCTATGATATATGATATTATTATAAAATGTTTTATATTAAGAAGATTTTGCCTGTTATGAAATTAACTAATTTAAACCGTTTACAGCTATGACGGCGACTGCGTGGACTTTGCAGAATTCAACCGCAACCAGAACCGAGTGAATATCTTTGAGCTCTACTTCAAGCGGAAGTGGATGGTAAATTTGGCCCAAAGCGGAGAGCAGCTTAACCGAGAGTGCAGTTTGTTCACCGATGACTCAAAATACGTGATCGTTAGTTCCTCCATGTTCGTCGATGGCAACAACGGTGACCAGAGCAACTTCTTCGACATCTACTCAAACAACGAGGCGGTGACGCCGAACAGCAGCTTCCGGCTTGAGGACTACACCATTTACCTGGTGGACATTTACAACGGCCGCTTATGTGATACAATCAACTTGAAGACTGACAAAATTTGCTTATCCCACAACCAAGGCATCTACCTTTTAAATGACACCCTGGCCGTCCTCTCCATACAGCATCAGACAATCCACATCTTTAAACTTGTCGATGGCAAATTCCAGCAGATGCAAAAAATAGGCCGCTTTTGCTTTCCCGGGGACGAGGAGCAATTGGCCGACGTCCTGCCTGTGTCCGTGCCCTCGTACAGGGAAGCCACCATAAATGCTCTGAAGCATCGACTGCTGACCTTTTTGTACTTTCGAGCCATCAACGTTTCTCGGCAGACGGGAACTCCGTACGAGCTGCGGATGTTCTACCAGTACTTCGACCACATCAGGACTCTCAAACTGTGGAAGATGCAGCTGCTGGACGAAGACCATCTGCTGCTCAAGTACGCTGTGGAGAATGTGGTGACCCTGAAAACGCCTGAACCAAACAGTGCCACCTCGTTCTTTGTGGTTTACAACATTCCAGAGGCCACGGTCCTGGCTGTTTTTGAAAATAGCGCCGAGGAAATGCTAACTCTGTTGGAAAATTTCTGTGACTATTTTAGGAATACGAAGCTGCACAAACAGTTTGCCTGTTCTCCATCGAATAATATTCATGCCAGGTGACCAAACTACCGTAAAATTATATTTTCCATAATTTTTCTTTATAATAATAATATTTTTTGTCATTTATCCTCAATTGGAACAAGACATAAGAATTAGGGCAGGTCAAAAGGGATAACAAATAAAAAATTAAAATTTGTGTACATAGACTTTTTCAGATTTGATAGAGGCATTGGAAATGATCCTATTTATTTTATCATTAAAAATATTTAATGAATAATTTTTTAACTCTTAATTTCCTTTTATTTAATTTACTGAGTTTTTATTATTTGTGTTAAAGGTTTATTATTAATTTTAACAAGTTATATTTTATGTTTCCAATTTCTAGACACCTAATGCAGCGATTAAAGCAAACAATCGTGAGTGCAAGATTTGGTGGGCCCACTGAAGCAATCAAGCGGCTACTCTGTCAGCTTCCGATCAGCGCCCAGTCATTTACAAGTTCTCCGTATCTGGATTTCTCTCTCTTCAGCTATGATGAGAAGCGTGTTTCAATGATTGAGCGTCCCAAGTGTTGTGGAGAGTATGCTATCAGGTAATATAATAAATAAATAAATGTTTCGCTACCATTTTACATTTTATATCTTAATTTAATGTTTAGATTTTACGGGAGAAATTCTGGGCTGCTCAAGTTTCGAATGCATGCTGGAATCATGAACTCCAATATGGGAGCGCCTCGTGTGTCAAGGAGACTGGTTGCCTACATTTTCCACCCTACTGATCCCTTTGCAATCAGCGTACAACGAGCTAACAATGCTGAATATATCGTCAGTCTGCACGTCAGGCACAGTAGCCAAGTTTGAATTGGATCTCCAGTGCCATCAGCATAATTGTTAATTACCTTTTTAAAGATTTAATTATTTTTCCACGAGTGCAAAGAACTCGGATGTAATATTTTAGACTCATATTGAGCCATTCAATAAGAAATCATAAGAAAAGAAGTTAACTCAATCCTTGAATTTTTCTTACATATGTGAAGTTATTGTTCAATGAATAAATGCTCTTAGGTGAATATAAAATTTATAAATTTATCACATTATTTTTCGGTTTTTTCTTGACAAGACCTTAAGGACTCCGTATTTTCATAGTCAAATCAAGTCTTTACAACCATGGTTAGTTAAATTTCAAATTATTATTGCCCAAAGTGGCTTCTATTGTTGTAAAGACTTGATATGACTATGTCAAAGGAGTAAAAATAATTTGTGCAAAGCCCAAATTAACTGTGGGATCTAAAACACAATAAAAGTCGTCATTATTTTTTTTTATTAGTTAAATTAATTTTTGTTTATTTGTACAATAAAAAAAAATAATAATATTATTAAAATATGAAAAATAGAGTCGATTGTAGAGAAGGAACATTGAATTTGTTGGAGGAAACGACATAAAGGCAGCAAGAATTTTTTTAAAACCTTCAAGACAAAAAAAATACCCCATCTACCGCAACCGCAGTGAGCCTCAATTATTTTATTATTAAGCATTTTTTTTTTTGCAGTATTAATACATTTTCTCCCGCTAAATTATTTTGAATGCAGCTGACGTCACGAATCTTCCTTGGCACTTTCCCAACAGCCTGGCAAAACCTCCTTGAAAGTTCACAACACAAAAATCCGAGATGGCGGAGTCACTTATAGGCGCAGTAATACCGACTCCAGAAACAAAGTTTTTCTGTCATAAATGCACCGTAGAAATTCCCAGAGTGCTGCCGGTAAGCATCAGTATTGTGTGATTTATCCGAATTTCATCTAAACGGGCTTGGCACGGCGTGAATGAGAAAAATTCGAGCAATCCTAAAGCGAGGGCATGAACGTTGCGATCCTTCACCCACCACTCAAGACTTTATTAATTCCAGTTTTATTGTATTTTCTAGAAGTTCCTTTACATTTCTTGCGCAATTTACAACAAACCATAAAGCGTTTTCTTTATATTTGCATTCGTTGGCCAATAGACGCAATTTCAATCGATTTGAAAGGAATCAACACGAAAACAATTTTGAGACCACATATTAGCAGGCCATTGATTATTTTGTATCCCTTTGTGACGAGTGAGGCAACAACGATTTGGTTATTATTTGATTGCGTTTTCCCTTCTGTCTAAGCAAATGTTACTTTTGTACCTGTACATACCAGGAATTGAACAAATACACATCCCTTTCCCCTGCTTTCCCTTTTATGAATATCAGAGTCATTGGAGAGCGGAATTTATCAAAAAGAGCACAGCAATTATAATAATTGCTAATTCCCACCACAAATGGGCCAAAAAGTTTTATTTTGTCTTTGAATTCCACATTTTTTTTATTTATACACATAGTTTTATTTCGCCTCGAAACTGTTTTTTTTCCGTTTTGTCCTTTTTCATCTCTGATAGACTTTTGAGTATGACGTAATGTGGGTCTCTCTTAACTGGCTAGTGATATCACCTTGATAAGAAAATTGGCACTTTTTTATGTATCGAAAAGGCTCCTCAGAAATGATGAAAACAAAACTAGAATTTTGTTTTATGAAATGGATTTAAACTTGTTCAATTTTTTGCCTCAGGACTACACTTGTCCAACATGCAACAGCGGATTCATCGAAGAAATAAATCCTAACCAAGATGAAGACAATGACATGGACTCAAGTGATGAGGTAATCTTAATATTTTGCTGAAAATATTCGGCAATTCTTGATCTTGACCATACTTAGGTATTATTCGTTTTTTTTTTTTTTTTTAATTAAAAATTACCATCTATATCATGAACTGTTATTTTTTTTTTTAGATTTTGGTGATGTCATATTTTAAATTTGCAGACTGCAGAGCCAGGGATGGCAGATTTCATGTCGGTGTTCATGCAAGACATGATGGGGGCCAGCGACCCGATGGGCAGACCCAGTTTGCGCAGACATCGCATGACACTCAGATCTCAGCCTGCTCATGTGCACACCATGCCCTTGGAGAACATTCTGCAGGACATATTAGTCAACATCACTGGTATGGACTTTGCTCAGATCGGAGCAGCAGGTGGCCACGATAGAGACAACAGAGGAGTGTGAGTAGTAAAATCTTAATTTTATTTATTTATTTCTTGATATTTTTTTTGCATTAGGAGATTTTTTGTCGGCAATCCTGGTGACTATGCATGGGGACGAGAAGGTCTTGACGCCATCGTCACTCAACTGCTAAACCAAATGGATGGCACAGGCCCTGCACCATTAGCTGAGGAAAAGATCCAGTCATTACCAAGTGTAGAAATTGCACAAGAACAAGTTGGTGAGTTGCTGAATTCTCTAAAAATAAATTAGAGGATTGAATTTTTGTTTTTGCAGACCAATGCTTGCAATGCTCAGTCTGCTGGGAGGACTTCAAGAAAGGAGAGTCGGTGCGCAAACTACCTTGTGATCATGTTTATCATGACGACTGCATTATTCCATGGCTTAAAATTGTAAGTCGTCCTCAAATTAAAAGTTTATTTTTTTTATTTGAAAGAAATTTTCACACATAGAACTAAAATTTTGCCTCTTTTAGCATGGAACATGTCCCATCTGTAGGAAAGTCCTGAACGAGGACGCGGCCCACGAGGATCAGGCCAGGACAGGGCCGACCCAAAATGCAGCAGCTTCTCTACCTCAGAGTATTGCAGCATTCCTTAGGTAAAAATAAATTAAATAAAAACTTTCTAACTTGATGCAAATACAATTTGGTATGTTTATCATCACAATTTAATTTTAGTGTTTTTCAATTTACCAGATGAATCATTATCGTTTCATTTTAAGGGCCGCAAATAGTGGAGGAAGCTCGGCCTCCTCCTCGTCCACATCCTCGTCCTCAAGTAGAGGAAACAGCAGCACAGATGGTTCAAATTCTTCCGCTCAACAGAGGCAGAGGAGCCCACCATCGGATGGAAATCACTTCTGGGACATGGACATGGATTGCGATTAGCAGTTTCGCTCGAGACAGTCAGGACTTCAGCCCCAAATTTCCCATAAGACCAGGACACACATTGTTTCTTGTCAGGAATCTTCCTGAATAAAAACGATTCCGCCAGATTCTTTTGAATTCTCTTCATCATATGCACAGTTTTTCTTTATTTTTCCCCCAAAGGAAAGTTAAATGCTTGTTTATCCCTCAAAGTCTGGCATTATTAATTTCATAGCAAAAAGTTAACAAGCTGGTTAGTGCCTGTTCCAATGAAGTTGTGCGCACTTTTAATTGCGAATTAGCTGCATATTACCAAGAAGGGAGGTTTTAAAGTTTGCTTTTTGTGTAATACCTTTTGATTTGACACTTAAAATATTCCATTTCTATAATTTAGTAAAAGGCTGGTCCTTTGATTGGGTAAAACATGACTGTTGTTTAAAATTTATTCATAGAGAGGTTGTACTTTGTGACGTCAAATGTCGTTTTGTTTAATTACTATCGACAGAATGCTGAAGTGTCGCATCACCAAATTCACTGCAGCAATTATGGATTTTATAAATAAAGATTTTGAAGCTGAAGTGCTTGTTGAGGTTACAATATTTTGCCTTTTTTGCTATAATTTTTGTACAATTACTTGTAAATTGATTTCTTTAATTCAATATCCTCACACTATTGATTAATTCTGTTGGAATGTAGGATATTTCTTTCTGTATATATAAATAAATGAGTTTTAATAATTATAGTTTTTGCGTGACTGCAAAGCTAATTAAAGTCGTCTATTAGGCGATACCTGAACATATTTGTCTTTTTATCTTGGCATTCCCTAATTTTTGACTGAACTAGAAACCAATTTGAAAAATTTGTATTTAAATACTAATTAAGAAAAACGTGGAAAAATGTCATTACTTGTACCTCAATCTTTTTCACTACAAAATACGATAATCATAAATATTTCATTAAACACATTATTGAGTATTAATTAGCATCTAGATTTTGTTTTTCATTGTAACTTTTATAAAGTGATCATAATTAAATTTATTTCTTTAAAAGTTCAGTAAGGGGATTGAAGATTTTAGTAATTAAATAATTATCGTTGTTGCGCACAAGGCAAGAGAAATAGTATTATATTGCCAACTTTTATTCTAATTAGAAAATTTATTTCATAAAAATGCATGCTTCTTGCCATTTATTGCCATTTGATTATTTTATTTTTCATGGAGGAAAAAAAGTTACTTTTTAGAAAAAAAGAATACTTGAAATCAAAGTTGCAAATAAAAAAAAAGTTATATCCTATAATTTTTGATTATTGATTGCAAAAGTGAGCTGTGATTGAAACGATTGAAAAAATAAAAAGCGTGAGAAGTTAAAAAATTAATAAGAAACACAAATTAAAATTAATAACAAATTGAAAAAAGTACAAATATAATATTGTTTTCATATTGGAAAATGTGTTTGTTATTTCAAGCTTAGGGGTTGGAGGTCAACAAGCTTGAAGCCGTGGACTGGTGGCGCGGAAAAACACGCGAGCAAAGCAATCAGCGCAGGAGTCGTGCTCTTTGCCCAATAGGCAGAGCGCGCCGCCGCGAGCCACGGCGCTTGCAAAACACAAGAGACGCTTTTGGCTTTTCCAATTCGCTATCATGAAACGTCGGCCTTCGCTGCTCGCTCTGCACTTTTCCTCACAACACAAGACTTGGGCTCGTTCATCTCGCTGCTGTCACATTGTTGTCTAGAGTGTCCGCCTCGATTGATTTGCCCACGCCAATCTGGTGAGTATAAGGAGGCGTTCGTTCAAACACACACACGTAAGCAGGGGTCGCTTTAATAGCCGACGACGCCAAATTAATTTGGAGCGCGCGTCAGATGATTCGATTAGGAGAGACTCAAACAGTTTGCCTCTCCGAGAGAAGCATATCAATCAGGCGCCCCTTTATTGTTATTAATGAACTGTTGACTTTTCGAAAGTTCATCAATCTTAATGTGTTTTTATGCTAATTGAGCAGCGAAAAGAAAATTATAGAATATATAGAATCTGAGATAGAATCTGGGTATTCTTCCCATTTTTTCCAATTGATGCTCTTCTGCAGGTCCCGAAAATAATTATTTTAATTTTTACTGATTGTAAATGAAAAAAATAATAATAATTTTCCGGTCGCTTGTTCTCAAGATGTGCTCTTAAATCTTATTATTAACACAGAGCTCGAATTAATTAACCTAATTAGCGTTTGATTTCGGGATTGGTGCCAAAAGACTAATTGGGTGGTTGACTCTGGGGCCGCCAACTCTCGGAAGAAGAGAGTTTGCGGCTGGCGCGCGCGGCGTGTGTAATTCAATGACAATTGACTTTGGCGGTGTGTCTCACTTTTGTGTGCGCGAGAAAGACATGCACTGGAGCGCTTATACACCGCTCCAGTCAATTATTCAACGCCTTTGTCCTCCTCATTATACCCGCGCCGGGACAAATACAATAGGGGAGGGGGCGGCTTTTGTATTTTTGGGCACAAAGTGCGAGTCCAGGGCTTGGGGTTGGAAAACGTACTTTGCGGCGAGCGCTCTAATTGTGTCTGACGCGCACAGAAATTCAGAGACCGTGCTCGAGAGTGTTGTGCAAGAGTGCGGTCGGCGTCATCAACAACGAGACGTGGCCTCCTCTCGACACACACACACTATATCGATCCACGGCCCCGTGCCTGAAACTCACCACCGGCACTACTCCGAAGGGGCTTAGCATAATTAAGGGCGAAAAACAATTATGTGTGGTGACCGAATTCAATCACCGCGCGCACTCGACCCGTTTATTTTTCTCCCGCCTTTCTACACCAGCGCATTACTCAACGGAATTTGCATATGTTTTTTTCTTTTTGCTTGAGCAAACGATTTCATGACACTTTTTTTTAAATGCCACGCCCTCTGTTTATGCAAAACACGGGAAGGTCACCCTTTTGGTGACGTCAGCATTTTGCCCTCGGAACACAGAGAGAGACAAAAGCGTTTTATTTCAAATCGGAGCGGCCGTGCTCGATAAAATGAGACTGACGAAGTTTTCTGTCGGAATACGGAAAATTCATTTCGGAAACATTTATGCGAAATTACATATTCAGACTTTATATATGTATTGATCGAATTTAAATAAACACAGGAAATATAATATAATATCCGCACAGGCATGAATAAGGACGCGATATTTTGCAAGAGCGATTGGATATAATTGGCCATCACATGCAGATTCCCACGAATACACTGGTCAGATAAAGTGACACATGTCAACGCAATGTAAACCAAAATCAACAACGCTGTATATTTATGTTACAACCACCGTTCTATTATTATTTTATTTTGCTCGTGCGTAATACGAGTCCATTATTAATAAGTCCCTCTGCGCTGCAAGAGAGAAATGTCCGCATTATATTCAGGTGACGGCTTTGTGTGCAGAGACGTGTATAACGTGTATATTGTTCACGCACAAAAGAGAATATTTTTCCACTTTTTCTCTCGTAAAAGGACGTGATCGTTTTATTCAAATTAGCGCGCCCCTAATTTCTATTCATTATCATGAAAAATGCGTTGAATTCAAAAATACCCCTGCATAATAAAATTTGGACGCTCCCAAAGCGCTTGAAGCTAATTATTAATGTGGCCAGCAAAGAATGGAAACAATGGGACCAGATCGAACTTCGTACAGAATTGACAAGGTACGCTCGAGGGATTGATTTTTCAATCGAGTCACGCCAACTGGGAGATGCACAAATCGATATAGATTAGAGAGGCGCGCTCTCGTTTTGACTGGAAATGCATGAAAATAGCTTCAAATAATGTAATACAGGGTGGCCCAAAATTCAACGACACATTTTAATTTGCTGCCATTTTTGAACGGATGGAGATATTTGAGTTTTCTCAGCGGGAGAATGAAGTTCAACTGTGGAAGTTTTGTTGGTGCTATGGGCATCCCATTGTTGCAACGCATTGTTACTGAAAAATAGCTACAACCGCAAACGAAAAATTTCTCTTATGGGATATCCATGTTAATTTTTAAACTTTTTAATTTTTTTACTTTTTTAACGAAACAAAATGTTTTCTAGCCTAAAATTTTGCGAGGAACACGATTCTGGTGTCTAAATTTTATTCCGTTAAGTTAAAATAGACTTTTTGACACAAATTTTATGAAAATGAAAGGTTAGGTCAAATTTGACCTCACCAATTGATTCAGCTTGCCGAGTTTACCCTTAGTACCAATTTTCGTTTCTTTACCTATTTTGGTTCTATAAAATCCAGGAAACCGTCAAAATTTACCTGAAGTAAATTTGGATAATTAAACTTCCAACGGCAATAAAAAATAGAAGTCCAGCATTAAACTTATCAAACTTTGGCCGGATTAACTACGTGCTTTGTGAGAACTTGTAATTTATAAGTTAGAAGTCTGTCACCCAGAAGGAAAAATTTATTTTTTAAAGTTTGTGGTGATTTATAGCAAATTTAAAAAAAATTTAATTGAAAATTAATCTACGTGAAGCGAAAAATTAAAAGTCCTGTTTTAAAAAAACTGCGATTTCGCTGGCAGTTAGAAGGGTTTAAGGGCTATGTTTTCTCCAAATGGCAAGTCTGTCGCCCAAAGAAAACTTTGGCTTATTATGATTTTTGCATTTCAAACAAAATTTCCTAAATCGGATTTGGGTTATAATTTGGCAAAGTCGCCGAAAAAATTAGATTCTGTCGAGTGACAGGCGCAAAATTTAGTAATCCAACTCACTGAACTACATAAATTTAAAAAATCTCCGCGCAAGTAGAATGCAACCTGGACTTTTCATTTTATTTTTAATCGCAGATATTATTTGATAAAATTTTGTAATTTTCCACATTTCAATAAAAAAATTTAAGAAGTCCAGGTTTCATACTACTTGCGCGGAGATTTTTTAAATTTATGTAGTTCAGTGAGTTGGATTACCAAATTTTGCGCCTGTCACTCGACAGAATCTAATTTTTTCGGTGACTTTGCCAAATTATAACCCAAATCCGATTTAGGAAATTTTGTTTGAAATGCAAAAATCATAACAAGCCAAAGTTTTCTTTGGGCGACAGACTTGCCATTTGGAGAAAACATAGCCCTTAAACCCTTCTAACTGCCAGCGAAATCGCAGTTTTTTTAAAACAGGACTTTTAATTTTTCGCTTCACGTAGATTAATTTTCAATTAAATTTTTTTTAAATTTGCTATAAATCACCACAAACTTTAAAAAATAAATTTTTCCTTCTGGGTGACAGACTTCTAACTTATAAATTACAAGTTCTCACAAAGCACGTAGTTAATCCGGCCAAAGTTTGATAAGTTTAATGCTGGACTTCTATTTTTTATTGCCGTTGGAAGTTTAATTATCCAAATTTACTTCAGGTAAATTTTGACGGTTTCCTGGATTTTATAGAACCAAAATAGGTAAAGAAACGAAAATTGGTACTAAGGGTAAACTCGGCAAGCTGAATCAATTGGTGAGGTCAAATTTGACCTAACCTTTCATTTTCATAAAATTTGTGTCAAAAAGTCTATTTTATACTTAACGTAATAAAATTTAGACACTAGAATCGTGTTCCTCGCAAAATTTTAGGCTAGAAGACATTTTGTTTCGTTAAAAAAGTAAAAAAATTAAAAAGTTTAAAAATTAACATGGATATCCCATAAGAGAAATTTTTCGTTTGCGGTTGTAGCTATTTTTCAGTAACAATGCGTTGCAACAATGGGATGCCCATAGCACCAACAAAACTTCCACAGCTGAACTTCATTCTCCCGCTGAGAAAACTCAAATATCTCCATCCGTTCAAAAATGGCAGCAAATTAAAATGTGTCGTTGAATTTTGGGCCACCCTGTATACATTTTTATATGCGCCGCGCGCAGGCCAGGCCTTCCTGCAAGATAAAAACTTGAGATGGGCTCGATTATGCAAATCGTGAGTAGAAGGGGGAGGAATTTGATGACTTATAAATGCATACGTTTCTCCGCGATGACGCCTTTCTTTCAAAATTATTACATAGAGTGTGCAATATATGGATCCAGCAGACACTCTGGACAGCGGCCAAGGCAAAACAAACACAGCTAGACATTTTCCATAAGCCAGATCATAATGAAAAATATGCTAAAATTATAATTTTGTAGTAGAAATCGACGATCGAGGGTTGATTCGTGGTGATTTTGAATTTGGTTTTGTGAGTTGTTTATTGTATAAGAAAAAACTATGTCCTGCTCTACATGTTTCGGCTGCAGCCTGTGAAATTATTTTGACAAAATTCGGTAAATAAATAAATTATAATTAAAGTATTTTAATCAAATAATTGATTTTTTTGAAAATTTCTTTACAATTTTTTGTCACCAATAATTGTTTCCTTTAATTAGACAATTATTTTTGGACATATTTTTACAAACTTCCAAAATTATTTTAAAAATCAAGTTTGTCAAATTTAAGAAAAAAGGAATTGGTGAAAAAATTATAATTTAAAAAAAAAATGACTAGTAGATTGAAATACTTTTAAAAAATTTATTAATTTTGTCAAAATAGTTGCAAAACTCGTGCATTACGGCTGCAGCCCGCAGCCGAAACATGTAGAGCAGGATATTTTATATTCGTAACAACTCTTAAAATTCTTTAAATTCAAAATCACTAAAATCATAAATTGGGAGGAGGGGGAGCGATATAATTATTTTATATCAAAAGCGAGCAGTCCTATCCAGCTGGCACCCCTCCTAGTGACACGGATAAGCTGAACGTGGTCAAGTGTCACGTCGTTGACACTCGACGGCACCAATGATGCATTTCGCGGTGAAACCGGCGCCTCCACCACACGTACGCCCAAGGCGCCTATATCCATGCTGGGGCGCCTCGAACGGCAGAAAGACCCGAGCTGAGCAAACAAACCGCTGTGGAAAACGTGATGCTCTCAATTTGCACGGCAACTGCACGGCCCAGCGCTGCAAAGAAAATACAACTCGCACGCGATGAAAAACCTTGCCATACAAAATAATATGCCTGCACCACCGCCTGGTACCCTTTCCTTTCCTCGCATCAACGAATTCAGAGGGTGTTGCAAAAGACAGTTTTTGTGTGTTTCGGTTAAAAAAAAACTAAGCAAGCAGACGTTTTCAAATATACGCACGATGCGGCTCGAGATATAAATGTCATCCTGAGGCGTTGAAAGCGGCTTACGATGCATTATTTTTTCTTATCCTGATTTGGTTTTTGGTTGACACAGAATCGCTTATTTCATTCTAAATATATGGCTTTTTAATAGAGGATCTTCAAGTCACGCATAAATCTACTTTTTTTTGGCTCACAAAACGTTTTTGCACCTTTAACCTACATTAGTGCGAGGCGCGAAACCGAGAGAAGCACCCCAATAATCCTTTCGTCTCCCACAATATTGAACAACAGGCTATTTTAAAGGTTTCCCTTGAATGAATTTTTAAGGTTTGACCGCGGAGTGTAGTCAAAATATAAAATATTTATATATTCCCCTGGTCTGTGGAGCATACAAGTTGAACAAAGTGTCGTGCGAGCATGACTAATAAAGAGAGTAGGGCGGGACGGACCAATTCATTTGCATTCTGCTAATTGGATAACTTTTTGTAATGGACATCATTTTCGTAATTAAATAACTTTTTCAATGAGATGAAAGATAAGCTTGGTGGCACACAAGCATACGTGTCCCTTGCTCTCCGCATGCAAAGTTCAGGTCAGTTTTTGTTGAGAATGGAAATTTCCTAATTAACTATGGTAAATTTATGAAAAAAAAAATATTGAGTATTTATTTCGTTAAAAAAATACCTCTAATAACTTTCAAGACCATAATTAAATAATTAATATTAAATTTGATCAAAAGAAACACAAATAAAGGAGGCGGTACAAATTGAAGTTAAATTTTATTTTTAATAAAAATATTAATATTAAAACTTGCCAAAACTCTAAGAGCGTTTTGGGGTTTGTAACAGTTTGTAAGAAAAACAAATTTTTTAAAAGGCACGCTGCTTTTGCCCGTTATAACTATAAATAATATTTTTTGATAATTTGTGAGGCTTTTTCTGAAATCAGTGCTTAAAGAGCTACTTTTTAGCCCCATCTTTAAATAGGCCAATGTATGCATTTGCTTTACAAAGCTCACTGTGCATTAACTTACTCGCAGTCGAGTCCACTGCTATTTCAATGCAAAACCTATTTGGCACGCTTTTGCGCACAGCAAAATCCCCAGCACGAAGCTGGAAAATGATTTGGCCTGCACGCTGTGTGTATCAAAAGAGATAAAACGACGCCATAAAGCAGACATATACACACGTTCTTTGTGCCAATTTTGCGGCATCATGATAACGTGTGCGCGATTTTTACAAGGTCGTTAGAACAAAAGCATTCACAACATTCGCCTTTTGCTGATTATTTTCTTTTGCTCTCACATTTAGTTGCAAATGATATTTATGCGATCACTGCCCATAACGAGATACATCAATCAGAATTTCAAAGTGAATATAATTTAATTTTATTAGGAGATTGAAAGAAAAATTTGATTAATGAAATTTACACTTGAGGAGATGATCATGGAAATGAAGAGATATTATTAGGATTTTGATTTTTTTTGCTCAAATGTGGTGTTTTTCAATTGTGCTGATTTTTTTAATGTTTCTTGCTGATGAAATAGGGTCGGGTCGCAGACCGTGACCGAAACTGGTAGAGACATTTGAACAATTTTTTGCAACGAGGAAAAGCCCGATTTCTTCATTTCCATGATCATCTCCTTGAGTGTCAACTTCTTCAAACAAAAATACTATTTTAAACATAAGAAAACAAAAAATTGGAAGGTTTTTGCTGAGGCCTTGCATTTATTGATACTTCCAAATTAATTAATGTTATACTCTTTTTCCATGTTTTGGATCAGACTTAAATTTCGTCTTTTCTTTTTCAACGTTCTTTTAGCCATTTATAATCAGTCCCGTTAAATTCAATTTTCATTCATTTATCAGAAACGCATTTCCTTCATTACACTGGTTCAAATATTGCTTCAACTATTTACTTTTCAGTGATCCATTTAGGTACTTAAAAAATTTGAGGAGCACAGAGACATGTACATGGCACCGTTTTAAATATTCACTTAATTCGATTATGCCAATAAATATGTGATCGTAGTAGTGCTTCGGGCGACGAGAGTTCAACACTCTCATTATAAGGGTTCTTCTCTCTCTTTTGGGCAAAAGCAGGCGCCAGCGCACGGAATAATATTATCTCGAGCGAAGGTGGGCGGCCGAGTTTTGCCTGCTGCTCATCCTTTCTTACAAACTAATTAACCTGATGGCGTTTGTGATCAAAAATTCAAAATTCCCACCCCTCGCGCGTGCAATATTAAAAAGGGAGGCTCGCGCGCACCGCCTCCCTCCGCCCCCTCTTGCAAGTCAATACGTATGCGCGCTGCCACTCAAGTCGGGGCGGCCTGCCGGCCTCTCGCAGTTTGTGCAAGCTCACATTCCCAAAATATCGCGCAGCGAACGAGAGCCGAGGCTGCGCTGACTTTCGCGTTGTATTTTATTTTACCCTTGTTTGTGTGCCGCCGTCCGCAGGCTGACTCTGCGCGTCCGCACACAGGAAGCTGCTCCGGTCCACGCTGGCCCGAAAAACCCGCATGTGCTTTACGAGAGTAAGACAAAGATTTATATACACATTGCAATTCCGCTAATTGAAAGAGTGCTCTTGAAAATGTACCGAAAAAAGCTTTTATACACGCTTGCTTTTTTGCCTCGCTTTGTCGGTCGATTTACGCGCGCGTGTGCTCAGAGACAAATGCTAACGTAATATTCCTCTTTCGTTAATACACAGAAGAGTTTATTTTCCTTTCATTTTTTTTTTTTATCTTTTGCCCCGGTTCTTGGTCAAAAGCTCTAAAGAAAAGAAAAACGTAAGAGGATTGAGAATCTGGTTCCCGCCAACCCGCGTCTAATCGATAAAGAGCCTTTTTATTATTAAGTAAGTGGACTCCCCATTCCTCTCTCTCATTATGAGCAGCTAAAGCCTATAACCTTTTTATGCGCCTGCTTTTGAACAGAAATCCTTGGTTTTTAATTAATTCAGCTTTTTGTTATTCCCATCATAATTCATGAAATTAATCGTTGCCTCATGTTTATTCGCAGCGTGAATAACATTTTTATATATAATGTAATTTAGTGCATGAAAGCAGCTAGTCGAGTGGGCACAAAAGCCACAGCACGTGGACCGTTAATAAGCTGCAGTCCAATTTCGGTCGTTTCAAACACGCACAGCCCATTACGCCCATTGTTGAATTAAAAAAGAGCGAAATCGCACGTGCGACAAGGGTTGATTTCAAAAAAGACTGATATTTCGGTCACGATAAACTTTTCGCCTAATTTATTGTGCTGGAAATTACTCTAGCATTAATTTTTTTACCCACCGAATTGTGGGTCAGAGGTCAGCGAAAATTGATTTCCGATTCGCGCTCACTCTCTGTAATTTGTCGGTTTCACAGTCAAACTTGTGCGTTCGACTAATGCGATTCGACGGGGGTGATGCAGCGATCGCGAGGAGAGCCGACTTTTTACGCGCGCGTTACATGCGTCAGTCTTTTAGCAGAAACACAAATGTTGCATGACAGAACCCTTCCATAATGATGATTGTTTGCTTTCGGCACTGTGTATTTAGCGAGCGCGCGAATACATATATAGACGGAGAGCTTTATATATATTTCTCGCGGCCAACACCACCTATAGAGCTCTCAGCCGCCAACCATTTTCACACAGCGGGCGGCCGTTTCCAGTCGCTCTAGCCACAGGTACGCCCAGGCCGTTTTGGCCCCTCGCGACGATTTTCTCTCAATTTCGCGACCCGATTCCCTCCCGGCGTGCGCTTTGTTCATTTTCCCGGCGCAGAAAAATAAGGGCTCGGCTGAGGGCTCTAGCAAGGAAGTCAGTCAGTCAGTCGAGCGACTCCTCATTTATTATTGAAGCCGTCAAAGTGGTGTTTTAAATTCCCTTCCCCTACGCGTTTGCAATCACAATCAATAACCATAAACCTACTTTCTTTCTTTCGCTGCCCCCGCGACTAAATCTTTCATATATTCGAGTTATTACGTGTCCCGACACACACACACGAAACCGAGACTTTTTTCTGCGCGCTCTTGCGACGAATTCGGCGCTCATCAAATTTCCAGAAGCAAACCTAATTTGAAATTTATCACAAATCGATTTATTCCAACACAAACTTTGTCCTTTAAAAAAGTTGATCGGCAATTTAAATAGGTTGAAAATTCCATTACAAGCACTCGGATCTGTCTGCAGCGTTTTTTATTGATGCTATAAAGAGCAAGGAATTTTCATTTTCCTGCTATCGTAAAAAGAAACGCGTCTGGAAAACTTTTTTGCCGTCCTATAATGGCTTGTCGTCGGCCTTATTGATGGCAATCAATATCAATGCCCGGAAGAAAATTGAAATCGCTTGTCACGAAAATTGCAATTTCAAATCGGCCGCAGCCTAAAACCCTCATTCACCTCAGACAGATTTGCCGTGAAATCGATATTGCGCGCACTCCACCTCGCATTTAGATTCGAGCACACACCGGCACGCTACTTGTTTTGCGTCGAAATTCACAACAAGAAGACGGATTCGCAATCGAATTAACTTTCGCTTTTCGTTTTCACGGCGAAATCAAAAAGTTGCAGCGCGTGGAGACGAGAGAGATGGATTGAATTGATGCGTAATATATTTTTATTTTTTTTTTTTTTTTGGCAGATGGTGTTACTCATGGGAGCATCGTCAACCGGGGTGGCCGGCTAAGCAGAGATGACAAGCTCTGGCGCGGGCGTGCGCAGGGTCGGTTCCAGCGAGACGCTGCTGCCTTCTACATCGGCGTCGCCGCAGCGCCAGGCCTCGTCCAGCTCGAGCCTGTTGCCGCCGACGACGGCCGAGGCGCTGCCGTCGCCGACCCTCACCGTGGCGTGTTGCTCTGGCGGCGGCGCCGCTGACGAGGTGCTGCTCAACCTCGCGGGGGTGGCCCCGCCGCCGCAGGAGGCGGCACGCTCCATGCCCGACCTTGAGCTGCACTCTCGCCGCGTTAACGACGCCAACGCGCCCATCCTGATGCAGGCGCCCGGTGCTGACGCCGTCCTCGGCTGCCGACTGCGCTCCTCGCTCGCGCCGCACCCCTACGCCCGCTGCCGCTGCGAGGCGATGCCCCTGGCGCGCTCCGCCTCCAGGGAAAGCGTCCGAAGCTCCCTACATCAGGTGAGCCAATTTGAAAAGAGAATATTTTAAAAAGGGAATTAATTTTTGATAAGTTTCATGGAAAATTCATCCGAGATGAAGCTTTTTTAATGCCGAGAATAGGAAATGAAGTCAGCTTTGAGAATAAGAAAGTGACGACCAAGTCTGTGTTCCAAAATTTATTAGTGATTTTTATCTTAATTTAATTCTGTTAAAATTTTTTGAACAGCAGATTTGATAAGCAGATCAAATGGAACTAACGGACTTAATAATGGAGAATAATTGTTTGTGTCTTGGTGAAATTTCTTTAAGCACGATTATTTTTACCTAATTTAAGAATTCCCAAATTAAATATTTCTTTTCAGTCCTTTCAGATTTACAAATTTTGCTTAATCTTTCAGCAAATTTAAGGAAAATTGAATAAGAATATTATATTTTTGCAGAGTAAGAATTTCTTTTCACTGAAATTTTTTAATTTTTTTCCATGTATTTTGAGAACGGATAAAGTTTCAGCATCCAAGTGTGCTTTTTGCGAATAAAAAAAGTCCCCACGTTACATTCTCAGCAGAAAGGAAATGGAGTGAGTGCAAAGGGGACGAGAAGAAGTGTTCTAGAAGTGCGCCTTGCATGGAGAGTGATACTGCACCGCAGGGCAGCACTGCCGCGCGGGTGGTATACTTCACTCTTGCGACTCTATTGTTCTCTTTGGCAGCGCAAGCGAATTTTTAAAGAATGCATTAAGCTCGCATGAAAAACCCAACAAGTTAAAGGAAACGAAAGTAGGTTATCCGGCTAATAAAACTCAAGAATTCTTTTCCTCTCACACACGTCATGTTATATCGCCTACAAAGTACAACTCTATCATTTTATTTTATTGTCAATGTTGTTCGTTTGCCCAATTGTTACGAAAACATTAACCGTTGAAAAATCATTTATATTTGGGAAGCACAAATTGATTTGTAGGACTAAACGTCAGCACCATTAGCAAGAATTTGGATAAAACTTTGATAATAAAAAAAACCCAATTCGCTGCAATGAGCCTTGGACGACTTATTGTTGGGTTTTTCTTTCACTGATCACAGATAGGCCATGCAGATGGCGAGGAAATGTTTAACATTACAATATTTTAAATTCGCTGACAAATTCATGATAATATTGTTTATTTTTCTAATTGTTACGAAACAAATAATCCACTGTTTTGGCAGAACTCTAGATTATATAAATTTATATATTTTTATGTGAACAATTATTATTATTTATATCCCAGCATGAAAAACAAAGTGAATTTTAAATCAATATCGTTTGTTAAAATTATTTCTTTTTGTCCTCAACTGTTGCAGAACGCGCCGACCATAATGACGAGCGACATGACGCTGCCCATCGTTTTGACGCCACGCGAGCAGCACGTGGTGCCGGCGTGCAGCTCGCGCATCATCCGCCAGAGCTCGCAACCCGAGTCGTCGTGCATCCACTGTCACCACCCGGTGCCAAGCGCCTCCCTCCGCCAACTGCGCGAACCCGGGGACGGGATCGCGGGCATCGCGGCCGATTCCCTCAGGATCAATGGCGCCATCCGCCAGTTCAAGCAGGTACTTTTCCATCCCCCGACCAACCCCGAGCCGACCTCTTGGTGCTTAGCAAGGCAAAGGGCGACAATGGTTCACCACTTCATTATTCGCTTAGTCAAATACTCTCTCTCTCAAAGTGTGCAAACACTTTTCAACTCTGGTTTTTTTAAGCAAAAAGAATTTAATGAGAGTTAAAGTAACGAAACTTTGCCCATTGGTGAGCATCTCTGGTTAACTGTAGTGCTGAGTAGAGAGCCCTTAGCAGATAAGACTGCCCAATCGTTTACCAGCTGACAGTTTTCTTCCCACTTGCAGCAGAGACTTGCCAAGCTGTTCATGTACAAAGACCCTGTTGTTGCTGATAGTTTTAGCTCATCAAAAGTTGTCCCTCTAGAAAAGCTAATTCTACTTTCCAAGCAGTTCGTCATCTGTCTAGCAGATATATTGTCCTGTCTGAAAATAATTGAGATCCCTTTTGTAAAAAGTGATGGTGTTTTGTCATGTGTCGTTCTTCCCTCTGTTAATTAAAACCACCTACAATCGTACAAATTTGTTAAAAAAAAAGAAACACATTCTCATCCACTTTTAGGCGTGGACCAAACATAGAAAAATAGGGTATAGAAGCAATTAAATTTTAATTTATGTGATAATTTCAAAAAATCAATTCAAAAAATAGAGTTACATTAAAGAAATTCACCAAAAATTATGACACATCAAAAGTATAAAATTTACTTTTTACATTTAAAAAGGTTATATTTTCCTGGATATTTCCATTGCAATTTTCGCAACGAAGGGACTTTTTGGCACCGACTCTGAGAAGAGCGTACAAGCGAGATGCGGTGGCGTGATAGTGCTGAAGGACAGATGGCGAGCATCATCTTTTACGACCCCCGCACAGAGCATTACCCGCAACCCATTTTGCTTATTCTCGAAGCAGAGGTTAATCCAGCGAACTTACTTGCAAACTAGATTGTGCCTTTTTTGTCCTCTTTTATAAGAAAAAGGGAAGAACGACGCTTCATTAAAAGTTCCAATACTTGAATCTCTAAGGATTACAATAATAGAAATTGCACCACAAGGGATGACGTGCCACATATATTATCCATTAATATTTACAAATTTAAATCAATCGATTACTATGCAATTGCTTTTTAGGTTTCGATAATCTCAGACTTCACTTTGAGCAGAAAATTGAATTTCGAACTTAAATGAAAGTACCGTTTGTTAATTTTTCTCTCTGAAAAATCTTAAAAAAGTGAAATATTTTAGAATTACAAAAAATTGTTCTTGTTGAAATTTTTTATTTATTCAAAGACAAAAGCCAGAAGCTCATTGGTTCAACAGAAACAAAAAGTTTCCACATCAATATTCTAATTTTTTAAATGCCAATTTTTCTTTTTTAAATCTCCACACTTCAAATTTCCGTTTGACTCCAGTTTGTAAGTGAAAAAAACTGGACGCAAGCGAAAATATAAATTAAAAGTATCAAGATTTCGTCAACTCCAAGCCACGATAATATTTTCAAGTATCTTGAGTTTGGCTTCTTCATCCAATGGTATACCCACGTGCTGTGTAAGTGCTCCAAAAGTATATAACATTCATTATTTCTCTTCTCCCCCTCCTTAGCTTAGCGGCATTATTGTTTTAGCTTGATCTCAGCTGAAAATAGGGCCAACTATATTTGCTGCTGGTGTGCCCCGTACTTCACCGCTACTTAAATTTCTGCTCCCTAGAGCAGCTAAACCAAAACAAACAATAACATTTTGACTGCGCTAGTTCTTCATCTTTCTCTAAAAATGTTTTACAGACTCTCTCACACTTGCTATGGTCTTTCCTTCTATGTAATGCGTGAAAAGACTCACAGTCGGAGATGTTTGTTAGTTGTTTGCTTTTAAAATGAATTATACTTGAATGGTTTTGAAAAACGATTTCAAAATTTTACGCAATTAACTTCTTATTCTCACACACTTTTCCTCTTTCGATATGAACTCTGACTGTTTGTTTTCAGAAAATTGCATGGAACAGAGATGTTGTTTGGTAAACTAAACTATGTTGAATCTTCAATGTCAGATTCCATGTTGAGCTTGCATATTTCTACATACAACGCTTTCTATACCTCTCTATTTGCTGCACAATTTGTAATATGATTCACGCGAAATCAACTTAATTTTGTCGAGGAAATTTCCGCGAGCTGTTCTTTGGAGACGCGACCAGCCCATTTGCTAAATTTTTTGATATCTCTCTCATGACATATTGGCCATAAATTGTAAACAAGCCCCTCTTATATTTGGAAATGTGGTGCAGGGAATTCTTCTGACACCGCAAACTCTTACTCAAGCGAGGAGAACCCGCTTCCGGAGGGCCTTAACCGACGCCAACAGTGAAACGGTCACCTACACCAAAACGGTCGGTGTCTTTTTTAATCATGTTTGAATCACACACATAAACACCCTTTGCAAAATGATTTGGCTGCTTTCTGCAATTCGGCTGGCAACTGCATCACCGCCTTTTCTTGTGTTTATTTTCGCACACACACTCATACCTCAACACACCATAATTATATAACTTTTTTCTCTATAAATTATAAGGATTTAATTTCATCTCAATCAGTTGAAATTGCTTGATGCAGTGAATTTATACTTTTCAGTGCGGATAATTTTTGACTTGATTCTGAAAGTAGAGAGCTCGAAAGAGTAAGTCGTAGATGATGGCAAGTGATGCCACTAAAAAGAGACGTGAGTTCGCGCCGTTATTCTTCTCTATCAGATTTCAATGTGCTGTGAAAAACTGCCCGGCTGGCATAGCTGCTCATCAGGACGCTTGTTTGTGCATTTTATGAATGTCTCAATAACCATTTTAATACATATAATTACGAAGCAGAGGTTATACTTATATTATCCTGATGAAATAAGTAGAGAATGATATGCAATAGATTTTTTTTGGATTTTTTCCATTTTTTAACTTGAAAACGAGCTATGGAAATTGAAACTCACCTTTAAATTTTGTGTTTTTGTACAACTGCACTAATTGCACGATGATGTATACAAAATCACAATAATTGTGTCCACTTGCCTGTTTGCATGCTCAGTATTTGACAATGTGAATGAACTCCATCATAATTATTGTTTAAATCGTCACTTGAAACGATAAAGAATGTTAATTATTATAATTCAAGATCTTGTCACCAATAAATAAATAATTAAGTTTGGTGGCTCGCTTAAAAACGCTGTTCTGTTGTGAGCAATAATTAAAAAAAAATTAAATTTTCGAAAAATTTAAACTTAACCACTAAATCGGCAGCATCTCTACCAAAATCAGCTGCTTATATTTTGATTTTGGTCCACTTCTAGGTTTCCTGACGCACAACCAAACGTTGCTCGCAGCATTCCCGTGTGTAAATTACAATAAAAATCTCCTTTATACATGTCCGTGTCACTATTTCAATATAAACACAATTCGTCCATGTACATCATCTTCTTTTAGCTTTCCTTTCACATTGTTTGTTAAAAATATAAATGCATTAATTAAACATTTAATAAAATTAGTTATAGCGTTTCAGCTAATTTTACACAGGAAACTATTTAATGCACTTTATTAGAAGCTTTTCCGCTCAATTTAGCGCCTAGATTTCACCCACTTAAACTTGTGTCTCTTGTGTAAATGAATTCCCATCGATTTAATTCCAGTTCCATCAGCTTTTGAACTTTCCATGGGAATGAATTTGTAAATCACGGGGCTGTCTATATTTGAAAACCAATTTCAGTGGAAAACTAGGCAAATTTCAATAGCGAAACGTTTTGAACGAAATAGACCACTTCGATCTGCATCCAAACACTCGAGAATCAACGATTCAATTGAACCACTCGGTTTTCATGTATTCCGGCTCGACTGAGTGGATGAGCAAATTTGCCGCTCTTTAATGTTTACTGAACTTGCCGTCAATCAAAGCCAATTGGATTATTGAACGGAAATAGATTCGTACTATTAGTAATACGGTTTTATCATTGCAAATTAATGTGATTTGAATTAAAAGTCTGCTTTTCCTCGATACGTTTTGTGAATTGTTTATAGTTTAGGAAAAAAATATCATGATCTGAGCTGTAAAAAAAAACTTTGACGAAAATTAATAAAAAAATCTTTTTTTTTAAAGAAAATATTTTTCTTTCAAAGTAAAACTTTTCCGTGAAAAATTATTAAAATTTCAATTTTTTAATATAAATTTAGACATTGAATTTATTAATTTTTTAAATTGTTACTTTAAAGATAAAAATATTTCTAAAAAAAGATTGATTTTTGTACTAATTCTTGTGAAAATCAGTCAAAATGATTTCACAGCTGAAACATGTAGTGCAGGATATTGTTTTTCTTAAATAATAATAAACAACTGAGCAAACCATCGAGGAAAAGCCGACTTTAAATTAAAATCACCATGAATCGTCGATCGTGAAATTCTACTAATCTTCTATTAATCTTAATTTCATCCCTATTAAAATTGAAATCAGATTTTCAATTCAAAATTATTCCTCTTGTTACTATTCTTTCAACTATTGAAAATTAAATTTTTATATCCTATTTGAATTTTCCAAAATTATTAACCCTCTTTTAAATTTGTATTTTTTTTCAAATTGAACTTTTCTGGGAGACTGACTCTGCTTAACATTGGTTTCTCCAAATCATCACTGAGGTCACGTATATGAAGCGAGAAGCGACACCCTCAGAGCGCTGCAGATTCGCTTGCGAACCGTTTCGTTGATCGAAACGCTCGAATTGTCTCATTATCCTGACGCAGGCTCCCCAATCTCAATTGGGAGCGAGAGAAAAAAAATTATCTGTTTCCATTTAAGGCCGCCCTAGATGCGCACAGAGTGGTTTTCGGGGGGCAGACACGAAATAGGGATTTCACTCCACCCAGCACTTTGAAGAAAAGGATTCCCAGATTACTTTTGCGGCACGTAGGCCGCGGCGCATTGCATACAAAGGATTCCAAGCAAGATTGATACGACCCTCCGCAATGACCGAAATTTGAAATATAAAATTTGTTTGGTCGAAAATCGAGATAATTTTGCAGGCGTCGTGACTTGATTAATGGAAAGGAATACGATTTGAATAAAAAGAGGCTCGCAAAAATGTATATTTGGCTGGAAGAAATATCGGAGTAGGCAGCGCGAGCAAGCTAGAGAGTGGCAAAGGGGACGCATGCGCTCGCACCGAAAGGGGTGCAGTATTATGTGGCCGATGTAATGTGGGCGCAGAAGCACAGTTCTGGCAGCAGCCGTGGCCGAGGGACGCAGGCCGGACGATCCCGAAAGGCATTTTTTCCCTATCCGTGTGTGTTTTGAGGAGCGCCGATCGACCATGTGCCATGGGGGGTGCCACCTTTCTCCCCGGTCCTCTCCTGCGAGCGTGGTGCTGCCGGACAGGTGCCTCCATGTTGGGGGCGGCCTCAGCTGCCTCCAACGCCAGGGCCCTTTGCCCTTACATGTGTAGGTGACTCTGTTCGCACGCCTCTGGACAAATGTTCAAGTTCTTCAGGAAGAAAATCACACACTTTTAGATTAGCAATATATATATTTACTCGCAAAAATAGCCTGTCGACCTGCAACTCCGGTGACGCGCCATCCGCTGTCAAGGCCAGGTAATTTCTCCCCTCATCTTTTTATCCAGCGAATCTCGCTTCTTCCGCATTCATTTATATTCTTGTACGTTCAGTTTTCTGTTTGCTTGCAATTCACTTTTATGCAAATAGCGGTTTTGCTCTCTCGCGAGCGCGGCTGCGCGTTCTCTGCGGTCCAATTTGGTTGTAACGTCAAAACGTTTATTTTCGCATTCTCGACGCGAGTTCACTTCGTCTGGAATCTCTCGCACACAAACACACACTGATTCGTTTCACTTTCTAAGATACCGCTTCGTCGGTCGATGGCATGTGCAAAGTTTCATCGTTATTAATTATTCCTTCGAAAGAAAATTTTAAAACTATAATGAACTGAATTTCGCTTCTTGTTTATTTGGTTCAAAATCCTGAGAGGGGAAGAAATTCTGTTTTCCTTTACAGTAAATTGGCAATTTTATCGCGCATCACTGTTTATAGTTCTCGTTATGCAAAGTGCACTTGGTAATGAGAAATATGTGCTCGTGTGCACAAAAGACCCGCAGGCTTTCTCTTGAATAAGTATGATCACACTGAAATTTCGCCAGAGATGGGCGCACAAGGTTTTTGGACCGCCGGAAAATCGTTTGCTGGGTTTTATGGCGTCGAAAGAGAAGGCACTGCCCAAAACACTTCCGACTGGAGGCGGCTGGAGGCAGGGGCTATTATCACCTCGCACGCCCGACCGCCCGTCGATGTGATGATGAGATACGCGTTAGCAATTCCAATCAGCTTTCTGCGCCAGCGAGGACTCGGTTTGCGACAACTTTATCAATATTAATTTTTTACGCAGGAGCTTTTCTTTAACATGGAAATAATTTTGATCAAACTTATTGAAAAAATATGACTAAAAATATTAATTATTCATTGATTGAAAAAAAATTAAACCCTCATGCAAACATTTAATCCGCTGGGAGCAGGTTGAATTTGCAAACGCAGCAGAAGCTCCGCAACATAAAAATATAAAAATAACGCTGTCGCGCGCTTTTGAGGACAAAATATCATGAACTGAATGTGTTTAAAAGTTTTTATAAAAACCCTGTTAAATATTAAAATTTTGAAAGAAAATATATTTAATTAGTTACAAAATGTGATTTGGCGTAATTAGCGTATCATCAAAAATCATTAGTTCAATCCATCCACATTTTTTACTTTCGACCGCGAAACCCCGAGGAAACACTTTCAATAAGAATGAAAAAAACGAAGCACTCTCATGATGACTGCGCAGAATCCAGTTCTGAAATAACGACGGCCAAATGGCATACAAAATTGCTTGCCAAACGAGTTGAAAGAAATCCCGAGCGAAAGGGAATTGATGCACTTCTCCATAATGATGTTTTCCGCGAGAATCTGCCGGCACATATTCGTTTTTGCCTCACAATTGTAATTTCGGTTGGGATGGAGAAAAAAAATCAGTTAGTAAAAAAGAGCTTTTTTAAGTAGGGAAAATTCTCTCTGCGTCACATTCACACTCAAAGCCCATTCTGTGTGTGCGGTGAAATGCGACTTAATTGAAAGAGTGCCCCGCATGTAATTCAATCGAGTGCCCCATTCATTAACGAATAATCCCTTATATAAATATAGAGCAACTCTCCCTCCGTGTATTCAAAATTCTGTTGTAAAAAAGAGCCGTCTGAGCCAGCAGCAGGTGCCTCTCTCTTTACTCATTTTATTGACTGCTTTTCTCTTTTGAATAAATCACAGTCGGGGAAAAAAGCGGCGTGTTGAAAGAGGAGCCAATCATGTCTAATATTTGTTGAAATGGGCGTTTCGACAAACGGAAATACTTGCAAGCCGCGTTTTATCAGATCTTCCTCCATAAGATAATGGGGCTAATAAATCCCACAGCTTCGCCCCCAGGCATAAGGAAAGCAATATCTCAACTGGATGAATTTGGCTTCCCTCCAGACAAAATTACCCGCAGCTGAATCGCAGTGAATCCGACCCCCGGGGCAAATACTTGTCTTGCGGATTAAAAAAAAAAAACAAACTCGATTATTTTGTATTCTCAGAGGAAAGTTTGTATAATTAACGGTCGCGTGCACGGCTCACGCAGAGCGCGCACCTGTTTTCAAATCAAAATAATTAATAATAATTTGGCCATGTTATTACTTTTTATTGGTCGCCCATTATTGCGAGCTAATTGCTAGTTTGGAGCGGCTTTGATTGAAAACGGAGCGCACGCAAGAACCAGTTGCTCGCGCATCATATGCGGCCAGCATCTCTAATGAAGGGGGGCCTTTATAATTGTAGGCCTGCTGCAAAGTAATACGTACGCAAGCAACTCTTGATTTAGTCGCCCAAACATGGAGCACAACAATAGCAACGCGGGCGCTGCTCCGCGCCAGCTCTCGGTCAGTCCTCTTTGTCATTATCATCATTTTGCAGCCGGTTTATCCAATTGTTTTCGTTTGCTTGCCAAAACGTAATCCCAGCTGCGCACTACTTCTGGCATTTTCGCCGAACCGGACCTTTTGCGGGCGAGCCGGAATTTTGCTCTGCGACCGCAAAAAAGCAGACAAACGCGTATTTGCGGGAAAAGTGGCGTGCAAGCGGTGCGACCAAAGAACACAAATTCGTTTTAGCAAAGTGAGCCTGAGATGTGAGTAACACGCTTTTTCCGTCCGCTCACTTGTGACACAATCATACCGGGCGTGCTATTTGCAGGACTCACTGAATTTTTTCGCTGCATGCAAGGTCGTGCTACACTAAAGAACGTGTGACCCTGTTTGTTGTAAGACGTGTACACCTTGAAGTGGAGTAAAAACTTGCAATGTGCATTCGTAATTTAATTTAAATCGTCGTTGTCTTGCATTGTACTTTTTCTGTTGTATTGCAAGACAAATTGAATTTTTATCAAGTGAAATTTATTCTATATGCTCCACATTTCTAATTAGCCAATAAAATATGATAATATTTACATAAATATAAAGAAAAATTAAAAACCACTTAATTTTGCTTTTGAAAGACGCAAAACCAATAATTTAAAACTTGCGTATATTACAAATTTTAGTCAAAAGTTGGTTTGATAATTTATTAAAGACTGTATAATTTTTATGCAATTCAATTTATTAGAATATTTGGCAACAATTTTAAGAAAATTTGTTTTTAACGTGTAATCAGAAGTGTAATATTATTGACAAGACAAACCTATTCCAGTTCAGGATAGTCCAAAATTGTCACCCTTGAAAGATTTCTCGTGGATTATAGCAACTCGTGCAAGCAAAAAGTTTATATTTAAAGTCTAAAACTAGAAATTGAATAAACTTCAAAGAGTTATAATGAACAAAAATGGTCATTAATATTTATTAATGAAGTAAATGTTGCACGCAAAGTTTCTCGGGGAATGATTAAAATAAAAATAAAAACTTTTTGCATTTTTATATTTTTTAACATTTTAAATACTTTTTAAATTCAACACTAACATTACTTTATTTTGGGTTCATCTTCAGTAAAAAATTGGATGCGTGAACAAACTCCAATTTAAATTGGACATATTGTGGTAGTAGTTAAAATGACAAAGTTGTGTCAGTTTAAATTGTTGCTGCTTGGATGAGGATGTCCTGCGTCCCAAATAATGTACAATCAATTTTGGCAGATGACTGTGGGACACGCGTTTTGCAAATCGGCCTGATTACATTGTCTCTCGATAACCCTCCGTCCGATCAACGCTTCGAGCATCCGAGCGACCTTCCTTGAGGGGAATTACGGTAGCGTCCATATAGATAATTAGCCCGATCGAAAAGCGGATAATAGATCTGAGTAAGGAAATTGAAAGGAAGCAGCGTGCGATTGGGGCGCCGCAAACGGGTCAAGGAGTGAGTGTGGCCATCAGAGAGGGAGTGGCTTTTGACCTGATTCGCGCGCGCGGATCTCGTTATGCTTCCAGATGCACAATGCATTTTCCGACCCATCAGCCGCACGAATATAAAGATAAAAGAAGAAGCCCGCTTTTCACTGATGTGCTCCCAGCCAGATAAAGAGTGAGTGCGCTTTCGCTTCGGTTGAGCGAAATTCTCCGACTCTCTTTCCCAGGATGAAACGAAAATACGACTCGGGGCGCCTCGCCGGCATAATGGATTCAAGAGCCGTGTTCAAATTCAATTATGATTTCCATTAATATTAAGTCCGCGGCGTCTTCGCGGCGTTTCTTGTCATGATGAATGAGGGGGGCCAAAATTTAATTCTCGGCGGAAAGACGGCGCGCAAATGCGATCTCGCTTGTCAATTCTAATATCTGCAGGAAACCAGAAGCAAATAAGAAGCGCCGTAAAAAAAGTAGAATGATTTATCGCTCGTAAAAGATACCGCGCGCCGCCTCCTCTCAGCTAAAAAATAAATTCGTTTCATCACACCGTCGCTCTAATTAAAAGTCTGGCTTGCTTTGTTGTTTCATTAGAAGCAATTTAAATCAGTTTGTCGCGGAATATCCTGCGCGGCGCGTGTAAAACAACAAAGCGAGCATTTTGAACGATACGCCCTTTGGCACGGTGCCCAGACCCTCAGCCTCCCTTGTGCGAGATTAAAGGACGCGAAAACCGGACTATAAATTTAATTTTAATTCGATTTCGCCATCAAATTGTTTTACGGCCGCCGCTGATTGCTATTCAAATCCATGCATAAAAATCTGGCTTGTTATTCCGACAGCGGAGTGATTTTTTTCCGATATTGATTGATACGTCTGTCGGCAAATGATTTTGACACATTCGGGATTCGTGACAAGCCTACAGACACACTCTCGCTTCGCCTAGCACACTAACACTTCATTTTCCATCAAGCTGTCGTTGCGAATCAACATTTACATCCATCAATTTTTGTGCGTGCGCTCGCATGAAATTGACAATCGCGAACTAAAAAAATTACATTTTGAACCAGAATTTTTTAAGTATAAATAATTTCATAATATTTTCATTAACTCTGTGGATTCAGCCGCAGCACCAACTGACAGTCCCCTTCATTTTCCTCAGATGTTATAGTTAGTGCCGTTCACATTTTCAGAATGCACAAATTCACTATATGCAAATTAAATTTAGTACCAAATATGAATGATACAATTTTTCATTTAATTCAGAGCAGCAAGTTTAGAAAAGGCTTAGGCAAAATTTGAACAGATCTTTCTATAGAAGCTTAAAAATAATGTAGAGAATCGAACATTTTAGTGCCTGCTCTGTTAGATGAGTTTTTTTCCTGAATTTTGTCATATGCTGGAACGAGGCTTTTGTATTTTTGCAGTTGCGCAAGCCAACGTCGACGACGTCCATCCCTGGCGCAATGAAAAACCAGTCCAGCAAAGATTCTGCGAGCGAGGAGGCCGGAATCGCGTTGGTTGGAGTCCACTCTGAATACCCAAAGTACACAGAGGAGCGCAAGGCACTTGTCGGCACAGGAGGCGGCGGCGGCGGCGGCTACGGGGGCGGCGGAGGCGGCGGAGGCGCTGGAATCTTATCTGCGGCGGGCACCGGCTGTGCTGGCAAGCACAGCAAGCCAAACGTCGGCTACAGGCTGGGCCGACGCAAAGCTTTGTTCGAAAAACGAAAGCGCATCAGCGACTACGCCTTGGTCATGGGCATGTTCGGCATAATCGTCATGGTCATCGAGAACGAACTCTCCAGTGCCGGGGTCTACACCAAGGTAGGCACATTTTTAATTACAAATTTTTCAAAGCAATCTTCAGAAAATTTATAATACAAAAAAAAATTGACAGACAAAATATTTTATACAGATTTATTTTCTAGAAAATAAATTTAAAATTATTTGTATGAAGAAATTGATACTTGAGGAGATGGATCGGGGTTTTCCTCGTTGCGAAAATTGTTTTTATTCAAAAACAGTTTCGGTTTTCATGAGCAAGACAAAAAATCAACAAAATTGAAAAACGTGAAATTTAAGTCCTAAAACTAACAAATAAAAAGGTCCGTACTTGAATTTGTTAGTTATAATATTTCTATGTTAAAATTTTGTGTTTTTTCAATTTTGCCGATTTGTTTTGTATTTTTCTTGCTCATGAAAACCAAAACTGGTAGAGAGCAAAACAAAAACCATTTTTTTTTTAACAAGGAAAAAGCCAGAGTTCATCATTTCCATGATCATTTCCTCGCGAGTGTCAATTTCTTCTTACAAAGGTCTTTAGAGTATAACAAAAATAAAATATAACATTATTTTAACAGATTTTATAGTTAAATTTTCTAGAAAATTCAAAATCTGAAGATTTTTTAGGATGTCAAAAAATAAGAAATGAAAGCTGCAATTTTGACTTGCTTGGAGTAAACGAACTTTCACAGTTTGCGTGCGTAAACTGAAATTTTGAATACACACAGAATTTCATCATTAAGGGAAAGTTTTCAAAAGGCGGATGAGATTTGTTTTGCTTGTCTTTCAATCAGCCTTGCTGATCCGCGCGTGGCTCATCGCGCAAGAATGAATGAAGATGAATAGCACACATCACACTTTATCCCCCTGTTAATGCTAACAGATGCCGACAGAAATGCAAACAGAAGGAGTTTTTCCCCTTCACACCAGGCAAGCGCAAAAAATTTATTTCCAGAGCGCACCAAAATATTACACAAAATTAAAAATGCTAATTTGCCAGCTGAGCAGCAATGCAAAAAAAAAACCGCCGGCAGCATTTGTCAGCGGCCGAAAGCCTCTGCACACATCTAACAAGCTTACGTACAAGCAGCTTAACCTGTCGTTTCTAAGTCTTCGGCGAGCAACGAGGCATCGGCAGATTCGCCTCCGCTGACACTCAACACGAGCCTTTTTTGAGCGGCGCCAATTTGGCCGATGCTTTTTATGCCCAAAATAAATAAATCACGTTTGTCGGCGAAATCGTACAACATTTAATTGGGGAATAATTAGCGAACGAGCAGCAAAGTGGTTTCCTTTGCGGCCCGAGCGCCTCTTATTCGGCAAGTTTGGCCTGGGCGAGCATCAAGTCGGCTGCTGAGATTTAGGGCTTTGCTTTGATCCCGCGCGAGGCGGGGATCTTCTCGAATCATGCGAAACTCCAAAGACGCTGAAAATTCAATTTCTTCCGGTTCGCGTCTCTCGCAAATGATGATTTCTTTGCGCATCCCAAATGAAAAGCGATGAGGAGACGCATTTTATTTTCATTTCACGCGGGACAGCACCATCCGCGGCGTGTACAATGCTTGAGATGAAACACATTCTGGCGCGGTGGACCACGCGTTAACGATGTTTCTCCTCCTCTGCGCCTTGATCCGTCTGTTTGGCCCCGCCGGAGTTTACACAGAGCGGAGAACATCAACAGAGTTTTGTTCCGAACATGCTATAATAATATGCTCGTCGCATTGACCGCAGCTGACGGGGCGGGTGCGCCGCATGGAAATTCCGAAGTGCCGCAGCCCCAATTATTCTCGTTAATGAAATTTTACGTTTGGAGCGCGTTCGTTTCCATCGAGAGCCGGATTAAATAATTAAACGGAGCTAATTCGGGCTAATTTGTCGCAGCAGCTGCCTCGTTCGATCTGATTAAATTCACGCGCAGTGTGTCGCGCATAACGGTGCGAAATTGGTTTCCTCCGAGAAATTCTTCTTGTTTATCTGATTGTCGTCACGTTTCGCAAATAGCCTTGATATGGCCGCGAGCCAACAGCCACGTGCATTCGTTGTACGCGACGCTAACGAGCACCACTCCACTCTGCGCGCACCAGCAAGAATCGTTTATGCTAAAACGACATCACTCGAGCCGACTTAATTATCGAGTGGATTTTCAAATAAATTGTCTCGCGCCGTTCGTGTGCGCAAATGTGACTGACAGATAATGAGGGAAAGTGTGTCCGTGCCGTGTTCAACACGCGATGGGCCAATTTTTTACAATGTGTAATTGTATCAAAGGGCGAATGATAATTATTGCCTGCTTCTAGTGAGCTTCCGCATTCAGCCGCAAATATGGAAAAATTTCATTTACATTAATTAGATTCAAATTTCAAATCATAGTAAGGAAGCACAAACGAGTTCTGTTTACTTCTAAAAAACGATAGAAGTTTAAATAATAAAAAAGATTTTTTTGAATTATTAGGAATTTTGTTATTTCAATGAAATTAAAATTATTATTTATTTAATCCTGGAAAATTTTATTCAATTGAATTACTAATTAGTGAATTTATTTTTTGGAAACTTAATTTTTTGAAATGTAATTTTTACCAACGAATGGAGAATGAATAAAAAATATGGTTATACATATTATTATTGTTTTTTTATTTGTCCAAATCGCTCATCACATTGATTACATTCAATTGTTGAAATTAATTATTTGAAAAGAGAGGAATTGTAGTAAAAAACGGCACCACCACTAGTAAGAATTTTGCTAAAACTTCCACATCCCTCGCAGTGAGCCTAAGAGTACAATTTTAAGCACAATTTATCTTCGGTAAACAAATTTAATTGTAATTTGATGAACAATAAAAAAAATTGAATGTATACAATGAATTAGTATCAATATGGACAAATATTCAACAATAGTAATAACACAATAAATAAAACAATAAAGAAAAAAATTATATTCCTCATTTTTCTTTTCTTAATAGCCACTTTTAATATTAAATATAAACTGACTGATTAAATTCTACTTATCTCGCATCAACAGTAAGGATTTCAAAGTTATTTCACGTCATTGCACCCAAAGACGGCGGCAGCTAATTCCTTTCTGGGCTGCTCGGCTGACCAAATTGGTTTGCCGAGCTAACTCGGTGGCAAACAACACTCGATTCCGCGGGAATGCATTTGTGTGTGAAAAGCAACCTTATTGCAAGCCAAACTCCCCGAGGAGCCCCACGAGAGAGAATGAGGGCGAAGAAGACTACACGTTGTTCATGGCAGCAGCAAAAAGCCATCCCTCGGCAGATCTTTGGTGGGCGAAAGGAGCTTTCACTTGGGCCGCGCCACCCCCTTTCATTTCCTCCACTTACGTATTATCTTGTTTCGCTGCGTGATTTAATGTTTCACCCCATTTTGCGGCCCGTTTTTATGAGTGGTGGCCTTGACAAAAAAAAACCCCGAAGGGACGTGGCCCAAATTCGCTCCGCATGCATATGGATGCGGATCGTGTGCTGCAGCGTCCCAACGGTCCCAAGACGCCGTTTCGGCTAAACCGCCGCCGGACCTCTCGAAAAGTTGCTCTTTTGATCCAACACGCTGGGAGGAACTCGATTTCGATGCCTCGGCGGTTTTGTTTTTGCTCCAATGCTCCGCTTTCCCTCTGGGAAGCAAGTTTCGAAAGTACATTAAATAAATGTACTCTGGCGGATTATGATGTTTACTGTTTCAAATCTAATAGCTAAACAATTTTCAACACGTATATTTAGGAAAAAAACAGGCAAATCTCAAATTGATATAGCATTTTTATGGGCTGCACGCACAGAGCAGCTTAATAATGTGAGTGACGGCATTATCATTGGCAGCACGTCCTGCTGCTCCGTCCCTTTTTTCCGCAACTACATCACCGTTTGAAAGTTGCAAAAAAGAAAGAAGCCTGTATCGCTCGCTCTCGGCTAAACGATTTGGAGCCATTTCTTTGCACGGCCGGCGAGCCATCAATAACGCGCGCCCAACTTGATGAAGTCATCTCGTCTCCACTGCATGTAAAAAGAGCGCTCGGCTTAAAACAAATAATCAATCATTAGGTTTGGCGGGCCCTTCATCCCATTCAACCGACGCGCGCTTGTGTTTCCACTGTCACGGTTTTATGACTTTCGATAAAATTGACGCCGGAGAATTACAAGCCCGGACAAGCTAATGAATTCAAGACGCGTGTTCAGTGAGCGAAAATTGAGAAGCGCTGTCTCGTCAGCTCGTATAAATTCCATTTCGCACTCTGTCAAAGTTTATTTCCTTTGTGACCTCCCCATAAACTTTTTTCCGTCGTCAATTTGGACCGACGAGATTGCTTTTCTTCTACAAACTACTTGTTATATAAAATTGAAAAAAAAAAACTCTCGCAGAATTTTAATTTAAAACTGAATAACAAAAGAAACAAATAATTGTTTTAAATCAAGTCTCGCAGCGCTTCTTTTATTTTTTCGGAATTGGCACTTGAATAAAACAATCTGTTGAGTTTCTCCCTGGATCTATTTTTGAATCGCTAGTCTAAATATTCAAAATGTTATTTCTAAATGATCTTCCATGAATATATATGCGCGCGGCTGGTGTGCGAAGGGGCGAAGCTGCTGCTGCTTCAGAGGTGCTGAGAATAGTTCTCTCAATCTGTGTATCAGTGAATGACGCTGCCACGCTACGTGACCTCATCATTTAGCTGGCACTCTCTCCCCGCAACACGTCACTATCCATCCATACTGTGCGGCTGCATATTTATCTCGCAACGACCACTGACGGCAAGAGATGAATCTCAACGAAATCTCTTCATTAATACAACAATAGCTTAATTTTATTAAGATATAAAATTATTTTTAATAAATCATCAATAATAACTATATTATTCATTTAAAAATATTAATTTTTTTTTTTAATTCTACTTAAAACTATTTTGAAACGCCCTTTTGAACTCTGCCCTTTGTTCCGCAGAGCCAGAGTTTGCTTAAAATAATTCTATCGCATTTTTTCGTGGGCGAAAATGACAATTTTAATAATAATTTATCTTTTGAGCTACGATA